GGGTGGTGGACCATTCTTGATACACACGGGAAACTGTTGAGCATGAAAAACCCAGCAGCTTTGCAGCTCTTGTTACAAACCGGTGCGCCTGGCACCTACTACCATATACCGTTCAAAGACACTTCAATCTTTTGTCTTGCCCATTCATCCTCTGAAAGGCACACATGAACAATACATGTTTCAATTGACTCAAGGCTTAAGAATCTTTCTTTAACCAGTCTCCTCCCCTTCATCAACACTGATTGAAGTGGATTTAACAAGTGATCTTAGCTTTCACCTGGATTCACCCGGTCAGTCTATGTCATGGAAAGAGCAGGTGTTTTTAATGTTTTGTACACTCAATGTATTTGTATTTATTAGGGATCCCCATTAGCTTCTGCCAAGGCAGTCCCCGCTGTTCCATAAGGTGTACTTTTACCTATTTTCTAAATCTGATTCTACTGCTAGCATCAGTTACTTGATGTGGAATAGAGTTCAATGTAGTCATGGCTCTATGTACTACTGTGTGCCTCCCATAGTCTGTTCGGGACTTGGGCAATGTGAAGAGACCTCTGGTGGTATGTCTTGTGGGGTATGCATGGGTGTCCGAGCTGTGTGCTAGTAGTTTAAACAGACAGCTCGGTACATTCAGCTTGTCAACACTTCTTACAAAAACAGGTAGTGATGACGTCAATGTCTCTTCCACTTTGAGCCGTTAGAGATTGACATGCATATCATTTAATGTTAGCTCTCAGTGTACTTTTAAGGGCCAGCCGTGCTGCTCTGTTCTGAGCCCTCTTTGTGGCACCTGACCACACTATTGAACAGTAGTCTAGGTACGACAAAACTGGGGCCTGTGGGACCTAGAATGCAGAGGAACGCTTTATTATGGACAGACTTAGCTACTTATCTACCAATATGTTTTGACCATGACAGTTTACAATCCAAGGTTACTTCAAGCAGTTTAATCACCTCAACTTGCTCAATTTCCACATTATTCGTTACAAGATGTAATTAAGGTTTAGGCTTCAGTAAATGATTTGTCCCAAATACGATGCTTTTAGTTTAGGAAATATTTAGGACTAACTTATTCCGTGCCACCCATTCTGAAACTAACTGCAGGTCTTTAAGTGTTCCAGTCATTTCAGTTCTTGTATATAGTGTTAAGTCATCCGCATACATAGACACACTGGCTTTACTCCAAGCTAGTGGCATGTCGTTAGTAAAGATTGAAAAAATTAAGGAGCCTAAACAGCTGCCCTGGGGAATTCCTGATTCTACCTGGATTATGTTTGAGAGGCTTCCATTAAAGAACACCCTCTGTGTTCTGTTGGACAGGTAACTCTTTATCCACAATATAGCAGGGGGTGTAAAGCCATAACACATACGTTTTTCCAGCAGCAGACTATGATCGATAATTTGACAACACTTCTTACAAAAACAGGTAGTGATGACGTCAATGTCTCTTCCACTTTGAGCCGTTAGAGATTGACATGCATATCATTAATGTTAGCTCTCAGTTTACTATTCTTGGGGAGTGGAATTACTTTTGCTTCCCTCCAGGCCTGAGGTCACACACGTTCTACTCAGCTTAAATTGAAGATGTGGCATTATCGTCCGCTATTATCCTCAGTAATTTTCCATCCAGATTGTCAGACCCCGGTGGCTTGTCATTGTTGATAGACAACAATTATTTTTTCACCTCTTCCACACTCATTTTATGGAATTCAAAAGTACAATGGTTGTCTTTCATAATTTGGTCAGAAATACAGTACCAGTCAAAAGTTTGGACACACCTATTCATTCCAAGTTTTTTTTTATTCATTTTTACTATTTTATACATTGTAGAATAATAGTGAAGACATCAAAACTATGACAACACATATGGAATCATGTAGTAACCAAAAAAGTGTTAAACAAATTAAAATGTTATATTTTATATTCTTCAAAGTAGCCACCCTTTGCCTTGATGACAGCTTTGCACGCTCTTGGCATTCTCTCAACCAGCTTCATGAGGTAGTCACCAGGAATGCATTTCAATTAACAGGTGTGCCTTGTTAAAAGTTATTTTTTAAAAAATTTTTCCTTCTTAATGCGTTTGAGCCAATCAGTTGTGTTGTGACAAGGTAGGGGTGGTATACAGAAGATAGCCCTATTTGGTAAAATTCAAAATTAAAGCAAGAACAGCTCAAATAAGCAAAGAGAAACGACAGTCCATCATTACCTTAAGACATGAAGGTCAGTCAATACGGAACATTTCAAGAACTTTGAAAGTTTCTTCAAGTGCAGTCGCAAAAAACATCAAGTGCTATGATAAAGCTGTCTCTCACGAGGACTGCCACAGGAAAGGAAGACCCAGAGTTACCTCTGCTGCAGAGGATACGTTCATTAGAGTTAACTGCACCTCAAATTGCAGCCCAAATAAATGCTTCACAGAGTTCAAGTAACAGACACATCTCAACATCAACTGTTCAGAGGAGACTGCGTGAATCAGGCCTTTGTGGTCGAATTGCTGCAAAGAAACCACTACTAAAGGACACCAATAAGAATAAGAGACTTGCTTGGGCCAAGAAACATGAGCAATGGACATTAGACCGGTGGAAATCTGTTCTTTGGTCTGATGAGTCCAAATTTGAGATTTTTGGTTTCAACCGCCGTGTCTTTGTGAGACGCAGAGTAGGTGAACGGATGATCTCCGAATGTGTGGTTCCCACCATGAAGTATGGAGGAGGAGGTGTGATGGTGTGGGGGTTATTTATTTAGAATTCAAAGGACACTTAACCAGCATGGCTACTACATCATTCTGCAGCGATACGCCATCCCATCTGGTTTGCTCTTAGTGGGACTATCATTTGTTTTTCAACTGGACAATGACCCAAAACACACCTCCAGGCTGTGTAAGGGCTATTTGACCAAGGAGAGTGATGGAGTATTGCATCAAATGACCTAGCCTCCACAATCACCCGATCTCAACCCATTTCAGATGGTTTGGGATTAGTTGGACCGCAGAATGAAGGAAAAGCAGCCAACAAGTGCTCAGCATATGTGGGAACTCTTTCAAGACTGTTGGAAAAGCATTCCTCATGAAGCTGGTTGAGAGAATGCCAAGAGTTTGCAAAGCTGTCAAGGCAAAGGGTGGCTACTTTGAAGACTCCAAAATATATTAACACTTTTTTGGTTACTACATGATTCCATATGTGTTATTTCATAGATTTGATATCTTCACTATTATTCTACAATATAGAAAATAGTAAAAAAATAAAAATAATGAGTAGGTGTGTCCAAACTTTTGACTGGTACTTTACTTGGATATGTAGTGTCAGCGTTTGTTGCTGGCCTAAGTTTGCTTATCTTGCCAATGAAAAAGTAAGTTGGCAATATCAGTGGGTTTTGTGATGAATGAGCCATCTGATTCAATGAATGATGGAGCAAAAGTTTGCCTTTTTTCCCAAAATGTCATTTAAGGTGCTCCAAAGCTTTTTACTATCATTCTTTATATCATTTTTTTTTTCTTCAAAGCACAGTTTAATTTAGTTTTTATTTAGTTTAGTCACATGATTTCTTAATTTGCAGTACGTTTGCCAATCGATTGGGCTGCCAGACTTATTTGCCATACCATTTTTAAATTCCTCATCAATCCAAGGGGATTTAATCGTTTTTACAGTCCTTTTCTTAATGGTTGCATGCTTATTAGTAACTGGAATAAGCAATTTCATAAATGTGTCAAGTGCAGCGTCTGGTTGCTCCTCATTACACACAACAGACCAATAAATATTATTTACATTATCAACATAAGAATCACTACAAAACGTATTGTATGACCTCTTATACACTATATTAGGCCCAGCATTTGGCACTTTTGTTTACCTAGATATGGCTCCTATATGTGATCACTACATCCTATGGATTTGGATACTGCTTTAAAGCAAATTTCTGCAGCATTAGTAAAGATGTGATCAATACATGTTGATTTCATTCCTGTGCTATTTGTAACTACCCTGGTAGATTGACTGACAACCTGAACCAGGTTGCAGGCACAGGTTACATTTTTGAAGCTTTTTCTTGAGTGGGTAGCTTGATGAAAGCCAGTCTATTTAAATCACCTAGAAAATATACTTCTCTGTTGATATCACATACATTATCAAGCATTTCACGCATATTATCCAGATACTGACTGTTAGCACTTGGTGGTCTATAGCAGCTTCCCACAAGAATGGGCTTTACATTTACATTTACATTTTAGTCATTTAGCAGACGCTCTTAACCAGAGCGACTTACAGGAGGTGAGGCAGATGAACCTGTAGCCATATTACTTCAACAGTATTTAACATGAGATACTCTAAGCTTTACAGGGATGTGGTTCTGATTATAGACCGTAACACTGCCCCCGTTGGCTTTTCTTCTTTACCGTAGAAGTTATAGCCATTTATTGCTACCACTTTATACGTTTTTTATTTTTATTTATTTTTTTATTTAGCAGACGCTCTTATCCAGAGCAACTTACATGAGCAATTAGGGTTAAGTGCCTTGCTCAAGTGCACATCGACAGATGTTTCACCTAGTCGGGTCGGGGATTAGAACCAGCGACCTTTCGGTTACTGGCACAATGCTCTTAACCACTAAGCTACCTGCCGCCCATATAATCAAAGGTATTATCTAAGTGAGTTTCAGAGATAGTCAGAATATGAATGTCATCTGTTACAAGAAAGTTATTGACTTCATGAGCCTTGTTTCTTTGGCTACATATGTTCATATGGGCTATTTTTAGCACTTTTCTGGGTTGCTTTATTGTTTTTAATGCTTTACTGGGAAGCTTATCAGAAGTAGACTTGCTCATGTTATTTATATTGGAGCTGATAGTGCACGGTGAGCTGCACACAGTGGACTTCCTGCTAGGGCACACTGCCTCAGTGCTAACAGTGTAACTCTGGTTCATAGGCACATGTGTATATATATGAGGCAGGATGATTACCTTTAATTGTTTCATGGCTTTGACCATCCTCTCCCCCTCCACACCTCAGGTGTCATTCCCGGACTGCGTGCGGTGGACCACCATCGAATTTGACCCCCAGTGTGGCACGGCCCAGCCAGAGGATGTCCTCCGCCTGCTCATCCCCAGCCGCTCGCTCCACCTGTCCAGCCTGGGCTCCAAGCCCCTGGCCCACGACACCATCAACACCTGGGTGGAGCTCAAGAAGATCTCCGGCTCCAATGGCTGGCCCACCACCGTCCTAGTGCTGCCAGGTAAGATAAGATGTCCAACTCTTCACCTCCTGTCAGATGAAACTCTTTGACACAATGTTTATTTATTTTTAAGCTTTGATCCTTGTTAGATGTGTAATTATTGTTCTGTGGCTAATGCTGAGTGGGTAAAACTGGTTGTAATGACTTAGTTTCAAACAGATTTGCCTGTTGGGTGATGCTTTTTTGTTTCAGTAGGAAGGCATTTCATTTGACTAGCTAACTAAAATGACAAGCAAGGACAAAAATCATCTGAACCAATCAAATGTTAGCTTATTGATCGATTTGGGACAGCTCAATCTCTTCAATGGACAGCTCTGCTGAACCACCTGCATTAATTAATCTCAGCTAATCTACATTAAAGTAGTCTCCCTGTCCTCCCTGCTGTCAATATCACTGTATCACCCATGTGTTCTTCCTCTGGGATTCCAGGAAATGAGGCCCTGTTCTCCTTGGAAACGGCCTCTGACTACGTAAAAGACGAGAAGGCTTGTTTCTATGGCTTCAAGTGTGTTGCCGTGGGATACGAATTCAACCCTGGACCAGATGAGGTAAGGGGGAACTAGTTTTTGCATGTTAAAGGGGTAGTTTACCCCAAAACAAGATTTGCCAACTTTTCTTATTCTTGTACTGTCTCAGAAGATCTCCGGCTCAGGCTCTCCGGCTCAGAAAACATTTTTTTTTTACAACAAATTATACATTTAGATATGCTGTTGGAAAATCTTGAATTGATGATTATTGATAATAATTCGTAATGACTGTCGAGCTTGGCCTCTATCCCAGGCCTTGATTTCCACAACTCATCGTGTCCTGATCCCTTCACCCCTCTCGAGCTGTCCGAGTGATTTGACGAGAAGCCCATCAAGCTTGTATGCGTCTCGAAGAGGGCAAGAGACCCATGCTTTCCTGAGCAGCAGAGAAAGTTCCCTAATAAATACATAAACTTTATTAATAACGTTCACACAATGATTCAGCCCCGTAGCCTACAACAAGGAAAAATATGTTTCCTTTACAAAACACAGCTTGCTTTGAAGCTTGAATTAGGATAGTGAAAGACATTGCAAGTGCTACATATTCAGTTATTGGTATAGATTTACATGCGTGTTTATCTGGTTGCTTCAGCATTTAAACACAGCTCGCAGCTGCAACTTTGACACTGTTGAACTGCATGTCTGAGTGTGCCGAGTGGACAGGGGGAAAGGAGAGAGGAGACAAAGATGGTAGCCATTCATGTGCTCTTCTCGCTAGAGCACTCAAAATGCAGTGAATTTATCCCTTGCTTGCTATGAAGTTACAATCACTGTAGACACTTGTGAAAAAAGGAATCCACAGATGAATCTTTAAATAAGTTTCAGATCCGAGCGGTCATGAAGAAGGAAATCGTGAAATGTTGTCAATTATTGCTTTATCTGAGAGTATTAAGTCAGTTGATGGAATGCATATATAAAAACTGAAATTGGGTAATATTCCTCTTTAAGTCAAATGTTAAAAATACTGGTTGAAGTATGGATACGTTTCCCTGTAAAATTCAAACCTTAACTTATTATACTGTATTCACTGAGGCACCCCACTGTGTGTGTGTGTCAGTGTTAATTTCATCAACAAAAATAGTGACTATAATGTTTGTCAAACATCAATTTTTCTGTGGCCATTGACTATAAATGACTAAATAGACCTAGAAAAAAGATTTTTCATTTCAGTTGACTAAAACAAGACGAGACAAAATCATCTCTGACAAAAATCTGACAACTAAATGGACTGGACAAGAGTTTTTGGAGAGATTGAAAGCTTTTCAGTGACGAGCATAATATTAGCAGCAAGGATGCGCAGCGCAGTTCTGTTTAGCAATGGGAAGGGACACGTCATTATTCAAATTACAAAAATGTTATTAAGGCTTAATGATATTTTAGTCAAAATGACTCGACTAAATCTGAAAAAGAGGGCCAAAATTAACACTGGTGTGTGTGTGTTTCAGGGTATTATCCAGCTGGAGAAGGAGTTGGCGTACTTGGGCAGTTTGTGTGCTGCTGCTCTCATGAAGAAGGATCTGGCTCTGCCTATAGGTGAGGGAGATCATACAAGAACATACAGGTAGATGGTAGAACTGATAGGGAACACAGGTGAAAAGATATTGAACATATATCGACTCATATTCTTTCAACACCAAGTACCAGGTGCTTAGTTCTCATTATTGAAGTTTACCATCTTTTTTCATGCTCAGCTAAAGTGCAAATATATGGTCAATATATTGGCACCCTTGCACTTTACAATGGAGTGCAATGGAGCAGAATGTTGTTATTTTTTCTCTTTTCAAAACTGGTTAATAATTTAGTCCAGGACAATTTGTGACTTTAAAGGGAAAAATCTGTGCAGTTTTAAATCAAACAAATACACGTGTGAACACCAAATGTTATTTTTTTCAATTTCATCTTATTTTAGAAGAAATTGTGAATCGTGCAAGGGTGCCAATATATTTGACCGCAACTGTATGTACGTATATGATAAGTGCATGTAAGATTATAATTTGCACCAAATGGCATATCCTATTTTATACTCTGTACTTTTTTTCCAGGGAATGAACTTGAGGAGGACCTTGAGATTCTTGAAGAGGCCTCTCTCCAGGTATTCTGATGTCATTGAACCTTTTATAAAAATCACATTGCGACATAATAACTAAAGCTGTCAAGGGTGTAACCACATATGAAAAAGACAGCCAGCACTCAAAAACGTATCAGAAGTCACAATGGACGCATTTCTGCCATCTCGCCTTCGTCAGCATGTAACCATGACATACTTCCATCTCCACCCCCTCTCCTTCCCCCCTTAACTCCCCCCCTCTCCCCACAGGTGTGTAAGGCCCACTCAGGTATCTTGGGCAAGGGGCTGGCCCTGTCCCACTCCCCCACCATCCTGGAGGCTCTGGAGGGCAACCTGCCCCTGCACCTGCAGACCAACGAGCACTCCTTCCTGGAGGACTTCATCACCTGTGTGCAGAACTCCAGCGGAGGACGCCTGGCCAGGTGAGAGAGAGGAAGAGTGCATGTAGACACAAAAAAACGTAGGCCCGGACACACATTCCTACATGCACACTAAGCATGGATGTACACAAACACACACTACTGTGAAACAAATATCAGCTCAATGCTTTTTAAATTTCTTCGGCTCTTGGCCAGGTCGTCAATAAATGGATGAACAAATGACCCCCCCCCTTTCCTCCCTACAGGTGGCTGCAGCCAGACTCGTACGCGGACCCCCAGAAGACGTCTCTGATTCTGAACAAGGACGACATCCGCTGCGGCTGGCCCACCACAGTGGCCGTCCAGACCAAAGACCAGTACGGAGATGTGGTGCACGTGCCGAACATGAAGGTCAGAGTTTTTAATTTTTTCGATTCTTACCTCATGTAATATGAGGCCTACATCATCACATGATTGTCTGTGGTGACAGTGATCATACACTTATGTTTGCCGCACACTACCTATTCAGACTGTTAGCTAACCTGCTGTTCAGGCTTGGCGAGAAAGCTAGCGACCAAGTCACTTGAAATTTGCATTAACCTTACACTCATGGAAATTGGCATATATGGATAGGGACAAATGTAAATGTTTCTAACAGAAGAACTATAGAAAGCATATGCATGACCATGGTAGCAACTGAAAGAGAACACTGGAGATAATGGGGAAATTATCTGACCGAAGGTGAGGACAGAACAGTTCACCTGACACAAGACTGAATCCAAACATTATGCTGTTGATTTTATGTGCATTTTACATTTGCTGTACTTTACACAGCATTTGTCAATAACTAAATCTGAAAATATTCTAGATACATTCAGTAACATAATAAGGATATTCATTGACATTTTGGAGTAGGCGCAAGGTAAGAAAAAACAATTCCAAGGCTTTGAGCGAGAGGTCTAACTGGTGTATCCAAGTGGCCACACACCTCTCCAAACCGTGCACAGTTCTTAAGTAATTTCAATGCACTTTTATGACTCAAAGAAATTACCTTACTTTTACATTTTAGTCATTTAGCAGACACTCTTATCCAGAGCGACTTACAGGAGCAATTATAAGTGCCTTGCTCAAGGGCACATCGACAGAGTTTTCACCTAGTCTGCTCTGGGATTCAAACCAGCGACCATTCGGTTACTGGCCCAATGCTCTTAACCGCTAGGCTACCTGCTGCCCTCCAAAAACGCAATCCAAAAACGATCCATGTATATCACAATCTGGGTCAGGTGGGCATCATTTAATAATAATAATAATAATATGCCATTTAGCAGACGCTTTTATCCAAAGCGACTTACAGTCATGCGTGCATACATTTGAAAGCTTATTCTATTGCCAACATGACTAGATATGTTATAAAATATGATCTTAGTGTAAGGCTTTCAAAAGGCACTTCAGACAAACAGATTGTAATTTTGGTGGGCATAGACTGGAGTCATGAGTGCATTCAAATGTGTGTTCCGCGGCTTATTTTCTAAAAAATACGACAAACAGGCTCATTCTGTTCAGGACAACCCAGGGTATAACGCATCCTTGTAACTGGATCAGACATAGCGATCATAAATGTTGATACTGTAAATTACATGAGTTTTCAAATATAGAAATGTGAAGTGCACATTTGGACTGGTATGACATCAAAGCGGTATTTATTATAATCGTCAACATCTATTATTATTATTTATTATAATCGTCTCATCTGTCAGAACACATCAACTCCTCTCGATTTACAGCATTTCCCTCATTCAGACAACAACAAATGTGCAAAAGTACCCCCATAATTTTATTTTTATTATCTTTAACTCTGCATTGTTGGAAAAGGACCCATAAGTAAGCTGTTAGTCTACACCTGTTTTTTACGAAGCATGTGACATAACATTGGATTTGATTTGGGGCATCTTGTCGCGCGCGGTGCTCAAGTTTTATAACGGCTGTCAGTCAAAACCCATACAGCGCTGTGAGGCGGAGAAACCTGAGCTCTGACGACATGTAAAGCATGTTACTGTACAGCCACTGCATTCCAATTTAGGCGCTGATCAATGACATGACGGGCTGTGAGTGGAAAGGTTAACTTAGGACATTTTCAACTCTGGTCACGAGCTCGCTAGTTGCCAACCGTTAAGTTGCTGAGTGTCCCCTTGTGTCCATCGGAAAATGACTGGGTGCTGATAGACTCAGCAAATTTGAACCCACTGATAGACTCAGCAAATTTGAACCCCAAATTTGAACCCAATGTTAGTACATTTTCAAGGTGAACATAAAACAAATAGTATATCTTAGCTAATGTTTGCAAACTGTATGCCTTTTTGAACGTTTCCCATGTCTCTCCCTCTCCTCTTCCCAGGTGGAGGTGAAGGCGGTGCCCGTCTCCCAGAAGAAGTCCATGCAGCAGGAGAGCATGAGGAAGCTGCAGCGTCTCCCAGGCAGCGCCAACCCCTCCTCCTCGGGCACAGCTGACCTTACCTTCGGGGGCCTGCCCATGCCCAAGCTGGAGGCCACCTATGAGCCCATGATCGTCAAGGAGGCGCGCTACATTGCCATCACAATGATGAAGGTTAGGGAACCACAAACCTGGGACCATAGAGATAAAAATATTTTTAGGCCTCCCGAGTGGCGCAGCGGTCTAAGCACTGCAGCGTCACTACAGACCCGGGTTCGATCACGGGCTGTGTCGCAGCCGGCCGTGACCAGGAGACCCATGAGGCGGCGCACAATTGGCCCAGCGTCGTCCGGGTTAGGGGAGGGTTTGGCCGCCAGTTATGCAGCGTTTCCTCCGACACATTGGTGCGGCTGGCTTCCGGGTTAAGCGAACAGTGTGTCAAGAAGCAGTGCGACTTGGCAGGGTTGTGTTTCGGAGGACGCATGGCTCTCGACCTTCGCCTCTCCCGAGTCTGTAGGGAGTTGCAGCGATAGGACAAGACTGTAACTTCCAATTGGGGAGTAATATATATATATATATACAGTGAGGGAAAAAAGTATTTGATCCCCTGCTGATTTTGTACGTTTGCCCACTGATAAAGAAATGATCAGTCTATAATTTTTATGGTAGGTTTATTTAAACAGTGAGAGACAGAATAACTACAAAAAAATCCAGAAAAACACATGTCAAAAATGTTATAAATTGATTTGCATTTTAATGAGGGAAATAATTATTTGACCCCCTCTCAATCAGAAAGATTTCTGTCTCCCAGGTGTCTTTTATACAGGTAACGAGCTGAGATTAGGAGCACACTCTTAAAGGGGGTGCTCCTAATCTCAGTTTGTTACCTGTATAAAAGACACCTGTCCACAGAAGCAATCAATCAATCAGATTCCAAACTCTCCACCATGGCCAAGACCAAAGAGCTCTCCAAGGATGTCAGGGACAAGATTGTAGACCTACACAAGGCTGGAATGGGCTACAAGACCATCGCCAAGCAGCTTGGTGAGAAGGTGACAACAGTTGGTGCGATTATTCGCAAATGGAAGAAACACAAATTAACTGTCAATCTCCCTTGTCCTGGGGCTCCATGCAAGATCTCACCTTGTGGAGTTGCAATGATCATGAGAACGGTGAGGAATCAGCCCAGAACTACACGGGAGGATCTTGTCAATGATCTCAAGGCAGCTGGGACCATAGTCACCAAGAAAACAATTGGTAACACAGTACGCCGTGAAGGACTGAAATCCTGCAGCGCCCGCAAGGTCCCCCTGCTCAAGAAAGCACATATACAAGCCTGTCTGAAGTTTGCCAATGAACATCTGAATGATTCGGAGGAGAACTGGGTGAAAGTGTTGTGGTCAGATGAGACCAAAATCGAGCTCTTTGGCATCAACTCAACTCGCCGTGTTTGGAGGAGGAGAAATGATGCCTATGACCCCAAGAACACCATCCCCACCGTCAAACAGGTGGAAACATTATGCTTTGGGGGTGTTTTTCTGCTAAGGGGACAGGACAACTTCACCGCATCAAAGGGACGATGGACGGGGCCATGTACCGTCAAATCTTGGGTGAGAACCTCCTTCCCTCAGCCAGGGCATTGAAAATGGGTCGTGGATGGGTATTCCAGCATGACAATGACCCAAAACACACGGCCAAGGCAACAAAGGAGTGGCTCAAGAAGAAGCACATTAAGGTCCTGGAGTGGCCTAGCCAGTCTCCAGACCTTAATCCCATAGAAAATCTGTGGAGGGAGCTGAAGGTTCGAGTTGCCAAACGTCAGGCTCGAAACCTTAATGACTTGGAGAAGATCTGCAAAGAGGAGTGGGACAAAATCCATCCTGAGATGTGTGCAAACCTGGTGGCCAACTACAAGAAACGTCTGACCTCTGTGATTGCCAATAAGGGTTTTGCCACCAAGTACTAAGTCATGTTTTGCAGAGGGGTCAAATACTTATTTCCTAAAATGCAAATCAATTTATAACATTTTTGACATGCGTTTTTCTGGGTTTTTTGGTTGTTATTCTGTCTCTCACTGTTCAAATAAACCTACCATTAAAATTATAGACTGATGATGTCTTTGTCAGTGGGCAAACATACAAAATCAGCAGGGGATCAAATACTTTTTTCCCTCAGTGCCTTGCAAAAGTATAGAAAATTGAGCTTTTTGGCCATCAAGGAAAACGCTATGTCTGGTGCAAACACAACACCTCTCATCACCCCGAGAACACCATCCCCACAGTGAAGCATGGTGGTGGCAGCATCATGCTGTGGAGTGTTGTTCATCGGCAGGGACTGGGAAGCTGGTCAGAATTGAAGGAATTGATGGATGGTGCTAAATACAGGGAATTCTTGAGGGAAACCTGTTTCAGTCTTCCAGAGATTTGAGACTGGGACGGAGGTTCACCTTCCAGCAGGACAATGACCCTAAGCATACTGCTAAAGCAACACTTGAGTGGTTTAAGGGGAAACATTTAAATGTCTTGGAATGGCCTAGTCAAAGCCCAGACCTCAATCAAATTGAGAATATGTGGTATGACTTAGATTGCTGTACACCAGCGGAACCCATCCAACTTGCATCTTCAAAGTGGTAGGCATGTTGTGTAAATCAAATGATACAAACCCCCCAAAAATCAATTTTAATTCCAGGTTGTAAGGCAACAAAATAGGAAAAATGCCAAGGGGGGTGAATAATTTCGCAAGCCACTGTATATACAATAACATTACAAATATATAGATATATATCAGCTTGTAAGTAAAGAATACTGGTTTATTTCTACCTGGGATGCGTTTCATGCCAAGAAGATTCCAAGTACCCTTCTCTCTGCCCCCGTTCTCTCCCCTTCACAGATCAGATAGATCTGGATGGAAAAGCAACATGGCAGAACCTTGAAAAATGTGTTTGTTTCACATGATTTGTGTTTTGCTTTTCATGGTTTGTGTTTGCTTTTTAATGTATTGTGTAATTGATGTATGTATATATATATTTATAGTGTAATTGTTGTTAACTGATGTGTTCGTGCAGGGCTCATCTGCAAAAGAGACCGTGGTCTCAGCATGATTCCCTGGTTAAATAAAAAACATAAAACAAAAGGTGTTGCTCACCTGACCCATGTTTCCTTGTGAAATTATACAGAGAAATTGTTTCTTTTTTGAGAGCGTAACCTAGCTGTATTATGTTTTTTGACACCATGTTTATCCTCTCTTTGTCCAGGCCTATGAGAATTACTCGTTTGAGGAGCTTCGCTTTGCTTCACCCACGCCAAAGAGGTAAGAGATGAGATCAAGTTCAATCAAGTGCAGCAAAAGTAATTGAATGAGAACAAACACTATTTGAACCCAGGTTTGATGACAAAATGTACTTTAACTCTACCCACGTACAAATTACCTCAACTACCTCAACTAGCCGGTGCCCCCGCTCATTGACTCTGCACCGGTACCCCCCCTGTATATAGCCTCCCTACTGTTATTTTATTTTACTTCTGCTCTTTTTTTCTCAACACTTTATTTTTTATTTTTATTTATTACTTTTTTTATTAAACTAAATGCATTGTTGGTTAAGGGCTGTAAGTAAGCATTTCACAGTAATGTCTACACCTGTTGTATTCGGCGCATGTGGCAAGTAACATTTTATTTTATTTGAAAATTGAATGAGAAATGTTTTCATCCCTGTTTCTCTCCACTGCCAGGCCCAGTGAGAACATGTTGATTCGGGCCAACATAGACGGGACGTACAGTGCCAACTGGACCCCCGGAGCTGTGGGCTTCTACACCATCCACGTCACCATCGACGGCATCGAGATCGGTAACGCAGAACAGGGTTGGGTTCACTTATTTCTATTTAATCATTTCATTGTAGTAAGTGAACAGAGATTCCAATTCCCATGTTCCTGTTTTGAAATTGGACTAGAGCTCAAGTCAGCTCAACATACAGTGGGGGAAAAAAGTATTTAGTCAGCCACCAATTGTGCAAGTTCTCCCACTTAAAAAGATGAGAGAGGCCTGTAATTTTCATCATAGGTACACGTCAACTATGACTGACAAAATGAGGGAAAAAAATCCTGAAAATTACATTGTAGGATTTTTGATGAATTTATTTGCAAATTATGGTGGAAAATAAGTATTTGGTCACCTACAAACAAGCAAGATTTCTGGCTCTCACAGACCTGTAACTTCTTCTTTAAGAGGCTCCTCTGTCCTCCACTCGTTACCTGTATTAATGGCACCTGTTTGAACTTGTTATCAGTATAAAAGACACCTGTCCACAACCTCAAACAGTCACACTCCAAACTCCACTATGGCCAAGACCAAAGAGCTGTCAAAGGACACCAAAAACAAAATTGTAGACCTGCACCAGGCTGGGAAGACTGAATCTGCAATAGGTAAGCAGCTTGGTTTGAAGAAATCAACTGTGGGAGCAATTATTAGGAAATGGAAGACATACAAGACCACTGATAATCTCCCTCGATCTGGGGCTCCACGCAAGATCTCACCCCGTGGGGTCAAAATGATCACAAGAACGGTGAGCAAAAATCCCAGAACCACACGGGGGGACCTAGTGAATGACCTGCAGAGAGCTGGGACCAAAGTAACAAAGCCTACCATCAGTAACACACTACGCCGCCAGGGACTCAAATCCTGCAGTGCCAGACGTGTCCCCCTGCTTAAGCCAGTACATGTCCAGGCCCGTCTGAAGTTTGCTAGAGTGCATTTGGATGATCCAGAAGAGGATTGGGAGAATGTCATATGGTCAGATGAAACCAAAATATAACTTTTTGGTAAAAACTCAACTCGTCGTGTTTGGAGGACAAAGAATGCTGAGTTGCATCCAAAGAACACCATGCCTACTGTGAAGCATGGGGGTGGAAACATCATGCTTTGGGGCTGTTTTTCTGCAAAGGGACCAGGACGACTGATCCGTGTAAAGGAAAGAATGAATGGGGCCATGTATCGTGAGATTTTGAGTGAAAACCTCCTTCCATCAGCAAGGGCATTGAAGATTAAACGTGGCTGGGTCTTTCAGCATGACAATGATCCCAAACACACTGCCCGGGCAACGAAGGAGTGGCTTCGTAAGAAGCATTTCAAGGTCCTGGAGTGGCCTAGCCAGTCTCCAGATCTCAACCCCATAGAAAATCTTTGGAGGGAGTTGAAAGTCCGTGTTGCCCAGCGACAGCCCCAAAACATCACTGCTCTAGAGGAGATCTGCATGGAGGAATGGGCCAAAATACCAGCAACAGTGTGTGAAAACCTTGTGAATACTTACAGAAAACGTTTGACCTGTGTCATTGCCAACAAAGGGTATATAAGAAAGTATTGAGAAACTTTTGTTATTGACCAAATACTTATTTTCCACCATAATTTGCAAATAAATTCATTAAAAATCCTACAATGTGGTTTTCTTGATTTTTTTTTCTCATTTTGTCTGTCATAGTTGACGTGTACCTATGATGAAAATTACAGGCTTCTCATCTTTTTAAGTGGGAGAACTTGCACAATTGGTGGCTGACTAAATACTTTTTCCCCCACTGTAACTTGTGTTGATGTGTTATTTATTTGTGTCTGTTCATTTAAAGTTTGGCACAGCACAAGCCCTCCAAAAAATGTATGTTGGTATTGTGGTTAGTCTATGATTAGAGAAACTAACTGTATTAGCTAGGAAATCTATTAAACATATGTTAGTTATTAAAGTTAATATAAATTAAAGTTATCTGCTAGCTGAGTGTGGACTGTGTGCATGTTTAACCCACTAGATGCTGGTCTGGAGGTGGAGGTGAAAGACCCTCCTAAAGGCATGATTCCACCTGGCACACAGATGGTTAAACCCAAGGCCGAGCCCCAACCTAGCAAGGTGAGACCCACACACCTGACCACACACACACACACCTGAGAACACACACTCATCTGAGAACAGACACGTGCCTAAACCAAAATACCTGAAAACACTCCGTCACAGCCAGTTGTGTGTTCATTCACTGTTTGTATCTGGTTGTTTACTCCAGCTGTTGTTGCAAGTGTCTGGATGGAATCCATAGGAATATTTATTTAACGTCTTGTTCATGCTCATTCCAACTGAAGCTTATCTGTGTAGACATTTATCATGAAGAACATTGCAACATGAGGAGTGTTGTATGTTTTAATGCTGTGAATATTTCCACTGTCACGAACCAAGTTCTGTATCATTGTTTTTGTGGCTGACTATAATTAAACTGAAAATGGGGAAACAAGCAACAAACTGCACATTTCCACTCAGCTCTTTGTATCTCCCTTCTGAACTTGTGTACAGTGGATCATATCTAACGCCGATAAGAGAACTGGGTGGATGGTAGGGTTTCTTACTGTTTTTCAAGTCATCCTTGGGTTTGCACTGGATATGTCCAACCAGCACTGTTCAGAACGGAGTACTTCTACACTTTCTCCCACTGTTTGTGTGTGTGTGTGTGTGTGTGTGTACACTTTGTGCGGTGCCTTCATTGCCTTTACGATTATGTCAGTGTCTCTGCAGTGTCCTCCTCCCCTCTGCTGCCTCTTTTTCACTTTCCCCTCCTGAGGCTCCTACGGCTTACTGTCTTCCTGTCTCCTCTGCTTCTCTCAGGTCCGCAAATTTGTGTCCAAGGACAGCGCAGGCCTCCGTGTGCGTAGTCACCCTTCCCTGCAGAGCGAACAGATAGGCATAGTGCAAGTCAATGGCACCATCACTTTCATTGATGAGGTAAACTGCTCTAGACCAGGCGATTTGATCGTGTTGTAGCATTAGATTCTCTTTCTTTTCTTTGACCTTTTCTTTGTTTGTCTTCTGTTTTTTCCTTAATTCCTCTTTTAATTTGACTGAATCCTAGCTTGAGATCCAGGTGTGTAACCTTAAAGGTTTGCAACATTACAGAAACATTCCCAAAAGTTCCTCCAACCTTCTGGGAACTTTGGGAAAGTTTCCGGGATTTTGCAACCCTAACCTCAGACTTTCACGCAGGTCATACGTTATGGTCAGTGGGGGATTTCAGTGGAAATCTGAGATATATGCGCAGATCACAAGTCAGGATTCAGTCCTCGCAATCTACAGAGTAAATGTGTATGACTGTTTTGAGTACAGTAAAACTGTGCAGTGTGTCTACCTCTTTCTAGTGATTGCTGCTTCTCATTTGTTACTTTTGCCTTTGTGTTGCTTCATACACATGCAAGACACTCCGAGGCTGCAGTGAGGAAAAACATCAACATTATGGCAGAGCATGTTGCGTACAGAATTTCGTCCTCCATTTTAGCCTATGAAAGCGTTTCATAGTTTTCATCAAACCTCTTCTCAAACATCGTCTCGAACCTTGGCAAAAAGCAGACACCGTCCAAACCAATACTAGAGCGAGTCACAGCATTCTCCTAAGTGATGTTACTCTCAGTTCAGTGGGTTTTCACAAAGCATGCTACCAAGCATGAACCATTTATTTTAGGACAGGTTTTAAATCTGGGTTTTACATTGTTCTTCTCCACTCGGTATAGGTAACTCTGCCTTCCTTTTTGTTGAATCTGGGTTTCTGGAGCCATTCAGCCCAGTTGACTACCCTATTATTCGGCCTCCCTCTCTCTCCCGCTGCAGCCTCGCGTAAGGTGTTCTTATTGCCTGGGGGACTCCGCCACCCCTCTTTCCGTTTCCATAGTGACATGAGGGGGACATGGCTGTGCTCTCTGCCCTCTGTTGCTTGTTTTCCCATAGATCCACAATGATGATGGTGTTTGGCTCAGGCTGAATGATGAGACAGTAAAGAAGTATGTGCCCAACATGAATGGGTACACTGAAGCCTGGTGCCTCTCTTTTAACCAGCACGTGGGCAGGAGCCTGCTGGTCCCAGCCAACGTAAGTAAAGTGACGATCAGTCAGTCAGTCAGTCAGTCAGTCAGTCTGTAGGATAGCAGGGTAGTCTACCCCTCTATGCTGCTCATTTGGGGAAAACATCACAGATCAGTGCTTCCACCATTCATGTGTAACTCAATTGGAACCCCCCAACTCAATGGGATTGATTTGATGTATGATGATGGTTGTATAGAAGTTTGAAGATTCCCCCTTTATCTACTACCTACCTACACTGTGTCTAGTGATATTGGATGGTATCCGTTCCCCAAATGTCTACAAGCATGAAGGATCGAGAACCTCCTTTAAGAGTTCGAAAGGACTTAAGTGTGTTGTTGCATGAGGTGTCCAAATGGACGTCACTGCCATGTCATGAGCCCTCACTAACAGACATTCACGCAGCATAAGGGCAACGTGCATGTCTTAACTCATCTCTCAGGGGATGAAAGATATTTACTTTAGTGTGACTAGAATCGTGTTCGGTTGGACTCTCGAAAAACCCTCACATGATCAGTTAATGTTTAATGCATTGAAGGCATCCCCAATGCCTGAATTGACCAAAAAGAGAGAGGTAGTAGATGAGCAATTTCAGTGTGTTTAGTTTGAGGGTCTTTAGCTGCACTATCTGCGATTCTCTTCACCTCTTCCTCATTGCTTTTTCTTGCCCATGCTTCATAAGCACAGGCACCTCAGAGCAAGACGAAAAAAGCTATTCTCTCTAAAGAGTTTTCACATAAATTTGCTCCATGGAACAAACAACCTCCAAAATCTAAAGGCCGGTTTCATAGACTCAGACGAAGCCTAGTCCTGGCCTAAAAATGTTATTTTTCAATGATGCGTTCTTTTTAGTCCAGGACTAGGCTTAATCTGGGTCCGGGAAACTGGCCCTGTCTAATCAGGGACTTCATGCGTGGATAGATTTAGAAATGTTAACGTTCATTAATTAAAAGTCATTGCCTACGTATTCACATTTAAATGGAGGTTTTCTGTCATGAGGCAATCATTGGTCCCCAACACAGCTTCATGTAGAAATTGTGCTTCTACCACTCCACAATTCCACCTATGAGGCTTCTAAGGTTCACAGAGGCTTCTATGTAAAGGGCGTTGTCGAAAACAGCATGACACACTACATCCTATGTGTGGAAGATTTTTTGGGACGTTTTTTTCTTCTTCTTGAAAGTGATTTTTTCTCAATATATTTGATTGTTTCACCATTGCTGTAACCCAAAGTGGGTTTAAAAATTCCACCCCAACCCCTTCCCACCCAAAATAACAAAATGTCTCCGTTCCGAATCCTTCACAACATCTTGCCATTCCTTCACAATTGTTTGTGTACAAGGCCTATCTGGTACATTTTACATTTTAGTCATTTAGCAGACGCTCTTATCCAGGGTTAAGTGCCTTGCTCAAGGGCACATCGACAGATTTTTCACCTAGTCGGCTCGGGGATTAGAACCAGCGACCTTTCGGTTACTGGCACTACGCTCTGTACCCCCGTCAAAATTGGTGACAGCCCACTCTTCTCAAGTTCAAATTACAAAATAACTTATACACGGACAAAATTGCAAAAAAATACAATAAAATAATGATTTCTCCCAACAACAAAAAAAGACCTCAGCGCTTTTTCTCTCTTTCTCACGCTTAAATGAATCCTCTGCCGTTTCTTGACTTGCACTTACGATTTGTTGCTCAGAGTGTCTTTAACGCTAGCCAAGGAGTCAGGGATATCGGCTTTTTGTCGTGGACCCCCTTAACTATATTCCCACAGGTGAGTTGTGTGAAGGAGAGATGTGTATGGCTTGGCTGCTCTGTTACTTTTTCATCCATCTGTTATTTCTACGTGTCCTATTGAAACCCCCTCCCCCCCCCTGTGAAGTTCTAGAATTTGAGTTATAGTCAACTTTGAGTTTTATCGTCAGGGACATGAGTTTTTAACCACAGTTGCATGATGAGTAGTTTAATATAAGAACACTGTCGTTCTACCTCAATTCCCCTTTAGGAATCAACTATTCATTCAAGGTCCATTTGTTATGTTGTCTGTCCCGTCATAACTTTGTTCCCATTTCACATGAAATTCAAGCTATTGAGTGAAATTGACATTTGTGTGTTGCATGAGGGTTAATAACAATGACACCAATACGTTACATGTTGAAAGGGTAGATGACATGTAGCCTACTGTATGTGTCTAGTGCTGTGATTACATTTATAATTTACATTTGACATTTTAGTCATTTAGCAGACTCTCTTATCCAGAGCGACTTACAGTAGTGAGTGGATCATTTTTGGTACTTTTTCCCGTACTAACATGCATCTCCCTTGTTAGTAGAAGTCTACCCATAACCACACATCTATCCACCATGATAATGTTCTTGAACCGGACCATTTATTTTCTGGCGTATCATCTATTTTAGAGTGACATTGATGCAACAATGTACTGAATTCATATAGCAAATCAAATTCATAGTGTTCTGAGTTTTAAATCTTCAGGTTTACTTTCACTGTACTTTTCACACATGTTCACAATGTTTGTGGTTAAGTAAATGTACAATTGAAACATATTTCAAGCCTGTACAGTATGAAGTGATACATTATTTTTGTTGAGGGAGGGAATTGACAGGCGTCACACTTTTTGAGAACTTTGTGGCATTCAGGTGTTGCCAATGAAGACTGTCTTCTTGTCCACTTGATGCCATTGAGGCAGTATCAGCCCAACAACCACCTGTGCACTTGATGCTCATAGGGTGTCCTCGAAAATGTGATAGTCATTGCTGCGACATTGAAGTAAACTTTAGGCTCTAGGCTTATGTCAACATTTGTTAGAGAGAGTGTATCCTACTGGTTTTGTTGAACTGATAGCTCTTTGGACAGTACTGTAAAACTGTAACAGCTATGATGGAACTTTGATCATTTGATAACCTGAAACACTAGTCACGCTATATTCTCTCTCATAAGACACACACACACACACACAGTTGTCAGGAATCAGGATGAAAGTATGACATCACATTAGACAAATCCATCACTACTCTTCCATTGACTGTGGTCTTCTAACCTAGCCTGATTGGTATTAACGCCTGTCAATTCCCTCTTGCAGGAGGCCAGAGGCCAATCGGAGCAGAGTGTTAAGGAGGTGAGCTCCAGTGGCCGCCCCTCCTATGAGGCCCCCTCAATGCGGGAGCAGGACAGGGCGGGGCAGGGCGGCGGCCCTGGGCTTTATAAGGTAGTGAAGACTGGTCCCTCGGGTCACAACATCAGAAGCTGCCCAAACCTTAGGGGTATCCCCATTGGAATGTTAGTACTTGGGAACACGGTCAAGGCAGTAGGCGAGGTACGCACCCCCCCCCCCCAAAACCCTGAAAATGACAAATGTGATGTCTTAAATGACTTATTGTGGCTGCCGTTAAATTCTAATAAATTAATCTAGATGACTTAGTTACTGTTTTGTAGTTCTTATACTTTTTTTTTTTTTTTGCACTCCTCTACTTTGATCTCTCTTTGCAAAACAGACAGACGTCATTGTAATGTCGTTTGTTTCCTCCCCCTTTTGCTTGTAAATTGACTTGTTTTGGATGTATGTACTTTGCCATTGAAAGGGTGAATACATGAGATGCCTCTGGGTGTGGGTGTGTGCTCTGTCCTTTCTTTCGATGTGTGGAGGCTCTTTTCTTTTATGAACACTCCAATGGCTACAGCATTTTTTATTTGTTTCCTTTTGCATTTATGCATTTGAGTTCATTTTAATATATACTGAACAAAAATATTAACGCAACATGCAGAATGTCAATGGTTTTACTAAGTTACTGTAAGGAAATCAGTCAATTGAAATAAATACATTAGGCCCTAATCTATGGATTTCAGATGACTGGGCAGGGGCGCAGCCATGGGTGGGCCTGGGAGGGCATAGGCCCACCCAGTTGGGAGCCAGGCCCAGCCAATCAGAATGAGTTTTTCCTCACAAAAGGGCTTTATTACATACAGAAATATTCCTCAGTTTCATCAGCTCTCCGGGTGGCTGGTCTCAGACGAAGAAGACTGATTTGGAGGTCCTGGGCTGGCGTGGTTACACGTGGTCTGCAGTTGTGAGGCCGGTTGGACATACTGCCAAATTCTCTAAAATTACATTGGAGGCATCTTATGGTAGAGAAATCAACATTTAATTATCTGGAAACAGCTCTGGGGGACATTCCTGCAGGCAGCATGCCAATTGCACGCTCCCTCAAAACTTGAGACATCTGTGGCATTGTGTTGTGTGACAAAACAGCACATTTTAGAGTTTTTTTATTGTCCCCAGTACAAGGTGCACCTAATGATCATGCTGTTTAATCAGCTTCTTGATATGCCACACCTGTCGGGTGGATGGATTATCTTGGCAAAGGAGAAATGCTCACTAACAGGGATGTAAACAAATTTGTGCACAAAATAAGGTTTTTGTGTGTGTGTGTGGAACATTTCTGAGATATTTCAGCTCATGAAACATGGGACCAACATTTCATGTTTATATTTTTGTTCAGTATAGTTTAAATAAACTATCTTAGTTTATTTATAATTTGAAACTGATTCAATATTTTCTGAGGTTTGCGAAAAATATATATATCCTTCACTATTTTCTAACATTGGATTCTTGAAATGCTGAAGCCATGCTGTACCTCAGATTAATCTTCTCCCCTCTTACACCTTCTGTCCTCTTTTTTGTTTCTTTGTGCACATTTTTATACTCTCTAAAATTCCTTTACCCGGAAGTGCCTATTTTTTCTCGCCACAGATTTTGATAGTCTCTAAAACTCCTTGACCCGGAAGTGCTGAATGGTGCCTACTTCCTGCTTGACCTCTGATTGGGGGATGTGGTGTTGTCATGCTGTTACTAGAATGCTCTCTCTGAACCAATGGCTCTCTGGCTCTTTCTCATTTAATCTTTCCTCGATTCCCCACGTCCTATCTCCTCGTCTCCTTCTCAACACGCATATGAAAAGAAGGTCTGAGGGGAGGAACCTTGGACCTCCTCCTCCGGTAGGGTAGAGAAGGTGGCAAGGAGATATTAGGCTACGAGGAATCATATAAATACTCACTAAGTCTCTCTCTCTATACGCAGTGCAACCTCTGCATTTATTAACATTTCCACTTTCCATCTGTGTCCGTCTGTCTAAAGTGATGATTTTTCAGGACCTTTAGAAAACCAAGACAAACATGCATTTACCTTTCAATATGATTCACTTTTAGAGTAAGTTGTTTAATTAATTCTCTTTAGCCAGTGATCTCTGCAAAATGCTGCTTTTATGAGAAACATTATAGCTACAATGCCATATGGAATTACTCTGTAGGAATGATGTACATTTTGTATAGGGGGATGGGATAATATTTGAGAGAATGGTGCTGTGTGTGTACGTTTGTGTGCGTGTGAGGACTGTAGCATTTGTGTGTGTGCGTGTATAGGGATAAAGAGCGTTGTGTTGTGCGTCAGGTGGTAAACACGGATGGGACGTGGGTGCAGCTGGACAAAAACAGCGTGGTGGAGTTCTGCGAGAGCGACGAAGGAGAGGCCTGGTCTCTGGCCCGAGACCGTGGGGGAAACCAGTACCTACGCCACGAGGAAGGTAAGAGCCTTTTTACTTAACTTACTGCTTTTACTCCTGTGTCCTTTTTTATTTATTTATCAGAGCCTGTATTAGACTTGGTTGTATACCGTAAATACCATATACCGGGGTATAATTTATTTTGCCACAGCATGATTTTCAATACCGTCCATAAAAATTTAAATAAACTTATTTTTTGGGGTCAGGGCCCCCCTCGCGGGAGCTGCAGGGGTGTGTGCTATGCCACTGCTTATAACTAACTATAAGTTAACTATCTAACTAAGTGCCAATTTAATTATCTCCAGCTCAGGGCTCCAGCTATGTATTTGGTTTTCTAACTTGATAGCTAAGTCACTAGCTTGCAAGTAGGGATGCACATTTCTGTCAATTTTACTGCCGACTAACTGACCCTCATTAACCGGTCAACAAATGGTAAAAAAAATTCCAAACATTAAACGTGTGACCAACAGAAAATACTATCAGAGATCTGTACATATAATGACGGTTATGTTTCCGCCCTAACAATGGGAGTCGTCCCAAGGCAGGAAGGCAGGCGACAAGCTTAGGCCCAAAAAAAGCCCATAGAAACTCATTGGGCTTATTTTGGACATTTTGGGGAGAGTTAATCCTCTCGCTTCACCTCTTCCTCTTTGATACTATGCATGCATACAAGGACCGGACATTTTCATTAAGAGCTTAATGGAAACAGACTTGCTATTGTTGCATATCGTCTTACAGTCAAAAGGCGATAGCCTATTATTGAACATGCAACTCCTGTAATGAAGCAGATAATAAAACGTCAGTTTCAAACATTTTCCAAAATGTAAATCGCGGATAACACCGTTCTAAACAGCGCACCTAATGCGAGTAGTTCCATATGTGACAGAGATGAAAATATCTGTTAGAAACTTAGAAAGAGGGGAAATCTAATAGCAACAGCTATGATGGGTTTCTAATATGACTAGGATTGTGCCTTTGGCTTCTGGACAACAAAGTAAATTATATGAAAAGCAGTAGAACAGGAGAGAAATGCTGGTTTATTGGCATGAGGAAGTCTTTATAAAATAATTGCCTCCACGTTTCTATGGCTGGATTTCCGCAAGGCTACTTTGAAGCAAGGTAAGAAATGCCTCATTATTTGAAGTCAAGTAAAAACGTTCAGGTTTCAAACAATTATACTTCCTAAAGCTCACATTGCAAAGTGGTAGGGGACGTGCTGATAGTCAACGGTAGGCAGGCTATAGCCTATGCACTCGAACTGTGAATTGGAGGCGCGCTTTAATTACGAGCTGAGATTGAGAAATATAAATAGCTAATTCTAATCGTGGCCACCAATGTTTTTAACACGCAATTGCATTTACAATTGTTATTTGTTGCGCAATGATTGGGCTTACAGGTTTCACTCCAGTAGCCTACAGGCTCTTTGAAGAGCTAAGTTACTCTCCTGCTGTCTGACAGGCGGTAGGCTATTCCGCTCCTCAAACTAGGCTCTCTCTGTATGCTGCGCATGATAAATAAAATGCATGATGACTAACAAAAATACATTTGTATTTGTATAAAACTGCGAGTAGCCTTTTTAAGATTGTTGTATAACTTTATGAGCTGGGTTGTCGGCCCTTGCAATTAGAAATGTTTGTTCATGCTTCTTAGCATTTAGCTAGTGTCCGCAGTGGAATTTCCCTAAAAATTGTTAGCTTTTGTTAGCATTTTTTCAATACAGTCAAATAATGTGAATATATATATATATATATATATATATATATATATATTATTATATATATATATATATATATATATATATATATATATATATATTATTATATATATTTACATTTGGAAAGAAATAGTGCTCCTTGTGTGCACTGCCGGTAATACCGTATACCCCTGTATGCTATAGGAACGGTATGAAAATCTGGATACTGCCCAACCCTAGCCCGTATTCACAAAGTGTCTCGGAGTACGAGTGCAGATCTAGGATCAGATCCACCCCCCCCCCCCCTTCCATGTAGTCTTATCTGAAAGGCAAAACTGGTCCGGGATCAGCACTCCTACTCTGAGACGCTCTTTGAATATGGGCCCAGAGGTCTCCTCTATGAAAGAAGGTGGAATTTACCTGGTATCTGGACAGATCCTAATTCTTTAGGCTGAACCAGCACTTGAGATAATACCTGTAAATTGAACTTTGGTGTAAATCAAGTCAAATGGGAGAGTTGACCTAAAGAAAATTGACCTCCCGAGTGGCGCAGTGGTCTAAGGCACTGTATCGCAGTGCTAGCTGTGCCACTAGAGATCCTGGTTCGTATCCAGGCTCTGCTGTAGCCGGCCGCAACCGGGAGACCAATGGGGCGGCGCACAATTGGCCCAGCGTCGTCCAGGGTAGGGGAGGGAATGGCCAGCAGGGAGGTAGCTCAGTTGGTAGAGCATGGTGTTTGCAACACCAGGGTTGTGGGTTCGATTCCCACGGAGGGCCAGTATGAAAATAAAAAAGAATAATGTATGCACTAACTGTAAGTCGCTCTGGATAAGAGCGTCTGCTAAATGACGTTAAATAAAAATAAAATATAATATATATATATATATATATATATAATTGAGTTGAGCATTTCGATCTCAAGTTGGGATTGGGTTCTCGCAGATCTAACTCATCTTAGTTTTTAAGGTTATTCTTAAAGTTACTGTCAGTGTCCAGTGTTTCCAGATTTGTATTAAATATGCAATATGAGTAAAATAGTTTTTAAAATAAATATGTTAAAAAGCTTTTCTGTGGGTTAATGGTGTTCTGCGTACCCCAACAACAGTATGGTGTGGTAAACAGCTGATTAGCCAGCTTAGCCAATGAGACGTCTCGGACAAAAACGATACGTCATGTTATGTGAGGAAATAGCAAGCATTTTTTTTAACTGTCTGTTTGAGATAAGGTTATTTGTTTCTCACATTTTTGCTTTGGCCACAAATACGAGTATATGAAGAGTCTACAACATTATTTGGGTATGAGTTAACAGAATATATGAACTTTTAAAAGTGAGATTTTCACTGGACAGTAACTTTAACGAATCTAACATGGATTTGAATGGATGTTTTGGTTGCTGTTGTTGGTGGAGCTAACGTGGTCCAGCTCTGTCTCCTCTCCCAACAGAACAAACCCTCCTGGAACACAGGGCCCAAACCCCCCCACCTAGCCCCTTCTCTGTCCAGGCCTTCAACAGGGCTACTGCAGCCAATGGGGCACAGGGCTTCGACTATGGTATCTCAAACAACAAAGGTGAGGCCAGCCGGGGGACGTGGCTTGGTGGCTGGGCGGGAGAGGGACGCCTACACAGTTAAATATGTACCTGGGGCTTGGTAGCTACAGCTGCTTCTGCTTTAGGTCGTGGTTATGAGGCACAAAACGTAAGAAAATGGGCAAGTAGTGTATCTATTCCAGTAGGAAATACTAGTTTTCGTTGTCTGTTGCAAAGTGTTTTAAAACATGGTCTGTTGTGCCACCAAATGAACAAAACCCAGATGTAGCTACCAAGGTGCCTCACACGTAGGCACCTAGCAACTGTCATCCTCAGGCACTTGGCTAGTCAGGATGAGTTAGAATCACAACCAGGAGAATGAAAAATTGACAAACTTAAGCTAGCCTTACTTTGCTACTCTCCTTATCCCTCCTTCTATGATAAGTTGTCTGACTAGTAATATTCTGACTTGATATACTCATGACATTGCCTATGCAAGTCAGATTATTGGAGACACTCAGATGTATTTATTTATTTATTTAACCTTTATTTAACCAGGTAAGACCCATTGAGGTTAAAAATATATTTTGCGAGGGTGACCTGGCATGAAGGCAAAACAGGGAAATAGCAGCGTGTACATCAAATATTACAGAAAAATACAAAATACACACAAAAGACAGTGTCACAAGTTACAGATACCATTGAAGATTAGGGGTTCATTGTGCTAGTTGTAGTTATGCATGCATATCTCAAGTGAGGATGTCAAAAATATTTTTCTCATTTCGCATTGGAGTAGTTTCCTTTTCCTGACAAACCTTGCTGATTTATTCATCAATTAACCCACTTGTTGAAATCATGTCTTCAGTGCCTTATTTTAACAACCATGATACATTTTCACTTTGGGTACAAAACGTATGATTCACTGTGACTAGGGAACTGCTGAAGAGATGCACAAGTCTCCACATACAGTTGCTCTTCATCAGTTCTTCTCCCACTGTCATTCTGCATCCACTGTGTCTTTTACTTCCTGTTTACTTCCTGCTTCTTGTCTCACAACTCCTGTGGGCTTCCTGGGTTCTCTTGGTCTTGCTTTTAGCTTCCCAAATCAGGGGTGGCATATTGATTTTAATTAACATGTAGAGTGTTGGCTTCAGAATATCTCTCTAGTTTTGTAGTTTTGGGGAAATAGTGGAGACCATAGCATTAGCAAAATCTTAAAGGTATTGTTCACTTTTTAGAAGTTTAGCTTATTTTCGACATACCTGTCATGTAATCAGACTTGTCTATGCTTGAGTAAAAAAGCTACTAGCGGTGTATCTTTATGAAGGCAAATGTATTGCTAGCTTGACGTTGCTTCACATTACAAGCCACATGAGAGAGCGAGAGATGCTTTCCTCATGAACACCTAAATTCCCACAGGCCCTCATTAGCATATGGCCAATCAGGATGCAATATGCAATTTTTTCAGTATTTTGTTCTTGTTTGCTTTGACTTATAGTTCCAGTCTTTGAGGTTTAACTATTGCTCGCCCAGACCTTGTTCTGGGTGTAGCAGGTACATCTGTGATGACCTAGGGTGTTGGTGTTTCTGGCAGGTCGGAGTGGTGAAGACACTTGAATCTTCTCCTGAGTAGCGTTGTTGTTTTCAGGTCCATCCATAGGGATGAGGTGATGTCTTTAAAAAATATATTTTACAATTATTATTATACTTTTTTTTTTGGGGGGGGGGTTATTTTACCCCCTTTTTCTCCCCAATTTCGTGGTATCCAATTGGTAGTTACAGTTTTGTCCCATCGCTGCAACTCCCGTACGGACATGGGAGAGGCGAAAGTCGAGAGTCGTGCGTCCTCCGAAACACAACCCAACCGAGCCACACTGCTTCTTGACACAGTGCACGCTTAACGCAGAAGCCAGCCGCACCAATGTGTCGGAGGAAACACCGTACACCTGGCGACGAGGCAGCCAGCAGGTCACTACTAGCAGGTAGGTGGTGCTTTTCAGAGTGAACAAGTCCGCTCCCAGTCTTTGCCAGGGTCTCTCTGGAAGTTGTGATGATATGAGTGGTTCTGTGTGGTTTGTGCGCTCTTTGATGCATGTCCTGCAGTTAAGCACAAGGCCAGGCAACCACACAGCCTGTTGTGCGCGTGTTCTGCACTTGACCACACCTTGATGACCCTCGTGCAGCTTGGTGAGGACATCATTTCGTAAGGCTGATGGAATGACAAGTCTTGTTACTTTCAACAGGAGACCGTCGTGCACTGTGAGAAAAGCACATTCTGCCCAATACAGTTTCAGTGGTCCTTCACATCCTTCCTGACACATTGTCATTACTTTTGAGCAAACACTGTCTGCTTTGAGTTGTTCTCTCAGATTGCCCATGTAGGAAACACTCACTGGAAGCTGTTCCACGATGGCGTCCACATAGATATTTGTGCTCTCCATGAGCTCCTTTTCTGCAGCAGTAGCTTTGGCTATGACTGCTGCATGTGACAGCGTGTCTGCAGTCCACAGATTCTTTCCAGGGACATGAGCAATCGTGTAGGAGTATCTCATAAGTCTCATCCTGAAGCGCTGGATTTGTGGGGGAAGGGTGTCCAAGGGTTGGTTCCCCAGAAAGCTCAGGAGAGGTTTGTGATCAGTTTCCAACTAAAAGTGTTGACCAATAAGAAAGTCTCTGAATCTTCCACATGCCGATGTCAGCCCCAGAGCTTCTTTTTCCACTTAAGCGTATCTCTGCTTGGTCTTTGTGAGAGACCAAGAAGTTTAGGCAACAGGTCTTCATTCCTCGCACTTCTTCTGCAGCAGCACTCCTCCTAGTCCATAGGAAGACGTATCGGCTTACACATCTCTTTGTTTGGGTCGTACAGGGTTAACACGGGTGTGGATGTCAGCTCCCCCTTCAGCTCTTCGAAGGCTCTGGCTTGGTCGGCCCCCCAGTACCAGTGGTTTTTCTTTGAGTAGGTCTCTGAGAGGTTTGTCCTTTTCAGCTGAGGGATGAACTTTCCTAGATGGTTCACCATACCTAGGAAACTCTGCAGCTCGCTGACGTTGGATGGCTCTGCCAGCTCCTTGACAGCCTCTGTCTTTGTCACTTCCTGCTTTGACAGGTCACATTTGTCCATGTTCAGAGTTAAGCCGGATTTTTCCATCTTCTGAAATGCGGCATGAAGTCTTGCATCATGCTCCTCCTGTGTTTGGCCCCAGACTAACACATTATCCATGTGACAGACCACACCTTCCAGGCCTTCAGTGACCTCTGTCACAATTCTGTTCTGGAAGTGTTCAGGCGCTGAAGCGATGCCGAAAAGCAGGTGGTTGAAGTAGTAACGAAAGGTGTGATGAAGGTTGTTAGCTTAACTGACTCCTCAGCTAGCGGGATCTGCCAGAAGCACATGTTCGCATCGACCTTGCTGAAGATCTTCGCCACAGCTATTGAGCCAAGGATTTGTTCGACAGTGGGAAGTATGTATTTTTCTCTACACACTGACTCGTTGAGACGAGTGAAATCGACATGTACGCACATCTCCGTTCTTCTTGGGACAACCACCATGCTGGCGCACCAGTCCGTGGGCTCCTCCACTCTGGTGACAACCTTGAACCCTTGCCTGCGCTGTAGCTCTTTCTTGACTTTTGGCAGCAATGTCAGAGGAATCCGTCATGGAGTGAGTAGGGCTCTGCGCCGGGTTTCAGCTTGATGGTATATGGTTGTTGTACTGTGCCAAGACCGCTGCACAGCTTTGGATGGCTTTCTTTCAGTGTCTGTAAATCAGTGCTGTCAAGTCGATCAACTAGCTCAAGCTTTGTGATAGCTGGTCTGCCTAGTAAAGCTGTGTGTAGATCTCTGATGACATACACATCCTCCAGTGTCACCTTTTCTCCCTTTTGTAGAACCACACTTGCAACGCTCTTCCTGGTCCTAGCAGAGGTTTTGTTGATTTTTGCAGAGCTGGCTTGCTGGTTCCTGCAAAAATGTGATTGAACACGTTGTCTTGGATAACAGTCACATCGGCACCAGTGTCTATTTTGAATTTCACATTTCTGTCCATCCATGGGTCACCTCCTGCTGTTATTGTTCCTTGGAAAATGCTATCATCCTCTTTTTGAACCTTGTTTACAGGGTCACACACTACTTCATTAGCTGCACACTTTTGCCACAGTTTCGACACTGACTGCTTTTTGTCATTAGCATTACCATGGCTAGCTTTCTCACGCTGGAATATCTGTTTCCACTGATACTGGCTGCCTTTCTGCATAACTCTATCCACTGAGCATGCCTCTTTCGTTGTTATTGTTTCACCTCGCAGGCAACTTTGTTGCTTTTTCACTTCAGTTTGCGTGAGATCTTTATCTAGCTGCATCCGTTCTGACAGACGCATGTCTGCTAATCCAACGGATAGCCTGCCTCTAATTAGCTCATCATGCAAAAGGCCATAGTTGCAATGCTCTGCTAGGGCATATAAGGCTGTGACAAAATAATCCACTGTTTCATTTTCCCCCTGTCCTCCACATGTTAAAACGGGCTCTTTCATAGATCAAGTTATTTTTCACAATAAAGAATGCATGAAATCCGTCTCTTACTTGTCCATACTGTTGTTGCTCGAGTTAATTTAGGTTTAGACCCCAGAAAACGTCATCTGCTTCATCGCACATACAGTACATGAATGTTTACCTGGTTCTCCTCTGTTGTTGTGTGAAGATGACTCACCTGACAAAAGCGCTCAAACCTCCTAATCCATTTGGTCCATTCTTGCGGTTTACAAAAATCAAACAGCTCCGGCGGCTGTATGCTAAATGTAGCACTTGGGCCTGCATTCGCGAGTATCTGTGCCCCTCCCGCTGCACCTTGCATGGGCGGCTGGCCTCTTCCTCCATCCACTGCTGCCGGTGGCTGCTGATTAGCCGCCTCCATTTTCTTCCCAAAACGTTTCAACCCGTTGAGCTAAACTCTGTTGGTAAATACACTCGTTCTAGTCCATTTCTCACACAGTGTCGTGTAATCAGACTTGTCTATATGTGAGTAAAATAACTACTTACGGTGTATCTTTATGAAGGCACATTTATTGGTAGCTTGACGTTGCTTCACATTACAAGCCACGTGAGAGAGCGAGAGATGCTTTCCTCATGAACACCTAAATTCCCACAGGCCCTCATTAGCATATGGCCAATAAGGATGCAATATGCAAAGTACACCACAATACCTAGGGTGTTATCATTTTGTCCAAACCCTTTAAAAATTAGTTAGCTGATCAGAATGAGTCCTAAATCTTCTGGCTAGCATTTTTGGAGAATGTAGCAATACTAGTGGAAACAGATTGTATCAGTTAGCGGTGCACTCAAAAGCATGGGAAAGCGGGGTAGTGGCCCAAAACAGCACTCTTTCCCCATACTGGATCAAGTTGACCCTCAAGGCCACAGGGGCTGTCAATAAACACTAACTCGATGTCCATGTTTTTGTTCTGCATGTCTCATTGTATTTCATGGTGTGTGTATGTCATATCTAACATCACTGCTATGTTCAGGCATAATGTGTCTCAGACTGTGTGCATGGGCCAGTCAGTGTGCTTCTGCCAGGTCAGGTGGGACCTGGAATCTCTTCCCAACACAAGTTCCCCCCCAACGAAAAAGGGTGTCCTGCCAAATCGGAATCACCGCCCACAGCTTCCTATTGGCTCATCGGATTCCTTTCCTCTCCAAATTCCCTCCAACTTTTTCTCAGGTTTTTTCTTAGCTGATAAATTAATCAGTAGAATAGATCTGAATAAAGGGGCTGGACTTTCAGAACTTGCTTACCATTTACTTAGTACCATTTACGTTTTTAGAGATACTGCAGTACATATAGTACAAACAGTGTTATTTTCCCTATTTGGGTTCCACACTTTGTCCCAAGTGACACAAACCCGGCCCAGCCAATCGCCATTACTGTCCCAAAACCCCACTCTGTGACATCACCCATGACCACATGTCACTTTAGTTTTCCCCCTCCTGTCCAGAAACTCTCACCTCACCCACCCCCCCTACACCCCCCACCCCCTTCCACCTCTCCGGCATTATCTGTGTGGGAGATGATTGATCAATCAATGGACACTTTAATGGTTACTGTTTAATGGATTCATTGATTGATTGATACCCCCCCTTTTGGAATCCTATAAGACCATAGTGTAAGCTAAGCTGTAGTCCCCCCCCCCCCCCCCCCCCCCTTCCCCTTGTCTTCCGTTATTTGCAGGTGACCAACGGTTGACTGCCATACTGAATAGTGCCATTCAGTCTGGGCCCTTCCTCCCTCCAGCCGCTCCTCCCTCCTCTTCCTCCGTATTTGAGCAAGCCGCCCAACCTCCCTCCTCCCATGTCCACAGCCCATTTGTGTTTGGACAATGCCCCAGGTCCCAAGTGTCTCAGCCGCAGCCACAGCTTCCGAGTAAGTCTGTCCGTCTGTATGACAGTGTCGGCGCTTGCTTGCACAGGTGCTGCCTGGTCCCATCTTAATTCCTCCTTAGCTTATCACTCTTTTGTTTGCGATTTTTTTTTACTTTACATACATATTTGTTTAGCTTATTTCTGTTTTTGGGGGGGGGGCATCGGGGGACTGATGACACCATAACATTGCTGTTATGTTCTGACTGGTGCTTACGGTACTTTGCCTAGTAATGTAGCTGCTTGCTTTTTGTTTATATACCAGTGACCTTTCTCTCCTCTTCATCTTCATCCCTGATTTAAACCGAGACTCAGCGATATGACGTGATCACGAGCAGCAGTCTGCCCAGAGATATTGTCAAGAGAGTGAGGCAAAAGACTGCATTCGACATCACCCATACAGATACTGGCATCTGCGCATTTGTACATAGGTTTGCTTTTATCTCCTACAATTGAATAGCTGCCTGACGACAAATGTTGACTAGTGCAGCCTCTGCCTTCGCACGGTCTTTGTTTGTGTCAGAAGTCACCCTGCTCCTCTTGGTAAACGCATATCACTGATTCTACTTTTAAACATCAGCTCTGCAGCTCCCATTCCTGCTAAGTGCTCCCGTTGCAAATGTAGACTACCTTAGTGTAAATAATCCGATATGAATTTAGGAAGCATCATTTTGTGTACTTATTACTGTATTCGTTTACTACAAGCTTTCATTTTTTACATTTCTGAATATCTAAAAAGGTCCTGGGCAGGTACACTAAACTCAATTCCTAGAGAATGTGTAAATATGACCAAACTTACTAACCTTAACTCACAGCACCTGTGGTGCATAAATCAGAGACAATCTCATGGTCACGTTAGTGGATATGCTCCCAACTATTAGGTTTCAATAAAGTATGACCTGTAGCAATACGTTTCCGTTCACTCCATTTTCTCAGCCCCTGGCTCAAACTCATGTCTCCCAGCCCTAGTTCATGCATCTCTTACTACCCGCTTTCTGTTCTCTTATAGCTGTCTGTTCTCCATATGTCTGTTGGTCTGACTCTCCATCTTTTGCACTCTCAATGGCCATCCTCTATCTCTCCACCTCTCTCCTTCTTTCTCTCACTCCTTTTCTCTCTCAATCCCTCTCTCCCTCCTTCTCTTTCTCTCACTCCTTCTCTCTCTCAATCCCTCTCTCTCCCTCCTTCTCTTTCTCTCACTCCTTCTCTCTCTCAATCCCTCTCTCCCTCCTTCTCTTTCTCTCACTCCTTCTCTCTCTCAATCCCTCTCTCTCCCTCCTTCTCTTTCTCTCACTCCTTCTCTCTCAATCCCTCTCTCTCCCTCCTTCTCTTTCGCTCACTCCTTCTCTCTCTCAATCCCTCTCTCTCCCTCCTTCTCTTTCGCTCACTCCTTCTCTCTCTCAATCCCTCTCTCTCCCTCCTTCTCTTTCGCTCACTCCTTCTCTCTCTCAATCCCTCTCTCTCCCTCCTTCTCTTTCTCTCACTCCTTCTCTCTCTCAATCCCTCTCTCTCCCTCCTTCTCTTTCTCTCCCTCCTTCTCTCTCTCAATCCCTCTCTCTCCCTCCTTCTCTTTCTCTCTGTGGTGTGTTTCCTTACCTGTACACTCTACTCTTCTTATCTCTGTGATGGTGTCCCTGCATTCATGCCCTGTGTTTTGCTTACCTGCCACTGTTTTCCGCTGTAGATGGTTCTTCATCACGCAACCTTGCATCTTCTCACGAGCGTGTGCACAAAAGCAGTGCGTCCGCGGCTGGGCATGGTTCTGCTCTCTCATCTCTTGCTCTCAGGCAAAAGGGTGGGTAACATACAGAATGCATGCCTCCTTCAGACTGAAATGTGGGTGTCAGTTACTGAGTCAGTTAATGCCGAACAACAGGATAAATAGGATTATCAAGAGTAAAACACAAGTAAATAGATAATTTGTTCTAAACTGAACACTAGTTACAATTATCAGAAGGAATAGGGGAGATGCTTATTCACATAGAGGTTAGGGGTGGGACTAATGTCCCTAGAAAGGATCCATTCTAAAGACCATTTATATATTACCTAGTCTAGGGGACAGTGCTGGGCTGCATGGGCTTCTTCTCATCAGTTGCAACATGATCCGTTAGCTACCCTTGTCTGTGTAAGGGGCCTTCAGACATGCATAGGTAGATTAATAATTAATAAGAATTTGTTCTTAACTGACTTGCCTAGTTAAATAAAGGTAAAATAAATAAATAAATTAATGTCAAGGCTCTTCTAGAATGATCTATGTCCTCTGCTCTAATGCTGTCACTTTACTCAAATGTATTGGTCCACAACTTTCCACCGTCTAAGGGAGGTTTCTTATTGACTCAAAAATAATTATTTCATTTTTTTATGTTAATATATTTTCTTCAAATTTTTTTCCAGACTTCTACTGTTGTTTCTCTTCTTTCCTCCCCTTCATCCCATTTTTTTCTTCCCTTTCATAATCCTTTTTGTTGACCCTTAGATGTTGAGTATCGTACTCGGATGTGCTGCCTTTTACAGTAAACCTCTGAGTTATAGTATAACTGTTTCTATGTTGTGGCTGGCTACTAGGTAACTCAGGGGCGCGCCCCATGTCCCCGGCCTCCAAACAACGACAGGAAAGTCGCTCCCCAAAACAGGAGGGGCGCGGCTGTCGCACCTCAGACCAGTCCAAAAGCAAAGATCTGCCGTCCAGCGAGGCATTGATCCTGCGGTCGGACACCGCCAAGCTGCGATCGGACTCCCATAGCCGCTCCCACTCGCCCAACCACAACACCCTGCAGGCACTGAAGGCCGACGGGCGTGATCGTAACTCCTCCGGCCTGCGCGCTGAGTCGCCTAACCCTGGCTCCCGCTCCTCCTCGCCCAAGCAGAAGGGCCTTTCCTCCTCCTCAGGGAGGTCTAGCCCCTCCAGCACCTCCTCACCACGCTCCTCCTCCACCCAGCACGACAAGAACTTTGCTCAGGACAAGAACCAACCAGTTGACAAGAACATGCCACAAGACAAGAACCAACCCAATGACCAGAACCTCCCACCCAAAGTCAGCCCCTCCTCCAAGGATCGGCTGGACCCGCCCAGAGAAAGGTCCAAGTCGGACTCGTACACCCTGGACCCGGACACCCTGAGGAAGAAGAAAGTCCCTCTCACCTCGGAGCCCCTAAGGGGAAGGTCCACCTCGCCCAAACCCAAACTACCACCCAAGGAAGGGAGCAGTAAAGGAGGTGACAGGAACTCAGAGAACCGCACCCCGTCGCCCCATGTGACCCAGGAGAACCTCCATAGTGAGGTGGTGGAGGTGTGTACGTCTAGTGCTCTTCTTTCCAATGATGATGAGGGAAACAACGAAAATGCGGAGGTGAGCAACGCAGAGGAGGGCTCCTCAAAGGTGCACTTCAGCATCGGCAAGGCACCCGTCAAGGAGGAGCTGGAGAGCAGCCGCTTGTCGCCCAAAGTCAGCCGCAAGACCTCCAGCCGCCACGTGCGCCCCAAGAAGGACAAGTCGGGCCCGCTCTTCAAGGGCGAGAGCTCGTCGAGGCTCGCCGAGCCCGCCAAGCAGGCTATGTCGCCCTCAGTTGCAGAGTGTGCCCGGGCGGTCTTCGCCGCGTTCCTCTGGCACGAGGGTATCGTCCACGACGCCATGGCCTGCTCCTCGTTCCTCAAGTTCAACCCAGAACGGACCAAGGAGCACGCGCCCATCCGCAGCTCGCTGGGTGGACAGGGCGGCCAAGAGGAGAAGGAAAGCAAGCTGAAGAACCGCCACTCACTGGAGATATCCTCGGCCCTCAATATGTTCAACATTGCCCCACATGGGCCAGACATCTCCAAGATGGGCAGCATCAACAAGAACAAGGTCCTGTCAATGCTCAAAGAGCCTCCGCTGCCCGAAAAGTGCGAGGACGGCAAGGGGGAGCACGTCTCCTTCGAGGTGACCTCTCACCCTGCCATGAGGGCTAAGTCCATCCTGCCGCTCACCCTCCAGCACCTCGTTGCATTCTGGGAGGACATCTCCATGGCGACCATCAAGGCAGCCACCCAGAACATGATTTTCCCCAGCCCGGGCTCCAGCGCCATCCTGAAGAAAAAGGAGAACGAGAAGGACAGTAAGAAGTCCAAGAAAGAGAAGAAGAAAAGAGAGAAAGTGGAGGTGCGTCCCAGGGGGAACCTGTTTGGGGAGATGGCCCAGCTGGCCATGGGGGGACCGGAGAAGGACACCATCTGTGAGCTGTGTGGGGAGTCGCACCCCTACCCTGTCACCTACCACATGAGGCAGGCCCACCCAGGTAAGACCAACAATGTTCTGTTTGCCTTTATTCCATACGTTCAGAAATACACATACCATATCACTGTGAGAGGTTAGCCTACCTCTCACATATAAAAGTCAGACTTGAAAGTCCTATATTTTGTTTATTACATTTGTGGACGAAAAGAACGCTTTAAAGCGGAACATTTCTTCATACCGAGGCAGATGGTGGCTAACCCCATTAAACCATTTGCACTGTATCTCTGCTAATACGGCAGCACAACTCAATATGATCTTAGCATAGAGATACATGTATATTAATATGTTATATTTTAGTCTGTGGATTTTAGCTTAATTTGTTGTGTTTTGTCTTGGGCAGGTTGCGGTCGTTATGCGGGAGGCCAGGGCTATAACAGCATCGGCCACTTCTGCGGGGGCTGGGCGGGGAACTGTGGAGACGGCGGGATCGGAGGAAGCACCTGGTACCTGGTGTGTGACCGCTGCAGGGAGAAGTACCTGAGAGAGAAGCAGACTGCAGCCAGGGAAAAGGTACTGTACTTTTCTACGCATCAATCAATTGTTGTTTTGTACTGTATCTTTACACATTAAATTCTTCAAGTTCAAATGGAAACTTAACAAACAGATACTTGGATAGTTAACAATCAGGATTTAACACTAACATATTATGCTCATTGTACTAATTTCTCACTGTAATAGTCACAGTTCAGAGGATAACCTTTCGCAACCATATGGTTTCATAAACAACCTTGGTAACATGCTTGCGACACTCTTACAATGCATTATAACGGCATCATAATGCATTATGCCTACAAGTAGAGGTCTGCGCGGGACTGATTTATTCATCCCACCTGCACCCGCAGCATTTCATACCACACCCGCCCACACCCACTGGCTTTCTGTCCAACTCCCACCCGCTACCGCAAGAACTGGACCCGAAACCAACCGCAGTCTCGCTATGTTATTTTAGGCGTATGCGACGCAGCTCACTTCCCAGCCATGGTCGCAGCAATTTTGCGGCCTATAGGCAATTTCAAAATGACCTAAGAAATGCCTTTAATTACCAGAGATTCTCACGTGTATTACTGGGCTATATCAGCTAATAGGCTAGATGTAGTTTAAAGAGAGCTGAGTTTGAGAGACTGGCACTTTCTTTTGAGCTATGTTTTATAGCCTACCTTTTAGGAGTGGGAGGATTTTCAGAGGGAGACAAATATGATTGATCAATATTTATTTCTAGGTAATGTAGTAAACTATAGCCTAATCATATTTAGGAAGTACATTTCCTTGGAAAGATAACTGCCCCCGTGCTTCTACACCCATGCATAGGCAACCTACTCTATTTCATTGAGACCACACATATACTAGGCGCACTTGATCTCGCACCCCCAACTAGGAGAGGAGGTAGGCTGCTTAACATGAAGCAGCGAATTCTGAGTGTGTGGATAATGCAACAAAGATGTGTTTTTAATACAATAGGGAGGCTAACGCATAAAAAACAGAAAGAACGGCCGTTTCCAAATAATCTGCGGGACAACCAAAATATTTTCATCCCAAAGATCTGACCGCACGCTTCCAACCGAAGCTCTACATTTATATTTTATTCATTTAGCAGACGCTCTTATCCAGAGCGATTTACAGGAGCAATTAAGGTTAAGTGCCTTGCTCATGGACAGGTTGACAGATTTTTCACCTAGCCAGCTTGGGGATTCGAACCAGCGACCTTTCGATAACTGGCCCAACGCCCTTAAACGCTAGGCTACCTGCCCCCACCTCTAACCCACCCGTGACCTCTAACCTCCCTCCCTACCCATCCAGGTGAAGCAGTCGAGGAAGAAGCCCCTGCAGGTGAAGACGCCGCGGGCGCTTCCCACCATGGAGGCCCACCAGGTGATCCGTGCCAACGCCCTGTTCCTGCTGTCCCTAAGCAGTGCCGCCGAGCCCAGCCTGCTGTGCCACCACCCGCCTCGCCCGCTCCACTCCACACTGCCCAGCCTCAAGGAGGGCGTCTCGGACGAGATGCCCAACAAGATCGGCTGCCTCTACCTGCAGACGCTAGCCAGGTAAATGATGGATAGCTATTATGATGATGATCAAAATTAAAAGAACGGGAGAGACTGGGAGGGAACAAATTAAAGGTGATCTCCTTTTATTTTTGCCTCCCAAACAGTCTCCTTCTCTTTTGGTTTTATGCCCTTTGGGACGGCATTACACTTGAAGCGCTGTGGCCACTTTAATTGAAGCGATGATGATCATACATTTTGGTTGTGTATAATGTCTTACCCATATCCCGTGAACATGTTACACAGTGAAAACCATCATGGAATTCTTAACATTTATTTGCTAGGAGGTAGCATCCACATACAGTGGGGAAAAAAAGTATTTAGTCAGCCACCAATTGTGCAAGTTCTCCCACTTAAAAAGATGAGAGAGGCCTGTAATTTTCATCATAGGTACACGTCAACTATGACAGACAAATTGAGATTTTCTTTCTCCAGAAAATCACATTGTATGATTTTTAATGAATTTATTTGCAAATTATGGTGGAAAATAAGTATTTGGTCACCTACAAACAAGCAAGATTTCTGGCTCTCACAGACCTGTAACTTCTTCTTTAAGAGGCTCCTCTGTCCTCCACTCATTACCTGTATTAATGGCACCTGTTTGAACTTGTTATCAGTATAAAAGACACCTGTCCACAACCTCAAACAGTCACATTCCAAACTCCACTATGGCCAAGAACAAAGAGCTGTCAAAGGACACCAGAAACAACATTGTAGACCTGCACCAGGCTGGGAAGACTGAATCTGCAATAGGTAAGCAGCTTGGTTTGAAGAAATCAACTGTGGGAGCAATTATTAGGAAATGGAAGACATATAAGACCACTGATAATCTCCCTCGATCTGGGGCTCCACGCAAGATCTCACCCCGTGGGGTCAAAATGATCACAAGAACGGTGAGCAAAAATCCCAGAACCACACAGGGGGACCTAGTGAATGACCTGCAGAGAGCTGGGACCAAAGTAACAAAGCCTACCATCAGTAACACACTACGCCGCCAGGGACTCAAATCCTGCAGTGCCAGACGTGTCCCCCTGCTTAAGCCAGTACATGTCCAGGCCCGTCTGAAGTTTGCTAGAGTGCATTTGGATGATCCAGAAGAGGATTGGGAGAATGTCATATGGTCAGATGAAACCAAAATATAACTTTTTGGTAAAAACTCAACACGTCGTGTTTGGAGGACAAAGAATGCTGAGTTGCATCCAAAGAACACCATACCTACTGTGAAGCATGGGGGTGGAAACATCATGCTTTGGGGCTGTTTTTCTGCAAAGGGACCAGGACGACTGATCCGTGTAAAGGAAAGAATGAATGGGGCCATGTATCGTGAGATTTTGAGTGAAAACCTCCTTCCATCAGCAAGGGCATTGAAGATGAAACGTGGCTGGGTCTTTCAGCATGACAATGATCCCAAACACACCGCCCGGGCAACGAAGGAGTGGCTTCGTAAGAAGCATTTCAAGGTCCTGGAGTGGCCTAGCCAGTCTCCAGATCTCAACCCCATAGAAAATCTTTGGAGGGAGTTGAAAGTCTGTGTTGCCCAGCGACAGCCCCAAAACATCACTGCTCTAGAGGAGATCTGCATGGAGGAATGGGCCAAAATACCAGCAACAGTGTGTGAAAACCTTGTGAAGACTTACAGAAAACGTTTGACCTGTGTCATTGCCAACAAAGGGTATATAACAAAGTATTGAGAAACTTTTGTTATTGACCAAATACTTATTTTCCACCATAATTAGCAAATAAATTCATTAAAAATCCTACACTGTGATTTTCTGGATTTTTTTTCTTCTCATTTTGTCTGTCATAGTTGACGTGTACCTATGATGAAAATTACAGGCCTCTCTCATCTTTTTAAGTGGGAGAACTTGCACAATTGGTGGCTGACTAAATACTTTTTTCCCCACTGTAACCTAAACACTAAATCCTTTAACTACATATGATACATGTATGTAAATCTGTCTCCCCTCTTCCAGGCAACACACAGAGAACTTTGGTGCGTACCAGGATGACAACCTGTTCCAGGACGAGATGAGGTACCTGCGCTCCACGTCTGTCCCTGCGCCCTACATCTCAGTCACCCCCGACGCCTGCCCCAACGTGTTCGAGGAGCCCGAGAGCAACATGAAGTCCATGCCCCCCAGGTAACACACGCACCTCTTTTTGAGAGTAGAGATGTGCAGACTGTGATTATGTCTATGTGTGTACTGTATGTGGGTGTAGTGTGTGTCATATCTGTGCGTGTGTGTGTGAGAGAGACTCGTACCAGTGTGGTATGTGTGTGTGTTCTTCTGTGAGTGTGTGTGTTGTGTATATATGTGTCATGGATGACAGAAACAGATGGTCAACATTTATTTGTTGTATCTCTTGCAGTCTGGAGACCAGCCCAATCACAGACAGTGACTTGTCTAAGCGGACGGTGTTCCAGAGGTCCTACTCTGTGGTGGCATCTGAGTATGACAAGCAGCATTCAGCCTCCCCGGCCAGGGTCAAAGCCGTGCCCAGACGCAGAGTCCACAGTGGGGATGCAGGTGGGTAAACCTACCCCTGAACCACCAGACCAGAGGACTTTGATCCTATTTACTAGTATAGTCCGTTATACTAAGGGGTTTGGATGTAGAGAAAAGTCATTTTACACTTCACCATTAACCCATGTACCTGGTGTTTACTACAAAATGATTATGGTAATGGTCATTACATGATGAAAACATTGAAGTATAACTCTTTTTTTAGTTTTCATATGATTCATTAATTCTTAGAAAATGTCAGCTGGAATAGGGCTGCAAATTACTAAGTGTTAACAATCACCATGACATTTGTAATACCGTATTTAATATGTACACTACCGTTCAAAAGTTTGGGTCACTTAGAAATGTCCTTGTTTTCCATGAAAACATACATGAAATTAGTTTGAATAGGAAATATAGCAAAATGCATAGGAAATGTAGTCATTGACAAGGTTAGAAATAATGATTTTTAATAGAAATAATAATTGTGTCCTTCAAACTTTGCTTTTGTCAAAGAATCCTCCATTTGCAGCAATTACAGCCTTGCAGACCTTTGGCATTCTAGTTGTCAATTTGTTGAGGTAATCTGAAGAGATTTCACCCCATGCTTCCTGAAGCACCTCCCACAAGTTGGATTGGCTTGATGGGCACTTCTTACATACCATACGGTCAAGCTGCTCCCACAACAGCTCAATAGGGTTGAGATCCGGTGACTGTGCTGGCCACTCCATTATAGACAGAATACCAGCTCACTGCTTCTTCCCTAAATAGTTATTGCATAGTTTGGAGCTGTGCTTTGGGTCATTGTCCTGTTGTAGGAGGAAATTGACTCCAATCAAGTGCCGTCCACAGGGTATGGCATGGCGTTGCAAAATGGAGTGATAGCCTTCCTTCTTCAAGATCCCTTTTACCCTGTACAAATATCCCACTTTACCACCACCAAAGCACCCCCAGACCATCACATTGCCTCCACCATGCTTGACAGATGGCATCAAGCACTCCTCCAGCATCTTTTCATTTGGTCTGCGTCTCACAAATGTTCTTCTTTGTGATCCGAAACACCTCAAACTTCGATTATTCTGTCCATAACTTTTTACCCATCTTAATCTTTCCTTTTTAATGGCCAGTCTGAGATATGGCTTTTTCTTTGCAACTCTGCCTAGAAGGTCAGCATCCCGGAGTCGCCTCTTCACTGTTGACGTTGAGACTGGTGTTTTGCGGGTACTATTTAATGAAGCTGCCATTTGAGGGACCTGTGAGGCATCTGTTTCTCAAACAAGACACACTAATGTATTTGTCCTCTTGCTCAGTTGTGCACCTGGGCCTCCCACTCCTCTTTCTATTCTGGTTAGAGCCAGTTTGCGCTGTTCTGAGAAAGGAGTAGTACACAGCGTTGTAAGAGATCTTCAGTTTCTTGGCAATTTCTCGCATGGAATAGCCTTCATTTCTCAGAACAAGAATAGACTGACGAGTTTCAGAAGAAAGTTCTTTGTTTCTGGCCATTTTGATCCTGTAATCGAATCCACAATTGCTGATGCTCCAGATACTCAACTAGTCTTAGGAAGGCCAGTTTTATTGCTTCTTTAATCAGCACAACAGTTTTCAGCTGTGCTAACATAATTGCTAACATAAAGGGTTTACTAATGATCAATTAGCCTTTTTAAAATGATAAACTTGGATTAGCAAACACAACGTGCCATTGGAACACAGGACTGATGGTTGCTGATAATGGGCCTCTGTACGCCTATGTAGATATTCCATTAAAAATCAGCCGTTTCCAGCTACAATAGCCATTTACAACATTAACAATGTCTACACTGTATTTCTGGTCAATTTGATGTTATTTTAATGGACAAAAAAATTGCTTTACTTTCGAAAAAAATGACATTTCTAAGTAACCCCAAACTTTTGAACGGTAGTGTATGTAATATGTATTTATTGTTTTGTTATTTATATCATCTTTATACAATGGGTGGGTCAAATCCTGAATGCTGATTGGTTAAAACCGCATTCCAGCCGGTGTCTATTCCACAAGTTACCACCGGCTAAATCTATGACCTTAAAATGCCTATTTACTCTGTTCCATCTGACTGTGCAATCCACTGTCTCATCAGCCCAGCCAGGCTATTTATAAACTTGATCTCCACTATAAAAAGCATCTAGACATTATCTCACATTTCTTTTAGAATAACATTTAGTTTTCAACAGCGGCGATTTGTCTAAACCTTACTGTCTGTCTATCTGACATTTGCAACATTGTTTCAATATTCAAATTCGATCTCCAGCTGTCCCATGGTAATGAATTTTTATGGATATATAAAAAGGTAAAACGAAACTAAGTGCAGCTAGTTTGCAGTCTTTCCAGCTTGTTTTAGCTGTGTTGTTGGCTAGCTCCTCTGAACAACAGTGTCCTGACGAGAGAGCACATTTTCTATGCCAGGCGAAATCGCGCCTCATTAGCATGTCACTAGAAAACAGCTTAAACAAATGCAAATGCAGCTAATTTGCTGTTATTCTGGCTGCACTTTTTGACGTGACTGTAAGTTAGCCGTAGTTGGCTAGCTAGCAAGCAAGGGATAAGAACGTTGCCAGCCATTATGGCAATGGAACATTTAGAACGAACGACTGGGTCGCGTCCATAGATACAGAACAAAAAGACTGAACGACCAGCCGGCTTGGGTAGCAACCCTAGATTTGTGTCGGGACTATATCTTGTGAAAGGATGAAATAATTAATCAAAATAACGTTGTCAATGTCAATCATTATTTGAATATGCTGGTAACCCATTGTATAAAAGTGATAATGCCCTCGTAACCGGTGTTTGGAGGATATATTGGCAAGGTTTGTCGGCCCTCGACTTCGTCACGGGCCTAACAACACCTGTGCCAATATATCCTCCAAACACCGGCTTCTCGGGCATTATCACTTAATTGTAACACTGTCCCCTCCTCCAGAAGTGGGTTCCTCTCTGCTGCGCCACCCGTCCCCGGAGCTGTCCCGTCTCATCTCTGCCCATGGATCCCTCAGTAAGGGCGAGAGGAACTTCCAGTGGCCCGTCCTGGCCTTCGTCATCCAGCACCACGACTTGGAGGGTCTGGAGGTGGCCATGAAGCATGCCCTCCGCAAGTCCGCCTGCAGGGTCTTCGCCATGGAGGTACGTCCATCAAAGATACTCCTGCACATGGTGTACATTAAGTATTTCCCATAGGAAAATGTATCATGCTTACTCTAGCTGGGCATTTGCAGTTGTATACCACAATTCAATAGTTAGCCCTGTAATGTCAAATGCTAACGTGATTAGCCAATTGCAAACATCCTCTTTGAGGTGTCAGTGGTAGTCGCTAGACGGCCCTGTTAGAAAGGACAGAAGTGTAGGCAATATCTGAGATGATAAACTGATTAGAAAGTGTATTTTTCTGAAGTAGTAGTGCTAGGGTTAAGATTAGGTTAAGGTTAGGTTAGTGGTTTGGAAAGCACTGTACCTTTTTCCTAAAAAGTATCGCTCTCCCCTCTGATGATTTTCAAACAGGTTATTTTTGTCAACATTGTAGGTTTTTGTTTTTGTTGTGAAATGAAAAGGACTGAGGTCTGAAAGCCACCATCTAACCCCTCTCCCCCTCCTCAGGCATTCAACTGGCTGCTGTGTAACGTGATCCAGACCACTTCGCTGCACGACATCCTGTGGCACTTTGTCGCCTCCCTCACCCCATCACCCTTTGAACCCGAGGAAGAGGAGGAGGAAGAAAATAAAGCCCATGGGAACAAGGAAATTGTGATGGAGCAGGTGATGTTTGATTAAGAAACCAGGACCTGGGTGGTGTGAGTGGGGGGGCTTGCGAAACAGGTCTCTTGCAAAATAGATTATCTCAATGAGACAAACCTGGATACATAAAGGTTTTTATTTGAGGTACCGGTACAAACATTTTCTATATTCAGACAATATCAATGTATGTCTGAAGTCATTGCATCCTTAATATGTGTGTTTTTATAAACTTTTCCATTATGTTTTCTTCGTACACACAGGAGAGGGACCTTGGAGTGTGTGAGCACCCACTCTCTGACATTGTGATCGCCGGGGAGGCCGCCCACCCGCTCCCCCACACCTTCCACCGCCTCCTCCAGACTATCTCCGACCTCATGATGTCACTTCCTAGTGGCAGCTCCCTGCAGCAGATGGCCCTCAGGTACGGTGGCCCTGTTGCTCAAAGTTCACCTACGCTTTAAACTTCAGCTAAATAATGTTAACCATACACTTGGAACAGAGCATATTATCTTGCAATAAGACTAAAGCTAAGGGTCAAATACTTTTCTGTATATATGAATAGGCCATATAATGTTAACTTTACCAAAGGTTACATGTGTTGTGACTGAGTGTGTGACAGAGAAAATTGTTTTTTGTGTCATTTAGAGGGACAATGCGTGCATTTTAGCGTTTGAGTTACTTTTCAAAAGTTGCTAAAAGTTCCCAAAATCTTTTTAAAAGTAGCTACATTTGTTGCCAGGGTAGTCTGAAAAGTTGCTAAATCTACCAACAAAATTGCTAAGTTGGCATCACTGGTTGCTATAGACCAAGTGCTAACAGTCACTATCTGGATAATATGTGTGAAATGCTTGATAATGAATGTGATATCAACAGAGAGGTATATTTTCTGGGTGACCTAAATATTGTGACTGGCTTTCATCAAGCTGTCCAATCAAGAAAAAGCTTGAAACTGTAACCAGTGCCTGCAACCTGGTTCAGGTTATCAGTCAACCTACCAGGGTATTTACAAAAATAACAGGAATTAATCATCCACTTGTATAGACCACATATTTACTAATGCTGCAGAAATCTGCTCTAAAGCAGTATCTACACCCATTGGATTTAGTAATAAATAATAGCCATATCTAGGAAAACCAAAGTTCCAAAGACTGGACCTAAAATAGTGTATAAGCGATCATACAAGAGGTTTTGCAATGATTCCTATGTTGAAGATTTGGAAAATATTTGTTGGTCTGATGTGTGTAATAAGGAATATACTGACGCTGCACTTCCGGTTACTGACAGGCATGCGCCCATAAAGAAACTGACTGTTAAAACTGTCAAATCCCCATGGATGAATTGAAAAACTGTATGGCTGAGAGGGATGAGGCTAAGGGAACGGCAAATAAGTCTCGCAACACAGCAGATTGGTAAACATACAGTAGAAATTGCATAACTAAACTACACAAAAAGAAACAACTATACTATGGAACAAAGTTACACAATATAAATAATTATAGTTAAAAAGCTCTGGAGTACCTTTAATGAAATTCTAGGCAGAAAAGCTAACTCGGCTCCATCCTTCATTGAGGCTAATGGCTCATTCATAACAAAACCCTTTGATATTGCACACCACAAGATTAGCAAATTTAGTCATGACATGCAAACAACAAATGCTGAGCCTTCATATGCATGCATAACGGATTCAATAATGAAGGACAATTCCGCAAAGTTAGTGTGAAGGAGGTGATAAATTATTGCTATGTATAAATAAGGACAAACCACCTGGAACCGACGACATGGATGGTAAATTACTGAGGTTGGTGGCGTAATACATTGCGGCTCCTATTTGCCACATCTTCAATCTAAGCCTAGAGTGTGCCCTAGGCCTGGAGGGAGGCAAAGGTCATTCCACTGCCCCAAAATAGCAAAGCACACTTTTAATGGTTCAAACAGCAGTTCTAAGCTGACATATGGAATTGTTTTAAGATGGTCATAACATGGATAATTTAGCTATTTGATTTTGAATTTTAGGACTCCATTAAGTATCAGAAAAAAATGTAATAGAAATATTTGATAAAATATTGAATTTGACCTTTACTACTATAGCCCATAGAAACGCATTGAATAACACATTCGTAAATTGAAAAAAAAAAGCCAGTCAAAAAATAAATCATAAGGAATAAGGTTTTGAAGTGTTCGTCCTATATCTAGGAGATATGACAGCTCGGGAAATATATACACTACCGTTCAAAAGTTTGGGGTCACTTAGAAATGTTATTGTTTTCGAAAGAAAAGCAATTTTTTTGTCCATTAAAATTACATCAAATTGATCAGAAATACAGTGTAGACATTGTTAATGTTGTAAATGGCTATTGTAGCTGGAAACGGCTGATTTTTTATGGAAAATCTACATAGGCGTACAGAGGCCCATTATCAGCAACCATCAGTCCTGTGTTCCAATGGCACGTTGTGTTTTCTAATCCAAGTTTATCATTTTATAAGGCTAATTGATCATTAGAAAACCCTTTTGCAATTATGTTAGCACAGCTGAAAACTGTTGTGCTGATTAAAGAAGCAATAAAACTGGCCTTCTTGAGACTAGTTGAGTATCTGGAGCATCAGTAATTGTGGGTTCGATTACAGGCTCAAAATGGCCAGAAACAAATAACTTTCTTCTGAAACTCATGAGTGTAATCTTATTCTGAGAAATGAAGGCTATTCCATGCGAGAAATTGCCAAGAAACTGAAGATCTCGTACAACACTGTGTACTACTCCCTTCACAGAACAGCGCAAACTGGCTCTAACCAGAATAGAAAGAGGAGTGGAAGGCCCCGGTGCACAACTGAGCAAGAGGACAAATACATTAGTGTCTAGTTTGAGAAACAGACTCCTCACAGATCCTCAACTGGCAGCTTCATTAAATAGTACCCGCAAAACACCAGTCTCAACGTCAACAGTGAAGAGGCGACTCCGGGATGCTGACCTTCTAGGCAGAGTTGCAAAGAAAAAGCCATATCTCATATCTTAATCTTTTCTTTTTATTGGCCAGTCTGAGATATGGCTTTTTCTTTGCAAGCATTTTTCCTATTTTGTTGCCTTACAACGTGGAATTAAAATTGATATTTTTTGGGGGGTTTGTATCATTTGATTTACACAACATGCCTACCACGTTGAAGATGCAAAATATTTTTTGGGGTGAAACAAACAAGAAATAAGACAAAAAAACAGAGCTTGAAGCGTGCATAACTATTCACCCCCCCCCCCCCCCCCCCCCCCCCCCCCCCCCAAAGTCAACACTTTGTAGAGCCTCCTTTTGCAGCAATTAGAGCTGCAAGTCTCTTGGGGTATGTCTCTATAAGCTTGGCACATCTAGCCACTGGGATTTTTACCCATTCTTCAAGGCAAAACTGCTCCAGCTCCTTCAAGTTGGATGGGTTCTGCTGGTGTACAGCAATCTTTAAGTCATACCACATTTCGATTCTCAATTGGATTGAGGTCTGGGCTTTGACTAGGCCATTCCAAGACATTTAAATGTTTCCCCTTAAACCACTCAAGTGTTGCTTTAGCAGTATGCTTAGGGTCATTGTCCTGCTGGAAGGTGAACCTCCGTCCCAGTCTCAAATATCTGGAAAACTGAAACCGGTTTCCCTCAAGAATTTCCCTGTGTTTAGCGCCATCCATCATTCCTTCAATTCAGACCACTTTCCCAATCCCTGCCAATGAAAAACATCCCCACAGCATGATGCTGCCACCATCATGCTTCACTGTGGAGATGGTGTTCTCGGGGTGATGAGAGGTGTTGGGTTTGCGCCAGAAATGGTGTTTTCCTTGATGGCCAAAAAGCTCAACTTTAGTCTCATCTGACCAGAGTACCTTATTCCATTTGTTTGGGGAGTCTCCCACGTGTTTGCTTATTGTTTTGCTTTCTTTAAGCAATGTATTTTTTCTGGCCACTCTTCCGTAAAGCCCAGCTCTGTGGAGTGTACGGCTTAAAGTGGTCCTATGGACAGATACTCCAATCTCCGCTGTGGAGCTTTGCAGCTCCTTCAGGGTTATGTTTGGTCTCTTTGTTGACTCTGATTAATGCCCTCCTTACCTGGTCTGTGAGTTTTGGTGGGCGACCCTCTCTTGGCAGGTTTGTTGTGGTGCCATATTCTTTCTATTTTTTAAAAATGGATTTAATGGTGCTCCGTGGGATGTTCAAAGTTTCTGATATTTCTTTATAACCCAACCCTAATCTGTACTTCTCCACAACTTTGTCCCTGACCTGTTTGGAGAGCTCCTTGGTCTTCATGGTGCCACTTGCTTGGTGGTGCCCCTTGCTTAGTGGTGTTGCAGACTCTGGGGCCTTTCAGAACAGGTGTGTGTATATATACTGATATCATGTGGCACTTAGATTGCACACAGTGGACTTTATTTAACTAATTATGTGACTTCTGAAGGTAATTGGTTGCACCAGATCTTATTTAGGGGCTTCATAGCAAAGGGGGTGAATACATATGCACGCGCTACTTTTCCATTCTTAATTTTTTTAGACTTTTTTTGAAACAAGTTATTTTTTTGGTTTCACTTCACCAATTTGGACTATTTTGTGTATGTCCATTACATGAAATCCAAATAACAATCAATTTAAATTACAGGTTGTAATGCAACAAAATAGGAAAAACGCCAAGGGGGATGAATACTTTTGCAAGGCACTGTAGAGTTTAATGGCTGTGATAGGAGAAAACAGGATGGATCAACAACATTGTAGTTACTCCACAATACTAACCTAATTGACAGAGTGAAAAGAAGGAAGCCTGTACAGAATAAAACTCTTCCAAAACATGTATCCTGTTTGCAACAAGACACTAAAGTAATACTGCACAACAATGTGGCAAAGCAATTAACTTATTGTCCTGAATACAAAGCGTTATGTTTGGGGCTAATGCAATACATTACGGAGTACCACTCTCCATGTTTTCAATCACAGTGGTGGCTGCATCATGTTATGGGTATACCAGGATAAAAAATGTATGGAATGGAGCTAAGCATAGGCAAAATCCATGAGGAAAACCTGGTTCAGTCTGCTTTCCAGCAGACACTGGGAGATGAATTCACCTTTCTGCAGGACATTAACCTTAAACTCAAGTCCAAATCTACACTGGAGTTGTTTACCAAGAAGACGGTATAGGTTCCTGAGTGGCCGAGTTACCGTTTTGACTTAAATCTACTTGAAAATCTATGGCAAGACCTGAAAATGGTTGTTGATCAACAACCAATTTGAAGGAATTTTGAAAAGAATAATGGGCAAATGTTGCACAATCCAGGTGTGGAAAGCTCCTAGAGACTCACCCAGAAAGACTCACAGCTTTAATCGCTGCCAAAGGTGCGTCTTTAAAGTATTGACTCGGGTGTGAGTACTAATGTAAATGAGATTTCTGTATTTCATTTTCAATACATTTGAAAATGTTTCTGAAAACATGTTTTCACTTTGTCATTATGGGGTATTGTGTGTAGATGAGTGATAGAGAGAAAAATCCATCCATTTTAAATTCAGGCTATAACACAACAAAATGTGAAGTAAGTCAGTGTTTGAATACTTTCTGAAGGCACTGTATTTTTCTTAGGTTTTGCCACAATAAATTATATTGAAAAAGTGTTTTAATGATGATTACTAATCTACTACCTTCTCTGAAAATCTCACCCCCAATAATTAATTGATAGGTATGAAACCCTACCAATCCTGTGACCCACAAACATCAATTTTCTTTCTCAATATGGTAGTGTTATCTGGTAGGGCATTGAACTGTCGACTTGAAAATGCAAACTGGAGTTTTGCATAAAGATTTGGCCATAGATTACATTCACGTAAAAATAATATCGCCAATATATTATTAATTAATCATTCTCATTATCAAATTAGATTATTTTTTGGCAGCTATATATATCCATAAATTGCACACTGAATATGCAATAATAATAATAAAATGTAGCTCCGGCAATATGGGTCATATTTAAACGGTTTGGTCTAGAGCAAGGGACTCCAACTATTTCTTTAATAAGAGCTACTTCATACAAAAAATCATTTTTGCGAGCTATTCATATACAGCCTGCATATTTTGTTATTGTGTAAGTCTAATTTGATGAATAGAAACAAAGAACAGCACCGCATACATAATGTGATTGCGTTTTGGTTCTTAAAACCACACACCATTCTACTGTAGCCTACCTTGAGAATCGTGCCTTTTTAAGATGAGAGAAAATAAAAGGGTTTACATTTGTACAGATCTGTAGCCTGCCATTACAGGACTAGGCTACTATCAATTATTTTTGTCATTCTGTTTAATAGTGGCTTTTTAAACAACACACCACAGTGAGTAGGCTACATATTTGACAACAAATCGTGAAGAAATTGAATAATCATGATGAAGAAACAGAATAATCAAACTATGAGGAAAATCAAAAGTGTAGTCTCAGCAAGCACACTACTTGACCGTTCCGCTTTTTGAACTAAAACATTTTCACAATGTGATTTAACCGATTGATGTCGAGCAAATAGATGGAAACAATTACAGAATGGTGTTAAATGCCTGTAAACGACTTGGGAAGAAAAATTATTTCACATATTTAATTAGGGGTGTAATGGTTCACCAAACCCACGGTTCGGTATGTATTGATCATGAGTCATATAATGCCTGATGAGAGCAGAATCAGGAATACCAAGACTTTTGTATTTTCTTAAATGAAAACACATGATTACTCAACAACAACACTAAAATAAAGTGCAATATGCATGTGAAATCAATATGGAAACATGGCTCAGTCATTGTATAGGCCTATGCTATAACATTTTCTCACAAAGAGAAAAATATGCGCTTTTGTGTGACTCATAAAGGAGGCATGTCTGGTAGGCTACTTCTCATTTCCCACTCAGGGGTAATGTGATGGGCTGTCACTGTTAAGTAGCTCTCTGTAGCCCTGGAGGTTCATCCATCTGTAGGAAGCGCAACACAGGATGCATTGGCCAATTCATTGACTTCAGTTTTAGCTTGCTTATATAGAGCGGTTACTACCTGTTTGCTGAAATGGGTGTGAGAGGGCGAAGTTCGTAACGTGGCTCCAGCACTTTCACGAGGTGCTGAAACCCCCTATTCTTCGCAACCACCGAGAATGGGCGCATATCTGCGGTTATAAACATTCCTACCGCAGAGGGAGACGTTGTTGTTTTTTGTGTTTCCGTCTTGCTCCCGTGGTAGGAATACTGGGGTGATGTCGGTGTAAATGTGTCAATATGTTTGAGGTGTTGGCAGCTGCATAGGCTTTTCTCATTGAGCAGTGGTGACACTCTCTCTATCACAGTTGTAATCTACTGGGAATCCAGAATGTTCCCAAACTGGAGATTTAAACGATGATGGAGAATCCTCCTGGTTTAACAACCCCACCACTCGCCATCGTACAGAACTAGTTCCCGGCTGCGCCTCACAAAAGGACAGTTTGAAATGCGGCAATTAAGAATATAATTTTGATTACAACGTGCGCATAGGCTCTAGTTGTTTAACGGAATAGCCTGAAATGTTTTTTACAGCTCAGATTTACTTAAAAGGCATACAACGCAGCGTAGGCATAGCCTATAGGCCTAGTGTTTTTCATATTTATTCATGTATTCATTCGAGTTCACAGTGCAAACCGAGGTCCCCGTACCGAACAGTTCGATACAATATGTGTACCGTTACTCCCCTAGATTTAATAATGTAATATTAGGCCTACTGATTATTTCTCAGTATCTACTTGCGAGCTACTCATTGACAGCCCACGAGCTACCGAACTTGCAGTTTTCTGCAAAGGTGCAACCTTTGGTAGGCAGACGGAAGATAAGGTCACTCAGTCCAGAGGCTGCGATACAGCGAAGCCGAATCAGACATGCCCGTTCTCATGGCCTTAATGGCCATGTACTCTTATCTCCACCCGGCACAGCCAGAAGAGGACTGGCCACCCCTGTCTGGTTCCTCTCTAGGTTTCTGCCTTTCTAGAGTTTTTCCTAGCCACCGTGCTTCTACATCTGCATTGCTTGCTGTGTGGGGTTTTAGGCTGGGTTTCTGTATAGCACTTTGTGACATCTGCTGATGTAAAAAGGGCTTTATAATTTTTATTTTATTTTTATTTGGTTCTTACAGGCGAAGTGAAATTATACAATGAATTTACATGTGGTGCACGCCGCTCAAATTATATTTAACAACACCCTGAGTGCATCGGACATGAAACAACGATACAAATGTAACAAAAGCACAACAAAATAAATCAACCTTTTTATTTTTTTTATTTTTTCTTTAACCTTTATTTAACTTTATTTTGCAGGTGCTTTTTCATTTTAAACACCAGTGGTCTAACTAGCACTTTCTATTAGCTGCACTGAACCAAAACAGTGTGTCGCGGGAGCGAAGCAAAACTTTAGTGGTCAAAACCATTCATCGATGGGGGGTGGTGGTGCAAAATGCAATCTTAATTCTAAAATGTTTGAATACAGACTAGTTCAAAACATTACTAATCATTGAAAATTACAAATGGATAATTTTCTAGTAATAAAGTGGGGTTGCAAAAAAAAAAACTATTTTGAAAGTGGTGGTGCAGCTGCTCTGTTTGCGCCATTGGTCAGGCGCCTATGGGTGCACCATCCGCCAACCAACTTAGCTACCACTGTACTGATCAATGTGAGCGCATGATCTCACCCTTGACCCGGAGTGTTTCCCCATTTATCTATCAGGTGTTGGAGTCTGAAGTTCAAGCAGTCGGACCACCAGTTCCTGCACCAGAGCAACGTGTTCCACCACATCAACAACATCCTGTCCAAGTCGGACGACGGCGACAGCGAGGAGAGCTTCAACATCAGTGTGCAGTCTGGCTACGAGGCCATGAGCCAGGTGAGACAGAATCCCATAGGAGAGCCATACCCATAGGGCCGTTTTCCCGGACCCATATTAAGCCTAGTACTGGACTAAGAAGTTATTTAAATGGAAAATATCCATTGAAAATTATTTTTAAACCAGGACTAGATCTGGGAAACTGGCCCTTGAAGTTTTGTGGTGGCTAGCTCGACCTTATGAAAGCGGGTAGAGAAGAGACTAGGTGAGTCAGGTACCACAGATGCTGTCTGAGACCCAAGTGCAGACCAACACAACAGTCCAACTGATACCTGAGTCGTGTTCATTAGGGAATGCAACAGAATTATTTTTAAAACTTTTCTTATTTGTTAAGTCCAGGTATTCCCTCCTTTTTTCAGTCTGCTTTCTTCCGTTAAGTGCCTAAAGAACATGACCCTGGACCTTCTTTATTGATGAAATTATTACTTTTATATTGGACTAGGTTTAGGAGTAACAACATTGTAATTTTTTTTATGTTATCCTCAATTATTTTAAATGTGTTGTATCCACTTGTGTGGCTGAAATGTTCATTTCTAAATTGTCCAATAAATCTTATTTATCTATATAGCTGGGAGGTGTTGAACATCATTTGACCTTCCAGGAGATGTGCCTGGTGACCTGTCTGAAGGACCTGACCAGCTTGGTGGACATCAAGACGTCCAGCCGTCCGGCCATGATTGGCAGCCTAACGGACGGCTCCACCGAGACCTTTTGGGAGTCGGGCGATGAGGACAAGAACAAGACCAAGAGCATCACCGTCAGCTGCGTCAAGGGCATCAACGCCTCCTACGTCACCGTGCACGTGGACAACTCCCGCGACATCGGGGTGAGTAGGGAGGGGTTGGAGGGACATAATACTCCAAAATCTAATTAGTCAGATGCCACAATCTAAGATTAATGGAAAAACTGGCTGTGTTCATTGATATTAAAGCCGCTCTTCGCTGTCTAACTCCACAGAACAAAGTCACCTCCATGACGTTCCTGTGTGGCAAAGCCGTGGAGGACCTCTGCAGAATCAAACAGGTTTGGCCTCTTATTTTTAATTTTAAAAAATACATTAAAAAAATTCCGCAAATTATGAAAGTGAAGGAGAGTGATTCATTGAATGGGACACAGACATAGGAGCAGTTTGATTCATATCCACGCTAACACACACTGAATATGTATATGTATTTATTATGGATCTCTTCCTGGGCTCCAGCGAAATTAAGGCAGTTCTACAATTTTTAAAACATTACAATACATTCATAACAGATTTCACAACACATTAACACATATGTGCTGCAGGCCATGGCCTTACCGCCAGACCAGCCCCAAGCATCTGAGTGGGTAGGTTGTGTGAATAAGGAAAGGACTCAATTAATCACCCTAAGATGTGCCTCTGGTTAAAAGTAGGTCACTACATGTATTGCACTACTATTTGGGAAGTGAAGTGAGATACAGCCTAATATAGCTAACTACTATACTACAGGATATGGCAAACTTACAGCAATTGAAGCCCTTCTGTACAATGTGTATTGTAATTTACTGTATGTAAATAACATCTGTTTTAAAAAGAAGGAACAAAGGGAAAGCGGTACTAAACATTTTGGTTCACCTCGGCGTCAACACAACCTTCACTCACCAATCCCTTCCTTCTCCCCACCTCTCTCCAGATCGACCTCGACTCGCGTCACATGGGCTGGGTGACCAGCGAGGTTCCTGGGGGAGACCACCATGTGATCAAGGTGGAGCTGAAGGGGCCCGAGAACACGCTGCGGGTGCGCCAAGTCAAGGTGTTGGGCTGGAAGGAGGGCGAGAGCATTAAGATCGCGGGGCAGATCTCGGCCAGCGTGGCCCAACAGAAGAACTGCGAGGCCGAGACGCTCCGCGTGTTCCGCCTCATCACCTCACAGGTCGGTTCACCTGACAATCAATTGCACTATGGGGTCAAAATGTTAATGTTTTCTTTCACTTTAGATCTAAGTGTGTTGTGTGTGTAGGTGTTTGGGAAGCTGATCTGCGGAGATGCTGAGCCCACCCCTGAACAGGAGGAGAAGAACCTGCTGTCATCACCAGAGGGAGAGGACAAGGTAAGGGGTCATACTGTATACCAGGGATTCCCAACCTTTTTCACCCACCCCCCTATTTCACACTTGAATTGTTTTTGCAAATAAAGACAAAAAACAACATTGGATATGATAAATATTGTTGTTTATGTGTTATTGTTTACCTGTCATCAGGCGCCTTCAGATGCAGACCTGAAGGAACACATGGTGGGCATAATTTTCAGCCGGAGCAAGCTGACCAACCTGCAGAAACAGGTCAGCAGTCTCTTACCTCACAACCTATGGAATACCTGGCCAATAAAGTGCAATTAACTACAATATACAATAATCCTCTGTAGCAGGCTTTGAGGGACCGGGTTCAAGCCCCTGACTCTGCTTACCCTCTTCATGTTATCTTCACACTTGAAATTGACTTCATATCCCTCTCTCGCTTTCCTCTCCCTTCCCCCTTCCAGGTGTGCGCCCACATCGTCCAGGCCATTCGCATGGAGGCGACCCGGGTGCGTGAGGAATGGGAGCACGCTATCTCCAGCAAGGAAAACGCCAACTCGCAGCCCAGCGACGACGACGCCTCCTCGGACGCCTACTGCTTCGAGTTGCTCTCCATGGTGCTGGCGCTGAGCGGCTCCAACGTGGGCCGCCAATACCTGGCCCAGCAGCTGACACTGATGCAGGACCTGTTCTCGCTGCTGCACACGGCCTCGCCGCGTGTCCAGAGACAGGTGGGCAGGGTTAATTTCGTCGACAAAGTATTCGTCAAATACCTATTTTTCAGTGGCAATTGACGAGACTATAACTGACTAAATAGACCCAGCAAAAAATACTTTTCATTTCTGTTGATTAAAACGAGACGATACGAAATTATCTCTGTGACTAAAATCGGACTACTAAGTGGACTGGACAAGAGTTTTTGAGAGATGGAGGGCATTTCAGTGTTAAGCATAATGAATATTAGCAGCACAGATGTGCAGCACAGTTCTGTTCAGCAGTGGGAAGGACGCGCCACACCCGGCACACGCAGCCTAGCCTACATCAGCTGGTGAGCTGCCTGGGAGCAAGCGATGAGTGTGGGCAGACAGGCTCCGCTCCGGCTCCGCTTCCGATTATACACATCGCGCAGGAGACTTTCTTGCTTCCCCATAGCTAACCAGTCACCACCAGCCTTCTAGTTATATACCCTTTGCCTGGTTAAGAAAAACAAGCTACTTTACGAAATGAAAAACAACGGCAGCATTACGTTTAATAGTAAAACAATAGTCTAGCAATGTTTTCTCACCGTTGAGTATAGAAACGTTTTTGATTTTGTAGTCTCACTCAACCCTCGCACTTTCACCACTGCATTTCATTGCTAGGTTCTGTAGCCGACGTACTAGCCAAGTCTCCCTCTTTTCCTCAGAGAAAACAGCTTGATTCTATCCATTGCCATTCAAAAGATATACCGTATTGGTCCGAATATAAGACGGCCTTTTTTCCCCTCGAAATAGGTCCAAAAAAGTCGGGTCGTCTTATATTCGGGGTCTAGTATTCAGAGCGCAGTTTCTCTTCTTCGGCGCTCCCTTTAAATGTCAATACACATTCGCGGGCACAGATGGCGCCAAAAATTCGTTCCGGACGGAGGGAAGAGGCGTCCTTAACAACCAGCCCGTTACCGGTGTTTAAAGATGGAAAGACAGGCTGACCATTTAGAGACAAGTGGCTCAAAAGTGGGCCAGGTCAATAAACAACAGCGGAGGAGCTATGATGCCAATTTCAAAATAATGGTTGTCAATAAGGCAGAGTCATCTAACAACTGCCAAGCTGCCAAGACATTCGGGGTCACTGAGTGTAATGTAAGAAGATGGCGAGCAGAAAAACAACGTCTAAAAGATGCTAACAGTCAGCGAAAATCCTTCCGTGGTCCTCAAAGTGGTCGTTTCATTGAGGTTGACCGGAGGGTTTTTGAATATGTCAGGGAAAAAAGAAGTGAGGGAATGCCCATTACCAGAGCTGTCATCCAGGTTAAGGCCCTGGAAATCGCCAGAGAGCTCAACATCACTGGATTTAAAGCCAGCCTCGGCTGGTGTCGTAGGATGATGCGGCGTAATGGACTGTCACTTAGACGGAGAACGAGTTTGGCCCAACGCCTGCCGTCAGACTTCGGAGAGAAGCTGCTTTCGTTTCAGCGCTTTGTTATCAACCTGAGGAAGAAGCACTCCTACCCGCTGGATCAGATCGGCAATGCTGATCAGACACCCGTTTATTTCGACATGCCAACATCGGTGACTGTCAATAGAAAGGGAGAAAAGTCTGTGTTGGTGAAATCAACGGGCAACGAGAAGAGCCGCGTCACTGTCATGTTGACATGTCTCGCTGGTGGCAGCAAACTCCCCCCGTATGTCATTCTTAAGCGTAAGACTGTGCCAAAGGACCCAATGCCAGCTGGCATTATTGTGCGCGCCCAGGAGAAGGGCTGGATGGAGTCGGGGCTTGTAGTGGACTGGCTAAAGGTTGTGTGGGGCGCACGCTACGGGGGACTGAGGAAGAGGAGGAACATGCTCGTTCTGGATGCGTTCCGCGGACATCTGACTGAGCCCGTGAAAAGTCAGGTGCGAGCAATGAACGGGGATCTTGTGATCATACCAGGGGGAATGACAAGCCAGCTACAGGTGTTGGACGTAGTTGTGAACAAGCCTTTCAAGGATAACCTGCGAAAAAAATACACAGAGTGGCTCCTGTCTGGCAACCACGCACTCACACCGACCGGGAAAATACAGAAGCCGTCAGTCCGTCTACTGTGTGAATGGATCCTGCATGCATGGGATGCTATTCCCTCACAGAGCATCATCGATGGCTTTAAAAAATGTTGCATCTCAAATGCATTGGACGGCAGCGAGGACGACGTGCTTTGGGAGGAGCCGGTGGAAGCGGAGCAGCTGGGGAGCGATGACAGCGAGAGCGAACACAGCGGGGCAGAGGACGTGTGTGAGGGATAGAGAGACATCGGAGGAGAAGTTTGGCGAATTTTTGTTAAGTTTAGTTAAATGTGTGGCCTGTATTTTCTCTGTTATTTAAAAATGTTGCTTTATTATTGCTTGATATTAATTTTGAATCATACTGTACATAGTTTGCCTTTGTGTTTAATTCACTGTGTTTTTAATATTGTTATTTTAAAATAAAATGAAGTTCTTTGTTCGGCAAATCTAGTCTGCAAATCTGTTTTTCTAAATGTTTGTGTTGAAAAACGGGGGGTCGTCTTATAATCAGGGTCGTCTTATATTCGGACCAATACGGTAATACCGGCGCTATGTTTTTTTATTTCTATTGTTCATTGGCAGGCCGGACTTTACATTCATAAAGTAAATCGCGGGCCGTTCTAAAACTAGACTATTAGACTACTTGCGGACCGGACCGTTAACCATTTGTTTAGGGGTACACCTTGTTCAGTCACGTTACCTCATTAGCTAGCTATAGCTAACAACCTGGGGCGTGTTCAGCAGGATGCAGCGTTTATGAACATTCAGATATAAATATGTTAGGTAGAAGAAACATGCCTCTAAAGGCGTCAGCATGCTTCTGTTCAGCCGGCTCCTAGCGAACCGGACGAGTCCCTTAAAATAATTTCGCTTGGAAAACTAGAAAAAGCTGCAATAGTGCTGTTTGTCCATATTGAGACTTCCTCAAAAGAGTCAGAATTAATCAAAGATAACTCAAGAAATCTGTCATTAGTTTTGATTTTTTTGCCGAGGAGATCTTAGTCGCACAATTTTACATCTAACTGAGATGTTTGGTGCAGTATGAAAACTAGTCGTCTTTCGTTGAACGACAACAAACACTTAATTGAAGAATTCCTACTGTTGACCAATCACCGACAAAGGGGCGTGGACTTCGGCTACTGACTTAGGCTTGCCTTCAGAAAAGATGTGTGCACGAACAGCCGAAAAAAATCCTTGCCGAAGACCAAAACGAACAAAAACGTCACAAATGTTGTCATAATACAGTGCATTCGGAACGTATTCAGGCCTCTTGACTTTTTCCACATTTGTTTAGTTACAGCCTTATTCTAAAATTGATTAAATATTTTTTTCCCCTCATCAATCTACAGACAATACCCCATAATGACAAAGCAAAAACATGTTTTTAGAAATGTTTGCAAATATATTAAATAAAAAACGGAAATATTACATTTACATAAGTATTCAGACCCTTTACTCAGTACTTTGGCAGCAATTACAGCCTCGAGTATTCTTGGGAATGAAGCTACAAGCTTGGCACACCTGTATTTGGGGAGTTTCTCCCTTTCTTCTCTGCAGATCCTCTCAAGCTCTGTCAGGTTGGATGGGGAGCGTCTCTGCACAGCTATTTTCAGGTCTCTCCAGAGATGTTAGATCGGGTTCAAGTCCGGGCTCTGGCTGGGCCACTCAAGGACATTCAGAGACTTGTCCCGAAGCCACTCCTGCATTGTCTTGGCTGTGTGCTTAGGGTCGTTGTCCTGTTGGAAGGTGAACCTTCGCCCCAGTCTGAGGTTCTGAGCACTCCGGAGCAGGTTTTCATCAAGGATCTCTCTGTACTTTGCTCCGTTAATCTTTCCCTCGATCTTGACTAGTCTTCCAGTCCCTGCCGCTGAAAAACATCCCTACAGCATGATGCTGCCACCACCATGCTTCACCGTAGGGATGGTGCCAGGTTTCCTCCAGATGTGACGCTTGGCATTCAGGCCAAAGAGTTCAATCTTGGTTTCATCAGACCAGAGAGTCTTGTTTCTCATGGTCTGAGAGTCCTTTAGGTGCCTTTTGGCAAACTCCAAGCAGGCTGTCATGTGCCTTTTACTGAGCAGTGGCTTCCGTCCGGCCACTCTACCATAAAGGCCTGATTGGAGGAGTGCTGCAGAGATGGTTGTCCTTCTGAAAGGTTCTCCCATCTCCACAGAGGAACTCTGGAGCTCTGTCAGAGTGACCATCAGGTTTTTGGTCACCTCCTTTACCAAGACCCTTCTCCCCCGACTGCTCAGTTTAGCCGGGCGGCCAGCTCTAGGAAGAGTCTTGGTGGTTCCAAACTTCTTCCATTTAAGAATGATGGAGGCCACTGTGATCTTGGGGACCTTCAATTTTGCAGACATTTTTTGGTACCCTTCCGCAGATACAGTGCCAGTCAAACGTTTGGACACACCTACTCATTCAAGGGTTTTTCTTAATTTTTTACTATTTTCTACATTGTAGAATAATAATGAAGACATCAAAACAATGAAATAACACATATGGAATAATGTAGTAACCAAAAAAGTGTTAAACAAATCAAAATATATTTCAAATAGCCACCCTTTGCCTTGATGACAGCTTTGCACAATCTTGGCATTCTCTCAACCAGCTTCACCTGGAATGCTTTTCCAACAGTCTTGAAGGAGTTCCCACATATGCTTACATTTACATTTTAGTCATTTAGCAGATACTTTTATCCAGAGCGACTTACAGTTAGTGAGTGCATACATTATTTTTTTATTTTTTCATACTTGCCCCCCGTGGGAATCGAACCCACAACCCTGGCGTTGCAAACGCCATGCTCTACCAACTCCCTCCCCTACCTTGGACGACACTGGGCCAATTGTGCGCCGCCCCATGGGTCTCCCGGTCGCGGCCGGCTATGACAGAGCCTGGATTCGAACCAGGTTCTCTAGTGGCACAGCTAGCACTGCGATGCAGTGCCTTAGACCACTGCGCCACTCGGGAGAGTGGCTGCTTTTCCTTCACTCTGCCATCCGACTCATCCCAAACCATCTCAATTGGGGTTGAGATTGGGGGATTGTGGAGTCCAGGTCATCTGATGCAGTACACCATCACTCTCCTTCTTGGTAAAATAGCCCTTACACAGCCTGGAGGTGTGTTGAGTCATTGTCCAGTTGAAAAACAAATTATAGTACCACTAAGCCCAAACCATAAGGGATGGCGTATCGCTGCAGAATGCTTACGTAGCCATGCTGGTTATTGTTATCTACACAATATCCCATAATGACAAAGCAAAAACTTGATTGGAGTCCACTTGTGGGAAATTCAATTGATTGGACATGATTTGGAAAGTGCATGTCAGAGCAAAAACCAAGCCATGAGGTCGAAGCAATTGTCCGTAGAGCTCTGAGACTGGATTGTGTCGAGGCACAGATCTGGGGAAGGGTACCAAAAAATGTCTGCGGCATTGAAGGTCCCGAAGAACACATTGGGTCTATCGTTCTTAAATGGAAGAAGTTTGGAACCACCAAGACTCTTCCTAGAGCTGGCCGCCCGGCTAAACTGAACAATCAGAGGGGAAGGGCCTTTGTCAGGGAGGTGACCAAGAACCTGATAGTCACTCTGACAGAGCTCCAGAGTTCCTCTGTGGAGATGCGAGAACCTTCCAAAAGGACAACCATCTCTGTAGCACTCCACCAATCAGTCTTTTATGGTAGAGTTGCCAGACGGAAGCCACTCCTCAGTAAAAGGCACATGAAAGCCCGCTTGGAGTTTGCCAAAAGACACCTTAAGACTCTCAGACCATGAGAAACAAAATTCTCTGGTCTGATGAAACCTAGATTGAACTCCTGAATGCCGAGCGTCACGTCTGTCCATTGAAGAATAAGGCTGTAACATAACAAAATGTGGAAAAAGTGAAGAGGTCTGAATACTTTCCGAATGCACTGTATACACCTGGCACACCTACTCAATGACGAACCATGTGGTGCTGGTCCAGTCTGGTTTCCTGAATCATGACAATCTTAAGAGGAGCTGAACTCAAAAACGTATCTGGTTCAAAACAGCCTATGTGGCATCAGTATTAGTCATAAACAATTGTATTAGTTGCAAAGTTGGTAGAACTTTGGTCATGAAGTCAGTATATTCCAAAACTGATATTAGTGAGATTTAAAGATTCTAGGGGTACATAAGAGTTTTCTTGGATTTAGATTTCATCCTGCCCACATGTCCATGGCTGGCAGCCCCCGAATAACCAACCTTCAGCCTGCCCTTTTTCTTTACAGACAGCAGAGCTAACCAATTGAGGCATTAGCACACAGCATCTCGGGGCTCGTTTGATTTACGTAATTTGAGACAACGAACTAGAGGATCTCTATGAAAGCACCATTCTATCGGACAACTGCATTAAAAATGGGTCCAATTTAATTCAAATTCATAAAATAAACCACTGATTTGATCCATGTCGTCTTCTAAAGCAGCGAACATCGTCGCCAATGTTATGTTAAAAGAACGTCACTTTTTTTCCCCCAACTCAAACATCCTCACATTCATGATGTTAAAAGAACGTCACTTTTTTTTTATTTTACTCAAACATCCTCACATTCATGAGCTAACGTTAACATCACAAACAACTGTCATTAAAGATACGGAAATGCTCAGAGCTTGCGATTCTTGACCAATCAAATGTGCATTGTCATGCGGCGTCACCCGTTTGCTAAGCCATTGTTCACGCGTACGGTGGCTGTTTGGGATATTTGAAGTCAAGAGGAACACACAACGGTAGGCTATTAGTGAACATAACACACTCACAACTCTTTTTGCTTCAGTAATGGTGAAAAAAAACGAGGCTAAATCAGTGAGTTCAACCCCCCTTTAACATCAGCAAAGCCAAAAGAGAATCTCTGCATGATGTACAGTATTATCACTCCAACCATTTGATAACATTGACCACATGGCTATCCATTCTCACCCTTCACCTGTCCCCTCTCTCCCAGGTGACCTCTCTCCTCCGTCGCGTCCTCCCCGAGGTGACGCCCGTGCGCCTGGCCAGCATCATCGGTGTCAAGGCCCTGCCGCCTGCCGATATCAGTGACATCATCCACTCGACCGAGAAGGGTGACTGGAACAAGCTTGGCATCCTGGACATGTTCCTAGGCTGCATCGCCAAGGCGCTCACCGTGCAGCTCAAGGCCAAGGGGACCACAATTTCCGGCACGGCGGGCATGGCGGCAGGCAAAGGCGTTACCACTGTCACGCTGCCCATGATCTTCAACTCCAGGTGAGACTACAACTTTGAGATGTACTCGGGTGAGGGTGGTGTCCCAAAACTAAGTCAAGATGTTTTGCGGTGGTGTGCCCTAACGACCCTGGTACTGTAAATGTAGCCCACCTGGATGGGTTATCTCTCAAAAACAATACATGACTTCGTCGACAAACATTTTTGAGATATTCTCAAACCAATTCTCATTTGTGGTTGTTTGTATATTGTTTTATCAGATGTGATTTCTCCTGATTCAACAAAAATTCCTGATTTTTCAATCAAATCTCAGTCAAATGTATTTATCAAATCAAATTGTATTTGTCACATGCGCCGAATACAACAGGTGTAGACCTTACAGTGAAATGCTTACTTACAAGCCCTTAACCAAGAATGCAGATTTAAGAAAGAATACCCCCAAAAAATAAGAAATAAAAGTAACAGATAATTAAAGAGCAGCAGTAAAATAACAATAGTAAGATAACAATAGCGAGGCTATATACAGGGGGGTACCAGCACAGAGTCAATGTGCGGGGGCACCGGTTAGTCGAGGTAATGGAGGTAATATGTACATGTAGGTAGAGTTATTAAAGTGACTATGCATAGATAATAAACAGAGTAGCAGCAGCGTAAAGTGGGAGGGGGGGGGGGGGGGGGGGGGGGGGCAATGCAAATATAATATAATAATATATAATATGCCATTTAGCAGACGCTTTTATCCAAAGCGACTTACAGTCATGCGTGCATACATTTTTGTGTATGGGTGGTCCCGGGGATCGAACCCACTACCTTGGCGTTACATAGCTGTTCAGGAGTCTTATGGCTTGGGAGTAGAAGCTGTTTGGAAGCCTCTTGGACCTAGACTTGGCGCTCCGGTACCGCTTGCCGTGCGGTAGCAGAGAGAACAGTCTATGACTTGGGTGGCTGGAGTCTTTGAAAATTTCTAGGGCCTTCCTCTGACACTGCCTAGTATAGAGGTCCTGGATGGCAGGAAGCTTGGCCCCAGTGATGTACTGGACCGTACACACTACCTTCTGTATAACGCCCTTTATACATTTTACTAAAATCCTCTTCTATTCATACATCTCTGTAATTTACCTAACCCCTCAAAACCAATATACTCATTGTTTTGCTGATCAGATCTCTGTAGTATTATGTCCCATACTGAACACATTGGTCTAAAACTGCCTCTCTCCATGTGCAGCTACATACGCCGGGGGGAAAGCCACTGGTGGATGAAGGGATCAACTCCCCCTCAGATCGCTGAGATCATCATCAAGCTGGTCAAAGACATGGCTGCCGGACACCTGTCGGACGCCTGGTCTCGGGTGACAAAGAACGCCATCGCTGAGACCATCATCGCCCTCACCAAGATGGAGGAGGAGCATCGCTCGCCAGTCCGCTGCATCGCCACCACCCGGGTACGGCTGTTTTCATATCACGCTACCACAAGTGTGTGTGTGTATGTGCGAGTGTGCATGTCAGACCTTGGTTCAAATACTATTTTGATTACTTTGACATACATTTCAAAGTAAGTATTTGTGTGTGTGTATATATATATATATATATATATATATATATATATATATATATATATATATATATATATATTATTTTTTTTTATTTTTATTAAATAGTATTTGAATATTGAAATGTGTTTGGAAATACACTTGGAAAGTATTGGCATGTATTTTAAATTTACAAATCAAATAAATACTACCATGCATTTGAACCCAGGTCCTAGGAGTATATGAAATAATGCATTTGGAAATAAGTATTTGAAAATATTTTCAAATAGTAGGCTGTTTATAGGACATTATTTAAAAATACTTTCAAATATTTCAGGCACTTTATTTGACAATACTCAATACACAGAAAGTAAGTAGCTATGTCAATAACAAATAATCGAAATGCACATGTATTTGAACCCAGGTCTGGTGTGTGGCTGAAATGTTTGCATGAACTGCGCTCTGTGTGTGTGTGTGTAGTGTGTGACGGATGTTTGTCTGTACACATGTGTTAGGTTAGTGTGTTTGAGTAAATTTGTTGGGATATTCTCCTTTGTCCTCTCTGTCCTCTCTCTCTGTACTGTAGTTGTGGCTGGCACTGGCCTCTCTGTGTGTGTTGGACCAGGATCATGTGGACAGGCTGTCCTCGGGCCGCTGGATGGGCAAAGACGGACAGCAGAAACAGATGGTAACTTGTCCAAATTAGCCTCATAGAACGTGCACTTTGGCAAAGCAATATTGCATTGTAACTTGTAACCAATAGAATCAGAGGCTCTTTTCAATTGTAACCTGTTGAGATAATGCATAAATTAATGGATTTAATTCATAGCACTCAAAAGCGTATTCCTTACAAATGCGATAATTTTAACATTTACATTCATAGGACTATATGGTAAATCAATTTTAATTAAATCACTTTTTGTCAGCATCCCTTTTGATTTAAACAAAACTTCCCATACGTGTTTGCCCATGGAAGAAGTGGTCAGAAAGTGACTTTTTGGACCTGAATGCCAAAACATTCAGGAGATAAAGGTGCTCAGTTGACCCATTTTGTATACCCCAGCATACCATATCACTGGAAAAGATAAACGGTTGAGTTTGATATCATTTAAAAGCTTACCAACAGTGTTGTCAAACTATTTGAGTATTTCTTAAAAATAAATTGCATATGTTGTAGCTTAGACCCTATTTCACATCATCTGAGGTTTTTGTATTTAGCCCGTCATCAGTTGAGACACAACATGCGCTTGAGTACAGGGTGGGTGTGATTTCAATCATAGAAATAGAATTTATAGAATGGACTTATCCCTTCAGACCACTGCAATTTAGCTGGTACACCAGTGAAAAGTAATTTACATTTTAACTTATAATTACTATTACAAAAATGACTGCAGGTCCATCCACCTTAGAATGTAAACTTAAATGGTAATGTCTATTATATTATGTATATTTATATGATTTCAATAGGTTTCCTATAGATGATTGACATTCTAATTTAAAATAACATACAGTACCTGTCAAAAGTTTGGACACACCTACTCATTCAAGGGTTTTTCTTTTTTTGTAAAACTATGTTCTACATTGTAGAATAATAGTGAAGACATCAAAATTATGAAATAACACATATGGAATCATGTAGGAACCAAAAAAGTGTTAAACAAATCAAAATATATTTTAGAATCTTCAAATAGCCACCCTTTGCCTTGATGACAGCTTTGCACACTCTTGGTATTCTCTCAACCAGCTTCACCTGGAATGCTTTTCCAACAGTCTTGAAGGAGTTCCCACATATTCTGAGCACTTGTTGGCTGCTTTTCCTTCACACTGCGGTCCGACTTATCCCAAACCATCTCAGTTGGGTTGAGATCGGGGGATTGTGGAGACCAGGTCATCTGATGGTCATCTCCATCACTCTCCTTCTTGGTAAAATAGCCCTTACACAGCCCGGAGGTGTGTTGGGTCGTTGTCCTGTTGAAAAACAAATGATAGTCCCACTAAGCCCAAACCAGATGGGATGGCGTATCGCTGCAGAATGCTGTGGTAGCCATGCTGGTTAAGTGTGCCTTGAATAAATCACAGACAGTGTCACCAGCAAAGCACCCCCACACCATAACACCACCTCCTCCATGCTTTACGGTGGGAAATAAACATGCAGAGATCATCCATTCACCACACCGCATCTCACAAAGACACGGCTGTTGGAACCAAAAATCTCAAATTTGGACTCCAGACCAAAGGACAAATTTCCACCGGTCTAATGTCCATTGCTTGTGTTTCAAGCAAGTCTCTTCTTCTTATTGGTGTCCTTTAGTAATGGTTTCTTTGCAGCAATTTGACCATGAAGGCCTGATTCACACAGTCTCCTCTGAACAGTTGATGTTGAGATGTGTCTGTGACTTGAACTCTGTGAAGCATTTATTTGGGCTGCAATTTCAGAGGTTGGTAACCTTAATGAACTTATCCTCAGCAGAGGTAACTCTGGGTCTTCCATTCCTGTGGCGTTCCTCATGAGAGCCAGTTTCATCATAGCACTTGATGGTTTTTGTGACTGCATTTGAAAAAAGTTCTTGACATTTTCCGTATTGACTGACCTTCATGTCCTAAAATAATGATGGACTGTCGTTTCTCATTGCTTATTTAAGCTGTTCTTGCCATAATATGGACTTGGCCTTTTACCAAATAGGGCTATATTCTCTATACCCCCCCTACCTTGTCACAACACAATTGATTGTCTCAAACGCATTAAGAAGGAAAGAAATTCCACAAATGTACTTTTAAGAAGGCACACCTGTTAATTGAAATGCATTTCAGGTGATTACCTCATGAAGCTGGTTGAGAGAATGCCAAGAGCGTGCAATGCTGTCATCAAGGCAAAGGGTGGCTATTTGAAGAATCTCAAATATAACATATATTTAGATTTGTTTAACACTTTTTTGGTTACTACATGATTCCAAATAAAATAAAGAAAAACACTTGAATGAGTAGGTGTGTCCAAACTTTCGACTGGTACTGTATATTCCCATTCAAGTCAACTTCCATTGAAGTCAATTGTCTTTATGGTACCATTTAAAAGTTGAAATTTTAATTGTATTGCCATTTTAGCACAATTATAAGCCAAAACATGATACCCACTCTGTGTTCAAGAGCATGATGTCTCAACCGATGCTGGGCACAACAAGTAATTGTCAAGTTCGCAACCCCCCACCTTGTCCATTGGTTGAGCATGTTGATCTGCCATGTACGGAGTACGCACGCACGGTTGCGCCTTTTCCCTAGTTGTCCGGTCGAGTGTGTATAGCTAGCTACCTAGTTTAAATATCAACACTACTGCCACAGCAGCGTAACATTTGATTAACACTTGATTTAGCCTACATCATCATCAATATTCGGTCTGGTTGGCAGATATGCTCAGCAGAGAGAGGCAGAAAGACATAGAAAGGTAAATCATGAATCAGTAAAAGAAATCAAGCTAGCTAACTAGCAGATTTACATCAGTCATCAACATCAATGATCAGCTGATAGCCCACCTTTTCCAGATGTCAATCATGTATTTAGGAGGCTCTGTAACTAGCTTGCTTACATAGGCCTATGCTAAAAAAAAAAAAAAAAAAAAAAAAAAAACTTTAGCTACAGAGGCATTTAGTATGTTATGATTGTCGAGATATGAATTATGAAAGTAAAATAAAAATATGACCGACCAGCTCGATTCGGTCTGATTCTTTGTCTACACCCATTCAGCATCGTTCACACCCTCTTAAGCTTTAGCCCCACCCATCTCTTTAAGGATTCACATTTGAGGCCATGTACTAAACAACCAAAGATTTCAAGACTAAAGACTGGTTTATACAAATTTAATCTGGAGTGCCAGAGTGTGCTCTGGGCGTTCGTAAACTCAGAGCGTTGTCAGATTGTCCGTTCGTAAATTCAGAGCGTTTTGCTCTTGGAACGTTTAGAGCGCACACTGGACGCTCTGGTCGAGGAGTTAGAGTTGATCCGAGCGTTCTGACCCTAACAGCAGCAGTCAGGCACCCAAGCTAACTGGCTAACGTTGGCTAGCTTGCTAGCTGCTTCCAGACACAAATGAGAGAACAGCTCACTCTGACCATTTTACTCGCCCTAGCAGAGCTGGTTAGGCTGTTTTTATGTTATTCAGAGCGTTGGTGACTGAAACTGTGCTGCTGACAACAATTGAATTACGCTTTTTTGCTAACATTTACTGACACCAGCCATATTCAACGGGTGTTGAGCGTTTGTAAATTTGTCAGTTATTGTGCGCTCTCTCAGATGAGAGTGCTCTGAAATCGGATTAGATGTAGCAGTGACGTCATCTGTCTGTCTATCGACAGTTGTCGCAGTGACATCATGAACATTCTATTGAAATGGTTACTTGTATAGAGGAGTCTTTTGTTTAGACGTGTAGCTAGCTAGCTAAACAATGAACCATAATCCCAACTCATAACGTTACTACCCTGCATTAATCTGAAGGTAGCTAACCAACCAGGTTCAATGTTAGCTAGCTAACATTAGGCTATAACTAGCAATGCAAATGGCTCTGAGATACCAATAATATTACTACACAGATCATACACATAACGTTAGTTAGCGAGCCAGCCAGCTAACATTATCTAGCTAGCTAACAGTATACATTAACTTGAAATGGAAACATATTTCTGTGGCTAAACCAACTAGGCTCGTAATTTAACAATTTTATTTGTATTTACAGATAGCATACAGATGGCATTTCTGCCCAAAAACGCATTTTGATTTTTAAAATGTTTACGTTCAAATGGCTCTCCTGTGAAGTAGTGACGTGCGACATACACTTAGTTTCCTGAAACGAGCCACAAATTCAAGCGGGGGGGGGGTGCCCTTTTTTAAATTCATTTTTTTGCACTTGCCCAATGAAAGGTCTGTGCACGGCCCTGTCGAGGTGTTCAGGTCGTAACCATAAAGTCTCATGCTCCCATCCACAGCCCATGTGTGATAACCACGACGACGGTGAGACTGCAGCCATTATCCTGTGTAACATGTGTGGTAACCTGTGTACCGACTGTGACCGCTTCCTCCACCTGCACCGACGCACACGCTCCCATCAGAGACAGGTCAGTAGTACCCACATTCACCTGTAGATGGCAATCTGCTCCCAGTCATTACAGTGCCTTCAGAAAGTATTCACACCCCTTGGCTTTTTCCACATTTTATTGTGTTACAGCCTGAATTTAAAATTGGTTAAAAAAAAGAATGTAAATGTCAGTGGCCTACACACAATACCCCGTAATGTCAAAGTGGAATTATGTTTATCGAAATCTTTACAAATTAATAAAACATGAAAAGCTGAAATGTCTTGAGTCAATAAGTATTCAGCCCCTTTGTTATGGCAAGCCTTTGTAATGGTCTAAAGTCTAAATAAATTCAGGATTAAAACATGTCACATAATAAGTTGCATGGATTCACTCTGTGTGCAATAATAGTGTTTAACATGATTTTTGAATGACTACCTTATCTCTGTACCCCACACATACAATTATCTGTAAGGTCCCTCAGTCGAGCAGTGAATTTCAAACACAGATTCAATCACAAAGACCAGGGATGTTTTCCAATGCCTCACAAAGAAGGGCACCTATTGGTAGATGGGTAAAAATATAAAAGCAGACATTGAATATCCCTTTGAGCATGGTGAAGTTAATAATTACACTTTGGATGTTGTATCAATACATCCAGTCACAACAAAGATTCAGGCGTCCTTATTAATACTGCAAAAAATTTGGCAAAGCAATTCACTTTTTGTCCTGAATACAAAGTGTTATGTTTGGGGTTACTGAGTACCACTATCCATATTTTCAAGCATAGTGGTGGCTGCATCATGTTATGGGTATGTTATGGGTATGCTTGTAATCGTTAAGGACTGGGGAGTTTTTCAGGATAAAAAAGAAATGGAATGGAGCTAAGCACAGGCAAAATACTAGAGGAAAACCTGGTTTAGTCGGCTTTCCACCAGACTGGGAGATTAATTCACCTTTCAGCAGGAGAATAACCTAAAACACAATGCCAAATCTACACTGGAGTTGCTTACCAAGAAGACAGTGAATGTTCCTGAATGGCCGAGTTACAGTTTTGACTTAAATCTACTTGGAAATCTATGGCAAGACCTGAAACTGGTTGTCTAGCAATGATCAACAACCAATTTGACAAAGCCTGAAGAATTTTGAAAAGAATAATGGGCAAATATTGGACAATCCAGGTGTGGAAAGATCTTAGAGACTTACCCAGAAAGACCCACAGCTGTAATTGCTGCCAAAGGTGCTTCTACAAAGTATTGACTCAGGGGTGTGAATACTTATGTAAATTAGATTTCTGTATTTAATTTTCAATAAATTAGCTATATTTTCTAAAAACATGTTTTCACTGTGTCATTATGGGGTATTGTGTATAGATGGGTGAGAAAAAATCTGTTTAGTCCTTTTTTAATTCAGGCTGTAAACCAACAAAATGTGGAATAAGTCAAGCTACTTTCTGAAGAGACTGGGAGCCTGTCAGTGTCATGCTTCTTTCCCCCTTTTTACCACCTGCAATAATGTGTATACCCCCATTTGTGAAGACCTGACCACCTATAAATGTTAGAGATGTTCGACTCAAAATACAACCTAAAATGTTTTTTCCACCTACCTTGGCTATAGTCATTTACAAGACAGTTTTTGTTAGTCATGCTGTGTTTTTTCAGTATTACCATTCATTCTGAAAATATCCAAAACACCTTACAAGACCCTACAATCCAATTCGTATTGCAACTGTAGCCCTTTCTGACAGTAATGATATGTAATTCAACATGGCGGTAACCCTAGTCTGCTGTTTCTCTCCAGGTGTTTAAGGAGGAGGAGGAGGCAATCAAGGTGGACCTCCACGAGGGCTGTGGGAGGACAAAGCTCTTCTGGCTCATGGCTCTGGCTGACTCCAAGACCATGAAGGCCATGGTGGAGTTCAGGGAGCACACAGGTAACAGACCATATCTAGACCCTTTCTGGCCCTGTCCAGAAACAACCCCTAGCTTACCATTACCCCCTAGACAGTTGTATAGATCTGAGAGGGACTGAATATGGTGACATTTCTACCTAGCCTATTAGAAGGTAAAGTGGAGCTACTACTTGTTGCTTATACCTTTCAAATTCTTTACGATCATAAAACGACACCGGCTGTCATGACTGTTAACATCTGCCATGTGATGTTTATGACAGGGTTATGTATGGCTTATTATCCTTTTTTTGTGCATAGCTAATGCTCTGCCTCTGTGTGCAGGGAAACCAGCCTCCAGCAGCTCAGACGCTTGCAGGTTCTGTGGCACCAGGAACGGCACCGAGCTCTCGGCCGTGGGCAGTGTGTGCTCTGACCCAGACTGCCAGGTACCAACCACTCACAACATCAGTCATAATGATCATAGTTCTGGATTGCATTGATAAATCTCTTTTCATATTCAAGTGTTCAGAGCACTACATTTACCTGATCCAGTCATAGTAACATATTGGATCTATATACAGTGGGGAGAACAAGTATTTGATACACTGCCGATTTTGCAGGTTTTCCTACTTACAAAGCATGTAGAGGTCTGTAATTTTTATCATAGGTACACTTCAACTGTGAGAGACAAAAATCCAGAAAATCACATTGTATGATTTTTAAGTAATTAATTTGCATTTTATTGCATGACATAAGTATTTGATCACCTACCAACCAGTAAGAATTCCGGCTCTCACAGACCTGTTAGTTTTTCTTTAAGAAGCCCTCCTGTTCTCCACTGATTACCTGTATTAACTGCACCTGTTTGAACGTGTTACCTGCATAAAAGACACCTGTCCACACACTCAATCAAACAGACTCCAACCTCTCCACAATGGCCAAGACCAGAGAGCTGTGTAAGGACATCAGGGATAACATTGTAGACCTGCACAAGGCTGGGATGGGCTACAGAACAATAGGCAAGCAGCTTGGTGAGAAGGCAACAACTGTTGGCGCAATTATTAGAAAATGGAAGAAGTTCAAGATGACGGTCAATCACCCTCGGTCTGGGGCTCCATGCAAGATCTCACCTCATGGGGCATCAATGATCATGAGGAAGGTGAGGGATCAGCCCAGAACTACACGACAGGACCTGGTCAATGACCTGAAGAGAACTGTGACCACAGTCTCAAAGAAAACCATTAGTAAAACACTACGCCGTCATGGATTAAAATCCTGCAGCGCACGCAAGGTCCCCCTGCTCAAGCCTGCGCATGTCCAGGCCCGTCTGAAGTTTGCCAATGACCATCTGGATGATCCAGAGGAGGAATGGGAGAAGGTCATGTGGTCTGATGAGACAAAAATAGAGCTTTTTGGTCTAAACTCCACTCGCCGTGTTTGGAGGAAGAAGAAGGATGAGTACAACCCCAAGAACACCATCCCAACCGTGAAGCATGGAGGTGGAAACATCATTCTTTGGGGATGCTTTTCTGCAAAGGGGACAGGACGACTGCACCGTATTGAGGGGAGGATGGATGGGGCCATGTATCGCGAGAACCTTCCCTCAGTAAGAGCATTGAAGATGGGTCGTGGCTGGGTCTTCCAGCATGACAACGACCCGAAACACACAGCCAGGGCAACTAAGGAGTGGCTCCGTAAGAAGCATCTCAAGGTCCTGGAGTGGCCTAGCCAGTCTCCAGACCTGAACCCAATAGAACATCTTTGGAGGGAGCTGAGAGTCCGTATTGCCCAGCGACAGCCCCGAAACCTGAAGGATCTGGTCAAGACCTACAGGAAACGTATGATCTCTGTAATTGCAAACAAAGGTTTCTCTACCAAATATTAAGTTCTGCTTTTCTGATGTATCAAATACTTATGTCATGCAATAAAATGCAAATTAATTACTTAAAAATCATACAATGTGATTTTCTGGATTTTTGTTTTAGATTCCTTCTCTCACAGTTGAAGTGTACCTATGATAAAAATTACAGACCTCTACATGCTTTGTACAGTGGGGAAAAAAAGTATTTAGTCAGCCACCAATTGTGCAAGTTCTCCCACTTAAAAAGATGAGAGAGGCCTGTATTTTTCATCATAGGTACACGTCAACTATGACAGACAAAATGAGGAAAAAAAAATCCAGAAAATCACATTGTAGGATTTTTTATGAATTTATTTGCAAATTATGGTGGAAAATAGGTATTTGGTCAATAACAAAAGTTTCTCAATACTTTGTTATATACCCTTTGTTGGCAATGACACAGGTCAAACGTTTTCTGTAAGTCTTCACAAGGTTTTCACACACAGTTGCTCGTATTTTGGCCCATTCCTCCATGCAGATCTCCTCTAGAGCAGTGATGTTTTGGGGCTGTCGCTGGGCAACACAGACTTTCAACTCCCTCCAAAGATTTTCTATTTTGGTTTCATCTGACCATATGACATTCTCCCAATCCTCTTCTGGATCATCCAAATGCACTCTAGCAAACTTCAGACGGGCCTGGACATGTACTGGCTTAAGCAGGGGGACACGTCTGGCACTGCAGGATTTGAGTCCCTGGCGGCGTAGTGTGTTACTGATGGTAGGCTTTGTTACTTTGGTCCCAGCTCTCTGCAGGTCATTCACTAGGTCCCCCCGTGTGGTTCTGGGATTTTTGCTCACCGTTCTTGTGATCATTTTGACCCCACGGGGTGAGATCTTGCGTGGCGCCCCAGATCGAGGGAGATTATCAGTGGTCTTGTATGTCTTCCATTTCCTAATAATTGCTCCCACAGTTGATTTCTTCAAACCAAGCTGCTTACCTATTGCAGATTCAGTCTTCCCAGCCTGGTGCAGGTCTACAATTTTGTTTCTGGTGTCCTTTGACAGCTCTTTGGTCTTGGCCATAGTGGAGTTTGGAGTGTGACTGTTTGAGGTTGTGGACAGGTGTCTTTTATACTGATAACAAGTTCAAACAGGTGCCATTAATACAGGTAACGAGTGGAGGACAGAGGATCCTCTTGAAGAAGAAGTTACAGGTCTGTGAGAGCCAGAAATCTTGCTTGTTTGTAGGTGACCAAATACTTATTTTCCACCACAATTGGCAAATAAATTCATAAAAAATCCTACAATGTGATTTTCTGGAGAGAAAAAATCTCAATTTTTCTGTCATAGTTGACGTGTACCTATGATGAAAATTACAGGCCTCTCTCATCTTTTTAAGTGGGAAACTTGCACAATTGGTGGCTGACTAAATACTTTTTTTCCCCACTGTAAGTAGGAAAACCTGCAAAATCGGCAGTGTATCAAATACTTGTTTTCCCCACTGTAGCTAGCTCTTTCAAAGTGTTCAAAACACGAAGGCCATACAAATGTAATGTTTAATGGATAAATTTTTTGGAAAAGTGTGACGAGCGGAAAAAAGAAGGCGGCTAAAAAGAGGCATTGTTCAGACATAATCTGAGCGGAAGTTGTGTATCTCTTTATTGGAATCTTGAGGACATTCTTTAACTATAATCTTGCAATTTGTCGTTTCAACTTTTCACATTTTCAGATATTTATTTGTATTTTACATTAAAGAAAAGTGAAAAATGGCATCCTTTAAACATTACATTTAATTTGTATGGCCTTAGTTTACTTCATCCGCCACTATTGTGAAAAACCCAACTCGGTAATAATGATCATAGGAATGGATTCTTTAAGTGTTCAAAGTGTCTAAATGTACCTTACCTGCGACCAGTGGGAGACACCCAACTCAACTTGGTTTATTAGGCTTGGATATTGAAACTCAATTCATGAATTGAAAAGTGTAATTTATTTTAAATTGTACAATTCATGAATTGAATTCCAAGTTACTCGCTAAACGGATAGATTTGAAATCGATTTGACCCCGACCCTGCTGTACATAATTGCACTGCAAAGGGTGTTCCAATTTTAAACACACTTTGAACAAAATTGGATTTGATTAGATGTAAAAAGATAATCTGACCCTCTGTGCCCTCTGTAGGAGTATGCCAAGCTGGCGTGTAGTAAGACCCACGCGTGCGGCCACCCCTGTGGCGGGGTGAAGAACGAGGAGAGCTGCCTGCCCTGTCTGCACGGCTGTGACAAGAGCACAGGCTGCCTGAAACAGGACGCCGACGACATGTGCATGATCTGCTTCACAGAGGCACTCTCTGCCGCTCCCGCTGTCCAGGTACATTAAACTGTACACAGAATTAAATACGAATACTATTATTAATAGTATATTGTATCTCTATGATATTCTATGACTTGCTTGAATCAGATGGTGACTCACACCTGGGTTCAATTAGTATCCGTTTCCTTCGGAAAGTATTCAGACCTCTTGACTTTTTCCACATTTAGTTAAGTTACAGCCTTATTCTAAAATGGATTAAATAAATAAAAATGTAATCAATCTACACACAATACCCCGTAATGACAAAGCAAAAACAGGTTTTTAGACATTTTTGCAAATGTATAATATATATATATATATATACTTTTTTTTTTACACCTTATTTATATAAGTACTCAGACCCTTTGCTATGAGACTCGAAATTGAGCTCAGGTACATCCTGTTTACATTGATCATCCTTGAGATGTTTCTACAACTTAATTGGAGTCCACCTGTGGTAAATTAAATTGATTGGACATGATTTGGAAAGGCACACACCTGTCTATATAAGGTCACACAGTTGACTGTGCATGTCAGAGCAAAAACCAAGCCATGAGGTCGAAGGAATTGTCCATAGAGCTACGAGACAGGATTGTGTCAAGGCACAGATCTGGGGAAGGGTATCAAAAAATTTCTGCATCTCTGGAGAGACCTGAAAATCAATGTGCAGCGACGCTCCCCATCCAACCTGACAAAGCTTGAGAGGATCTGCAGAGAAGAATGGGAGAAACTCCCCAAATACAGGTGTGCCAAGCTTGTAGCATCATACCCAAGAAGATGTGAGGCTGTAATCGCTGCTAAAGGTGCTTCAACAAAGTACTGCGTAAAGGGTCTGAATATTTATGTAAATGTGTATATCCGTTTTTGTTTTTTGTTTTTTGCAAAAAATTATAAAAACCTGTTTTTGCTTTGTTATTATGGGGTATTGTTTGTAGATCGATGAGGGAATTTTTTTTATTTTTATTCTATTTTAGAATAAGGCTGTAACCTAACAAAATGTGGAAAAAGTAAAGAGGTCTGAAAACTTTCCAAACGCACTGTGTATATATATATTTATTTATTTATTTATTTACATATTAATTTTTTGGAGTGCCAGATGGGTAGAATTTGAACTTTTGGGACTATTCCATTGGTTTCAATTTTTGAAAAGAAATAACAAATACTGTTTGAACCAAGGATTCTTGTATGCCACAGATGTATTCGGGTTCGAGGTCAGGTTCTATGTGTGTGGTTCTGTTCTGTTCCTCAGCTGGACTGCAGTCACGTGTTCCATCTCCAGTGTACCCGTCGTGTTCTGGACAACCGCTGGCTCGGGCCCAGGATCACCTTCGGCTTCATGTCCTGCCCAATCTGCAAGGTACTATTTACCTTATGTAGCCCCGCCCACTTGACCTGAGTGGTTGTCTTTCAACTTCCGGCCTATTGACACACAAGCAAAACCATGGTTAAATATGAAATAAATGTTGCGTTATCGTTTAGTATAAGCACTCGGAAGCCAACATTAGCATAATTAGCATTCCCATAGAACTAACATGGTGACATAGACTCTATCTAATGGTCGTTATCCGTACAGGCTGTATTCCTTTTTAATCGAAGATCAATGCTTGAAAGTTCAAATGTTGTTAGACACAGAATCCCAATGACAAAAGACAGTAATAGTGCTGAAATGTTTTGATGTAGATAACATTAAGATATTTGCAATAGGTTGTACCCAATAATGTATATGTACACTAGATGACTGATAGGTGGCACTGCCCCAACATTGTAGAAAAATACAATAAAAACAACATACATTTAGGATCAAGGCCCGTTTCAAAATGTCTTAGTGATGGAGCGGCTCTTAGATGGTCAGGGAGAGCGTTCCATAGGTGAGGGGCAAGGGAGCTGAAGGCTCGGTCCCCCATAGTTCGGAGACGTGTCTTGGGGACTTGAAGCAGTAGGGAGTAGCTAGAGCGGAGAGTGCGAGATGGCTCTCTGATTGAGATGAGGTCGCTGATGTATTTGTATTTATTATGTATCCCCATTAGCTGCTGCCAAGCATTAGCTGCTGCCAATATTTCACAACACATTAAGTGTGTGCCCTCAGGCCACTACTCTACTACCACATACATTATCTACAACACAAAATCCATGTGTGTGTATTGTGCGTATGTTATCGTGTGTTTGTATGCATGTGTCTGTGCCTATGTTTGTTTCTTCACAGTCCCTGTTATATTTGTATCTGTTTTTTAAAATCTAATGTTACTGCTTGCATGAGTTACTTGATGTGGAATAGAGTTCCATGTAGTCATGGCTCTATGTAGTACTGTGCGCCTCCCATAGTCTGTTATGGACTTGAGGACTGTGAAGAGACACAAATACAAGTAGTGATGAAGTCAATCTCTCCTCCACTTACAGCCAGGAGAGATTGACATGCATATTATTAATGTTAGCTTTCTGTGTACATCTAAGGGCCAGCTGTGCTACCCTGTTCTGAGGCAATTGCAATCTTACTAAGTCCCTCTTTGTGGCACCTGACCACACGACTGAACAGTAGTCCAGGTGCGACAAAACTAGGGCCTGTAGGACCTGCCTTGTTGATAGTGCTGTTAAGAAAGCAGTGCAGCGTTTTATGGACAGACTTCTCCCCATTTTAGCTACTGTTGTATCAATATGTTTTGACCATGACAGTTTATAATCCAAGGTTACTCCAAGCAGTTTAGTCACCTCAACTTGTTTAACTTCCACATTCATTACAAGATTTAGTTGAGGATTAGTGAATGATTTGTCCCAAATACAATGCTTTTAGTTTTTGAAATATTTAGGACTAACTTATTCCTTGCCACCCATTCTGAAACTAACTGCAGCTCTTTGTTAAGTGTTGCAGTCATTTCAGTCGCTGTAGTAGCTGAAGTGTATAGTGTTGAGTCATCCGCATACTAGACACACTGACTTTACTCCAAGCTAGTGGCATGTCGTTACTAAAAATTGAAAAAAAGTAATGGGCCTAGACAGCTGCCCTGGGTAATTCCTGATTCTACCTGGATTATGTTGGATAGGCTTCCATTAATGAACACCCTCTGTGTATAATAATAATGTCAAAGCCGCACTGAAGTATAACAAAACAGCCCCCACAATCTTTTTATCATCAATTTCTCTCAGCCAGTCATAAGTCATTTGTGTAACTGCTGTGCTTGTTGAATGTCCTTCCCTACATAAGGGACCGAAATGTCCAAAAAAGAGGGCTTTTCCCTTACCTATAAGCGTGCTGAAAGTCTGTTGTCAATTTGTTTATTGTAAAATAGCATTGTATCTGGTCAAACACCATTTTTTGGTAACAGGCTGATTGGTAGGCTATTTGAGCCAGTAAAGTGGGCTTTACTATTCTTAGGTAGGGGAATGACGTTTGCTTCCCTACAGGCCTGAGGGCACACACTTTCTAGTAGGCTTAAATTGAAGATATGGCAAATAGGAGTGGCAATATCGTCCGCTATTATCCAAATTTTCATCCAAGTTGTCAGACCCTGGTGGCTTGTCATTGTTGATAGACAACAATAATTTTTTAACCTCTTCCACACTCACTTTACGGAATTCAAAATTACAATGCTAATCTTTCATAATTTGGTCAGATATACTTGTATGTGTAGTGAGCGTTTGTTGCTGGCATGTCATGCCTACATTGACTAATCTTGCCAATGAAAGAATCATTTAAAGTAGTTGGCAATATCAGTGGGTTTTGTGATGAATGAGCCATCTGATTCAATGAATGATGGAGCAGTGTTTGCCATTTTTGCCAACATTTCATTTAAGGTGCGCCAAAGCTTTACTATCATTCTTTGTCATTTATCTTTGTTGCATAGTGTAGATTCTTCTTTTTTTTTTTTACTCAGTTTAGTCACATGATTTCTCAATTTGCAGTAAGTTTGCCAATCGGTTGTGCAGCCAGACTTATTTGCCATTCCTTTTGCCTCATCCCTCTCAACCATACGATTTTTAAATTCCTCTTTAATCCACTGGAATTCAACAGTTTTTACAGTCATTTTCTTAATGGGTGCATGCTTATTAGTAACTGGGATAAGCAATTTCATAAATGTGTCAAGTGCAGCATCTGGTTGCTCCTCATTACACACCACAGACCAACACATATTCTTTACATCAACAACATAGGAATCACTACAAAACTTATTGTATGACCTCTTATACACTATATTAGGCCCAGCCTTTGGAACTTTGGTTTTCCTAGATATGGCTACTATATTGTGATCACTACATCCGATGGATTTGGATACTGCTTTAAAGTACATTTCTGCAGCATTAGTAAAGATGTGATCAAAACATGTTGATAAATAACCTGGTAGGTTGACTGATAACCTGAATAAGGTTGCAGGCACTAGTTACAGTTTGAAGCTTTCTCTTGAGTGGGCAGCCTGATGAAAGCCAGTCAATATTTATATCACCCAGAAAATATACCTCTATTTATATCACATACATGATCAAGCATTTCACATGTTATCCAGATACTGACTGTTAGCACTTGGTGGTCTATAGCAGCTTCCCACCAGAATGGGCTTTAGGTAAGGCAGATGAACCTGCAGCCATATTACTTCAACAGTATTTAACATGAGATCCTCTCTAAGCTTTACAGGAATGTTGTTCTGAATATAAACGGCAACACCTCCACCTTTGGTATTTCAGTCGTTTCTGTAGATAAGAGTTGCCCAACCCTGTTCCTGGAGAGCTACCCTCCTGTAGGTTTTCCCTCCAACCCTAGGTGTTACTAACCTGATTCATCTTATCAACCTGCTAATTATTATAATCAGGTGTGCTAGATTAGGGTTGTAGCAAAAACCTACAGGACGGTAGCTCTCCAGGAACAGTGTTGGGCTGTCCGGTTGTAGATGTTAACCATGTATTGCTACCACTGTATCATCAAAGGTGTTATCTACGCCATCCCCTCTGGTTTGGGCTTAGTGGGAGTATCATTTGGTTTTCAACAGGACAATGACCCGAACCCCACCTCCAGGCTGTGTAAGGGCTATTTGACCAAGTAGAGTGATGGAGTGCTGCATCAGATGACCTGTCCTCCACAATCACCCAACTTCAACCCAATTGAAATGGTTTGGGATGAGTTGGACCGCAGAGTGAAGGAAAAGCAGCCAACAAGTGCTCAGCATATGTGGGACCTCCTTCAAGACTGTTGGAAAAGCATTCCTCATTAAGCTGGTTGAGAGAATGCCAAGAGTGTGCAAAGCTGTCACCAAGGCAAAGAGTGGCTACTTTGAAGAATCTCAAATCGAAAATATATTTTGATTTAACACTTTTTTGGTTACTACATGGTTCCATATGTGCTATTTCATAGCTTTGATGTCTTCACTATTATTCTACAATGTAGAAAATAGTTTTAAAAAATACAGAAAACCCTTGAATGAGTAGATGTGTCCAAACTTTTGACTGGTACTGTATTTTATAACAGGATTCTTTAAAGAGCTGTATTTTGTATTTTCAAAATATAAAATATTTTTCAACAGTCCTGATAGAAAGATATATAGGGCCTATTTATTCTAAAATAAGTTGAAATTGGAAAACATGTTAGTGTTCACATGTATTTGTATTTATTATGGATCCCCATTAGCTGCTGCCAACGCAGCAGCTACTCTTCCTGGGGTCCAGCAAAATTATGGCAGTTATACATTTTTAAAAACATTACCATACATTCACAACAGATTTCACAAGATTAAGTTTGAGCCAATCATTTTCACCTCTTCCACACGTATTTTGTTGCTGGCATGTCATGCCTAAGTTTGCTAATCTTGCCAATGGAAAAATCATTAAAGTAGTTGGGTTTAGTGATGAATGAGCCATCTGATTCAATGAATGATGGAGGGGAGTTTGCCTTTTTTCCCAAAATGTAATTTAAGGTGCTCCAAAGCGTTTTACTATAATTCTTTGTCATTTATCTTCATTTCATAGTTTCTTCTTCTTTTTATTCAGTTTAGTCACATGATTTCTCAATTTGTAGTGCGTTTGCCAATCGGTTGTACAGCCAGACCTATTTGCCATTTCTTTTGCCTCATCCCTCTCAACCATACAAGTTTCCAATTCTGTCACGTTCGTCTGAAGGAGGAGACCAATGCGCAGCGTTGTGAGTGAACATGATGACTTTATTTATCAAAGCGACCACGAAAAAACAACAAAAGACGATACGTGAAGTTCTCTATGACACCGACTGAACATAGCACAAGGAAACAAAAACCCACAAACACAAGGAGAAAACACACAGAATATATATGGCTCCCAATCAGAGATAACGAGCCGACAGCTGACACTCGTTACCTCCGATTGGGAGTCATTAACCAATCACCAAAAACACAAACAAATGAAACTCACCCAACCCAACCCCACCAAATGAAATACACCCTGGCTCTAACACACAGTCCCGGAGCCAGAGTGTGACAGTACCCCCCCCCAAAGGCGCGGACTCCGACCGCGCCTAACCCAAAAATGGGGAGGGCTGGGTGGGTGTTACTCCACGGAGGCGGCTCTGGCGCTGGTCGTGATCCCCACCCCACCATAGTCATTACCCACTTAATTAGCCTCCTACACATTACCACCCCCCAACTACACCCCACTGGGTTAAGGGGCGGCACCGGACTAAGGGGAAGCACCGGACTAAGGGGCAGTACCGGACTAAGGGGCAGTACCGGACTAAGGGGCAGTACCAGGCTAAGGGACAGCACCAGGATAAGGGACAGCACCAGGATAAGGAGCAACACCGAGCTAAGGGGCAGCACCGGACTAAGGGGCAGCACCGGGCTAAGGGACAGTACCTGACTAGCTGGCGGATCCTGGCTGGCTGGCTCAGGCGGATCCTGGCTGGACGGCTCTGGCGGATCCTGGCTGGCGGAAGGCTCTGGCTGATCCTGTCTGGCAGAAGGCTCTGGCTGATCCTGTCTGGCAGAAGGCTCTGGCTGATCCTGTCTGGCAGAAGGCTCTGGCTGATCCTGTCTGGCAGAAGGCTCTGGCTGATCCTGTCTGGCAGAAGGCTCTGGCTGATCCTGTCTGGCAGAAGGCTCTGGCTGATCCTGTCTGGCGGAAGGCTCTGGCTGATCCTGTCTGGCGGAAGGCTCTGGCTGATCCTGTCTGGCGGAAGGCTCTGGCTGATCCTGTCTGGCGGAAGGCTCTGGCTGATCCTGTCTGGCGGAAGGCTCTGGCTGATCCTGTCTGGCGGAAGGCTCTGGCTGCTCCTGTCTGGCAGAGAGCTCTAGCGGCTCCGGTCTGGCGGACGGCTCTGAAGGCTCATGGCAGACGGGCGGCTTTGCAGGCTCAGTACAGACGGGCAGTTCCTGCGGCGCTTGGCAGACGGACAGTTCAGACGGCGTTGGGCAGACGGGCAGTTCAGGCGCCGTTGGGCAGACGGCAGACTCTGGCCGTCTGAGGCGCATCGTAGGCCTGGTGCGTGGTGCCGGAACAGGAGGTACCGGGCTGAGGACACGCATCTCAGGGCTAGTGCGGGGAGAAGCAACAGGGCATGCTGGACCCTGGGGACGCACCGTAGGCCTGATGCGTGGTGCCGGAACTGGAGGTACCGGGCTGAGGACACGCATCTCAGGTCTAGTGCGGGGAGTCGGAACAGGGCATGCTGGACCCTGGGGACTCCCATAACGCCTAGTGCGGGGAGCCGGAACAGGGCATGCTGGACCCTGGGGACTCACCTCACGCCTAGTGCGGAGAGCAGGAACAGGCCGGGCTGGGCTGGCGACGCGCACCGTATCCCTGGTGCGAGTGGCCGGAACAGGCCGGGCCGGGCTGGCGAAGCGCACCGTATCCCTGGTGCGTGGAGTAGGAACAGGCCGGGCTGAGCTGGCGACGCGCACCGTATCCCTGGTGCGTGGAGTAGGAACAGGCCGAACCGGGCTGGCGACGCGCACCGTACACTTAGTGCGAGGGACCGGAACAGGCCGGGCTGGGCTGGCGACGCGCACCGTACACTTAGTGCGAGGGGCCGGAACAGGCCGTACCGTACGGGGAACACACACTACTGGCTTCAACCGAGGATCAGGAACGGGCCGGACCGGACTGGCAACACACATCAGTCCTTCACGCCGTGCCACACACACTTCCCTCCTTCTACTCGCCAATAGCCCCCTTGACCTGGTAGCCTCCTGAATCCGTCCCTTCTCTGCCTCCGTCAGCCCCCTTAACCTGGCAGCCTTCTGACTCTGCCTTGTGGCAGCCTCCTGCTGCTCAGTCGCCCAAGCCATGTGCCCCCCCCAAAAAATTTCTTGGGGTTGCCTCTCGTCCTTCCGACGTTGGCTCTGCCGACGCCGTTGCTCCTCTCTCCGTCGCCTCTCCTCTGTCTCGCTCCATGGACGGCGATCCATGCCATCCAGGATTTCTTCCCACGTCCAGGACCCTTTACCGTCCAAAAGCTCTTCCCATGTCCAGACCCTCGGCTCCTGGACACGCTGCTTGGTCCTTTGATGGTGGGTTTTTCTGTCACGTTCGTCTGAAGGAGGAGACCAATGCGCAGCGTTGTGAGTGAACATGATGACTTTATTTATCAAAGCGACCACGAAAAAACAACAAAAGACGATACGTGAAGTTCTCTATGACACCGACTGAACATAGCACAAGGAAACAAAAACCCACAAACACAAGGAGAAAACACACAGAATATATATGGCTCCCAATCAGAGATAACGAGCCGACAGCTGACACTCGTTACCTCCGATTGGGAGTCATTAACCAATCACCAAAAACACAAACAAATGAAACTCACCCAACCCAACCCCACCAAATGAAATACACCCTGGCTCTAACACACAGTCCCGGAGCCAGAGTGTGACAAATTCCTCATCAATCAATGGGGATTTAACAGTTTTACAGTCATTTTCTTATTGGGGGCATGCTTATTAGTAACTGGGATAAGCAATTTCATAAATGTGTCAAGTGCAGCGTCTGGTTGCTCCTCATTACACACCACAGACCAACAAATATTATTTACATCAACAACATAGGAAACAGTACAAAACGTATTGTATGACCTCTTATACACTATATTAGGCCCAGCCTTTGGAACTTAGGTTTTCCTAGATATGGTTACTATATTGTGATCACTACATCCGATGGATTTACAGTGAGGGAAAAAAGTATTTGATCCCCTGCTGATTTTGTACGTTTGCCCACTGACAAAGAAATGATCAGTCTATAATTTTAATGGTAGGTTTATTTGAACAGTGAGAGACAGAATAACAACAACAAAATCCAGAAAAACGCATGTCAAAAATGTTATAAATTGATTTGCATTTTAATGAGGGAAATAAGTATTTGACCCCCTCTCAATCAGAAAGATTTCTGGCTCCCAGGTGTCTTTTATACAGGTAACGAGCTGAGATTAGGAGCACACTCTTAAAGGGAGTGCTCCTAATCTCAGCTTGTTACCTGTATAAAAGACACCTGTCCACAGAAGCAATCAATCAATCAGATTCCAAACTCTCCACCATGGCCAAGACCAAAGAGCTCTCCAAGGATGTCAGGGACAAGATTGTAGACCTACACAAGGCTGGAATGGGCTACAAGACCATTGCCAAGCAGCTTGGTGAGAAGGTGACAACAGTTGGTGCGATTATTCGCAAATGGAAGAAACACAAAATAACTGTCAATCTCCCTCGGCCTGGGGCTCCATACAAGATCTCACCTCGTGGAGTTGCAATGATCATGAGAACGGTGAGGAATCAGCCCAGAACTACACGGGAGGATCTTGTCAATGATCTCAAGGCAGCTGGGACCATAGTCACCAAGAAAACAATTGGTAACACACTATGCCGTGAAGGACTGAAATCCTGCAGCGCCCGCAAGGTTCCCCTGCTCAAGAAAGCACATATACAGGCCAGTCTGAAGTTTGCCAATGAACATCTGAATGATTCAGAGGAGAACTGGGTGAAAGTGTTGTGGTCAGATGAGACCAAAATCGAGCTCTTTGGCATCAACTCAACTCGCCGTGTTTGGAGGAGGAGGAATGCTGCCTATGAACCCAAGAACACCATCCCCACCGTCAAACATGGAGGTGGAAACATTATGCTTTGGGGGTGTTTTTCTGCTAAGGGGACAGGACAACTTCACCGCATCAAAGGGACGATGGACGGGGCCTTGTACCGTCAAATCTTGGGTGAGAACCTCCTTCCCTCTGCCAGGGCATTGGAAATGGGTCATGGATGGGTATTCCAGCATGACAATGACCCAAAACGTACGGCCAAGGCAACAAAGGAGTGGCTCAAGAAGAAGCACATTAAGGTCCTGGAGTGGTCTAGCCAGTCTCCAGACCTTAATCCCATAGAAAATCTGTGGAGGGAGCTGAAGGTTCGAGTTGCCAAACGTCAGCCTCAAAATCTTAATGACTTGGAGAAGATCTGCAAAGAGGAGTGAGACAAAATCCCTCCTGAGATGTGTGCAAACCTGGTGGCCAACTACAAGAAACGTCTGACCTCTGTGATTGCCAACAAGGGTTTTGCCACCAAGTACTAAGTCATGTTTTGTGGAGAGGTCAAATACTTATTTCCCTCATTAAAATGCAAATCAATTTATAACATTTTTGACATGCGTTTTTCTGGATTTTTTTGTTGTTATTCTGTCTCTCACGGTTCAAATAAACCTAACATAAAAATTATAGACTGATCATTTCTTTGTCAGTGGGCAAACGTAAAAAATCAGCAGGGGATCAAATACTTTTTTCTCTCACTGTAGATGCTGCTTTCAAACAGATTTCTGCAGCATTAGTAAAGACGTGATCAATACATGTTGATGATTTCATTCCTGAGCTGTTTGTAACTACCTGGTAGGTTGACTAATAACCTGAACCAGGTTGCAGGCACTAGTTACAGTTTGAAACTTTCTCTTGAGTGGGCAGCCTTATGAAAGCTAGTCAATATTTAAATCACCATGTTGTTTGCGGACTGCACGACCTAGGCTACACAGTTTTGGTGTATTTCATTCCATTTACGAGTTGGGCCGTACGAACTACCTTCTGTGGCGCCTTGCGGCCGGATGCCGAGCAGTTGCCATACCAAGCACTGATGCAGGTGGTCAAGATGCTCTCAATTGTGCAGCTGTATAACTTTTTGAGGATCAGAGGGCCCATGCCAAATATTTTCAGCCTCTTGATGGTGAAGAAGCACTTTTCACAGCTGTGGTTGTGTGTTTGGACCATTATAGGTCCTTAATGATGTGAACACCAAGGAACTTGAAGCGCTCGATCGTCTCCACTACAGTCCTGTCGATGTGAGTGGGGGTGTTTTCGGCCCTCGGTTTCCTGTAGTCCGCGATCAGCTCCTTTGTCTTGCTGACGTTGTTGTCCTGGCACCACACTGCCAGGTCTCTGACCTCCTCCCTGTAGGCTGTATCATCATCGTCAGTGATCAGGCCTACCACTGTCGTGTTGTTGGCAAACTTAATGATGGTGTTGGAGTCGTGTGCGGCCACGCAGTGGTGGGTGAACAGGGAGTACAGGAGGGGGCTAAGCACGCACAGCTGATGGGCTCCCATGTTGAGGGTCAGCGTGGCAGATGATTTTGCCTACCCTCACCACCTGGGGGTGGCCCGTCAGAAAGTCCAGTATCCAATTGCAGTGGGATGTGTTTAATCCTACAGGGTCCTTAGCTTAGTGATGACCTTGGAGGGCACTATGGTGTTGAACGCTGAGCTGTAGTCAATGACCAGCATTCTCAAGTAGGTGTTCCTTTTGTCCAGGTGGGAAAGGGCAGTGTGAAGTGCAATAGAGATTGTGTCATCTGTGGGTCTGATGGGGCAGTATGCGAATTGGAGTGGGTCCAGGGTGTTTGGGATGATGGTGTTAATGTGAGCCATGACCAGCCTTTCAAAGCATTTCATGGCTACAGATGTGAGTGCTACAGGGCGATAGTCATTTAGCAAAGTTACCTTGGCGTTCTTGGGCACGGGACTATGGTGGTCTGCTTGAAACATAGGGGGTTTACACACTGAGTCAGGGAGAGGTTGAAAATGTCAGTGAAGACACTTGCCAGCTGGTCAGCGCATGCTCTGAGTACGTGTCCTGGTAATCCGTCTGGCCCTAAAGGTCTTACTCACTTCGGCTATGGTGAGCGTGATCACACAGTTGTCCGGAACAGCTGGTGCTCTCATGCATGGTTCCGTGTTGCTTGCCTCGAATTGAGCATTCAAGGCATTAAGTCTGGTTAACTCGCGTCACTGGGCAGCTTGCAGCTGGGTTTCCCTTTGTAATCTGTGATAGTTTGCAAGCCCTGCCACATCCGACGAGCGTCAGAGCCGGTGTAGTACGATTTGATCTTAGTTCTGTATTGACACTTTGCCTGTTTGATGTTTCATCGGAGTGCGTAGCGGGATTTCTTATAAGCGTCCGGATATGTTTCCCGCTCCTTGAAAGCAGCAGCTCTAGCCTTTAGCTCAGTGTGAATGTTGCCTGTAATCCATGGCTTTTGGTTAGGTTACGTACGGTCACTGTGGGGACTACGCCGTCGATGCACTTATTAATGAAGCCGGTGACTGATGTGGTAAACTCCTCAATGCCATCGGATGAATCCCAGAACATTTTCCAATCTGTGCTAGCGAAACAGTCCTGTAGCTTAGCGTCCGCTTCATCTGACCACTTCCATATTGAGCGCTTCACTGGTAGATCCTGTTTGAGTTTTTGCTTGTAAGCAGGAATTAAGAGGATGGAGTTATGGTCAGATTTGCCAAATGGAAGGCTTTGTATACGTCTCTGTGTGTAGAGTAGAGGTGATCTAGAGTTTTTTTTTGCCTCTAGTAGCACAAGAGAGATGCTGGTAGAAATGAGGTAAAACAGATTTCAGTTTCCCTGCATTAAAATCCCTGGGCACTAGGAGCGCCGCATCTGGGTGAGCATTTTCTTGTTTGCTTATGGCCCTATACAGCTCATTGAGTGTGGTCTTAGTGCCAGCATTGGTCTGGTGGTAAATAGACAGCTATGAAAAATATAGATGAAAACTCTCTTGGTAAATAGTGAGGTAATCTAACTCAGGCGAGCAGAACCTGGAGACTTCCTTAATATTAGAGATCGCGCACCAACTGTTGTTGACAGAGACACGCCCCTATCCCCTCAGCTTACCCGACGCAGCTGTCCTGCCGATGCATAGAAAAAACAGCTACATTTATATTTTCCATGTCCTTGTTCAGCCAGGACTCTATGAAACATAGGTTATTACAGTTCTTCAGAGTACGTTGATAGGATAGTCTCGAACTGAGCTCGTCCAGTTTACATTCCAGTGATTGCATGTTCGCCAATAGAACAGTGTGTAAGGGCAACTTAACCACTTGCCGTAGCATTCTCGTTGGGTATCCTGCATGCCGGCCCCTATTGCGCCACCTCCTCCAAGTGACGGGGATTTGGGCCTGGTCTGGGATGTGAATTATTTATTTAGCCTCTGATTCGTTGAAATAGACGTCCTCATCCAAAACGAGGTTAGTCATCGCTGTTTTGATGTCCTGAAGCTCTTTTCGGTCATTTGAAACAATGGCCGAAACATTATGTACCAAAAAAGTTAGGACCAGCGCAAAAAAACACACAAAATAGCACAATTGGTCCGGAGCCATCCCCTCCGGCGCCATTCTCAAATTCATCCCACTGCCCTTCTGACTCACAGTCCTCCTACCTTTATGGTCTACTCTCCAATGTCCTATCTGGTCAATAAAACAAAACAAAAAATACAAAAACTCCAATGTTGCAATGAGTTGTGTAGAGTTGGGGACTTGAGTTCTCAAATTTACCAATTGACCTTACAGAGATTCATATCTTCCTGATTTTCAATGTAACTTGCTTGGATCATAACAGCTCTGGCTCAGTTTGTTTGAACTAATATTGTGCGAACCGAGTTAAGGATAGAAAATTTACTTGAGACTTGACTGTTGCGTTTTTCCTCCCAGAACAAGATCAACCACTTGGTCATCAAGGACCTGCTGGACCCTATCAAGGAGCTGTTTGAGGACGTACGGAGGAAAGCTCTGATGAGAATGGAGTACGAGGGGCTGCACAAGAGCGAGGCCATCACCACGCCCGGTGCCCGCTTCCACAATGATCCGGCCGGCTTCGCAATGAACCGATACGCCTACTACGTCTGCTACAAGTGCAAGAAGGTAATCAGAATTATGTTTCATAATAGAATGGATGTTTCCCTTAAAGGGCTAGTTCACTTTATAAAGTTTAAAGTTAGTCTATTCAGTGTTGTGTCAATTCGAAAAAAGAACCTAATTAGCATAATCACAAAAATCAGTTTAAGCAAAACAATTATAAACATTTGCATGGAAAATGGCAGCCTTCCCATCTGCGGTGGAAGGTGGCCGAACTACAGTGGTGTTTGTCAGACAATGAGACATCCTGAAAATCGGTCTTCTCACAAAAACGTCTGTACAGTTTAGCCTACAAACTAATATGACCCCTCTATGGAAAGATTAGACTCTCACGAACACGTACATATTTTGCTGTAGGACGCACACAAGACTCGTCTGATGGTAGCCCGGTACCAGTTAAAAAAAAATTATGGAAGTATATACGGAACAGGGTTTCTGTTAGCCGGTAAATGCCAGCTTTTGGCCGATAATTCTTTTTATGAAAAGCCGATAAATCAAATTGTCCCCCTAAAAAAATACATTGCAAAATAATGGTTTTTATTAATTGATGGAAATAACAGTCGATGTGCTCCAACTTCAAAGGCAAATATACTTTATAGGCTAATAAATCCTCAAGCTGCTTGGAAATTAGTGTTGGTTGTGTGTTTTTATTTTTACTCACACAAAAGACACCAGGTACTCATAAGGGACTTCAGCTAAGTGTACCTCGACTTGGCAAAATTGGAAAAGATTGTGTTGATTATCCCCATTTCCAGAGTGCCCGCCGAGATGGAATTATTTCTCCAAAACAGAGTAAAGACGGCCTCAAGATCGCGCCTTCTTGAGGACAAAGCTGATGCGCATCGCAATTGGTGCTTATTCAGAAGCACTTGGAAACGAAACATTGTTGCCAACTATTCACATCGGATGTCTAGATGTTCAATCAATAGGCAGCCAACTGCATATAGTAGGAAACAAGAGTTATCAATAAGCCACATATATCACACATGACAAAAGTCACGACCCCACGATAGTTCAAATTACAATAAACATAACATTTATTAACATCATCCAGTAGAACTGTAAAAAGAGAGTGATATAATTTGAGCTTTGGAAACAAGTGCTTTTATAAATGCGTGGCACGGGCCAGGAGCATTGTACAATAAGCTTTCTCCCAATGAACCAGCCTTAACGAATGTTGTTTATTTACATATCGAATTTGATTGTCCAACATCAGTTATATAATTTCTTCATTTTGTGGCCGCCTACAGTGTCCTCTTTCCACTGCTGGGGTGCTGAATCAAATCAAATGTATTTGTCACATACGCTGAATACAACAGGTGCAGGACCTTAACATGAAATGCTTACTTACGAGCCCTTAGCCAACAATGCAGAGTTGTAAAAAAAACAATACCGAGGCTATATACAAGGGGTACCGAGTCAATGTGCAGGGGTACGGGTTAGTCGAGGTAATTGAGGTAATATGTACATGTAGGTAGGGGTAAAGTGACTATGCATAGATAGTAAACAGAGAGTAGCAGCAGCGTATGTGTAGTTTGAAGGAATGTGTGTGTGTGCAAGAGAGTCAGTGAAAAATGGGGGTCAATGCAAATAGTCTGAGTAGCCATTTGATTAACTCTTCAGCAGTCTAATGGCTTGGGGTTGTATGACAAAAAATAATATACAGTGGGGAGAACAAGTATTTGATACACTGCCGATTTTGCAGGTTTTCCTACTTACAAAGCATGTAGAGGTCTGTAATTTTTATCATAGGTACACTTCAACAGTGAGAGACGGAATCTAAAACAAAAATCCAGATAATCACATTGTATGATTTTTAAGTAATTAATTTGCATTTTATTGCATGACATAAGTATTTGATCACCTACCAACCAGTAAGAATTCCGGCTCTCACAGACCTGTTAGTTTTTCTTTAAGAAGCCCTCCTGTTCTCCACTCATTACCTGTATTAACTGCACCTGTTTGAACTCGTTACCTGTATAAAAGACACCTGTCCACACACTCAATCAAACAGACTCCAACCTCTCCACAATGGCCAAGACCAGAGAGCTGTGTAAGGACATCAGGGATAAAATTGTAGACCTGCACAAGGCTGGGATGGGCTACAGGACAATAGGCAAGCAGCTTGGTGAGAAGGCAACAACTGTTGGCGCAATTATTAGAAAATGGAAGAAGTTCAAGATGACGGTCAATCACCCTCGGTCTGGGGCTCCATGCAAGATCTCACCTCGTGGGGCATCAATGATCATGAGGAAGGTGAGGGATCAGCCCAGAACTACACGGCAGGACCTGGTCAATGACCTGAAGAGAGCTGGGACCACAGTCTCAAAGAAAACCATTAGTAACACACTACGCCGTCATGGATTAAAATCCTGCAGCGCACGCAAGGTCCCCCTGCTCAAGCCAGCGCATGTCCAGGCCCGTCTGAAGTTTGCCAATGACCATCTGGATGATCCAGAGGAGGAATGGGAGAAGGTAATGTGGTCTGATGAGACAAAAATAGAGCTTTTTGGTCTAAACTCCACTCGCTGTGTTTGGAGGAAGAAGGATGAGTACAACCCCAAGAACACCATCCCAACCGTGAAGCATGGAGGTGGAAACATCATTCTTTGGGGATGCTTTTTTGCAAAGGGGACAGGACGACTGCACCGTATTGAGGGGAGGATGGATGGGGCCATGTATCGCGAGATCTTGGCCAACAACCTCCTTCCCTCAGTAAGAGCATTGAAGATGGGTCGTGGCTGGGTCTTCCAGCATGACAACGACCCGAAACACACAGCCAGGGCAACTAAGGAGTGGCTCCGTAAGAAGCATCTCAAGGTCCTGGAGTGGCCTAGCCAGTCTCCAGACCTGAACCCAATAGAAAATATTTGGAGGGAGCTGAAAGTCCGTATTGCCCAGCGACAGCCCCGAAACCTGAAGGATCTGGAGAAGGTCTGTATGGAGGAGTGGGCCAAAATCCCTGCTGCAGTGTGTGCAAACCTGGTCAAGACCTACAGGAAACGTATGATCTCTGTAATTGCAAACAAAGGTTTATGTACCAAATATTAAGTTCTGCTTTTCTGATGTATCAAATACTTATGTCATGCAATAAAATGCAAATTAATTATTTAAAAATCATACAATGTGATTTTCTGGATTTTTGTTTTAGATTCCGTCTCTCACAGTTGAAGTGTACCTATGATAAAAATTACAGACCTCTACATGCTTTGTAAGTAGGAAAACATGCAAAATCGGCAGTGTATCAAATACTTCTTCTCCCCACTGTATATGTATGCACTCACGAACTGTAAGTCGCTCTGGATAAGAGCGTCTGCTAAATGACTAAAATGTAAAATGGGTAGAAGCTGTTAAGGAGCCTTTTGGTCCCAGACTTGGCATTCTGGTACTGCTTGCCGTGCGGTAGCAGAGAGAACAGACTGTGACTTGGGTGGCTGGATGTGATGTACTGAGCCGTACGCACTACCCTCTGTGGCGTCTTGCGGTCAGATGCCGACCAGTTGCCATACCAAGTGGTGATGCAACCAGTCAGGATGCTCACGATGGTGCAGGTGAAAAACTTTTGTAGAATTGCAGTGGGAGTGGGGCGGGCTGGCCCGGTCATGGCTAGAAGGATCCAGCTTTTGTCAAATTAACGTCAAAAGTTAGCTAACCCTTTTCCTAACCTTAACCTAATTCTCCTAACCTGCTACGTAAATGATCCTAACCTGTTACGAAAAGTCAAATCTGACGTTAATTTGACATAAGCTGGATCCCTTCTAGCCATGACCGGCCTGCCCTGGTGTTCGTAGACAGCCATGTTTTGTTATTTATTAGGCCTAATTAAAATGTTAATGCTTAGGCTAAATTAAATTAGAGGCCTAGATTTGTATTTGAAAACAGCTGTGTTTTGTTATTTACTAATTAAAATGTTAATACAAATAGCCTATAGGACACGTCGTTTGCAAATTATGATACAAATATAATATTTGGAAGTTATTTTATTACTGTGTATGTAGGTGACTAGTTCTTCTTGGCGATTTATTTTTTATTTTTATGATATTCATTTATGATTTACAGCAGGGATTAAGAGGCGCAACGTGCAATGTTTTGCTTTTCAATTAAACGTTAATTTATATTCTATTCTGATTAATTACAATAATCTAAATGTGATTTTGAGCACAGTGGGTGGACGCCCTAATGCGTTACGTACCCAATGCATATGGATGTCCGGTAAATTTCTCAAATGTCCGGTAAATTAAAATCTTGCCGGTCACATTGACCGGCGCCAAAATGAAACCAAAAAAGGGGTTAATATGGGTAATTTAAAAAATATATAATTTCCTGATCTTTCTTATATATCTCAGATATAGGACAGACACTTTAAAACACAATTCCTTTTGATGTATGAATCTGTTATTCAGTGCATTTGGAAAGTATTCAGACCCCTTTTTCCACATTTTGTTCTAAAATGGATTTTAAAAAATTAGTCTCAACAATTTACACAGAACCCCATAATGACAAAGCAAAAACAGGTTTTTAGAAATGTTTGATAATTTATACAAAAATAAAAAACAGATACCTTATTTACACAAGTATTCAGACCCTTTACTATGAGACTCGAAATTGAGCTCAGGTGCATCCTGTTTACATTGATCATCCTTGAGATATTTCTACAACTTGATTGGAGTCCACCTGTGGTAAATTCAATTGGTTGGACATGATTTGGAAAGGCACACACTGTCTATATAAGGTCCCACAGTTGACAGTGCATGTCAGAGCAAAAACCAAGCCATGAGGTCGAAGAAATTGTCCGTAGAGCTCCGAGACAGGATTGTGTGGAGGCACAGATCTGCAGATAGGTACCAAAAAATGTCTGCAGCATTGAAGGTCCCCAAGAACACAGGGGCCTCCATCATTCTTAAATGGAAGAAGTTTGGAACCACCAAGACTCTTCCTAAAGCTGGCCGCCCGGCTGAACTGAGCAATCGGGGGAAAAGAGCCTTGCTCAGGGAGGTGACCAAGAACCCGATGGTCACTCTGAAAGAGCTTCATAGTTCCTCTGTGGAGATGGGAGAACCTTCCAGAAGGACACCCATCTCTGCAGCACTCCTCCACCAATCAGGCCTTCATGGTAGAGTGGCCAGACGGAAGCCACTCTACCATAAAAAATTATGAATTTGCAAACATTTATAAAAACCTGTTTTTGCTTTGTCATTATGGGGTATTGTGTGTAGATTGATGAGGGGGAAAAAAACGATTTAATAAATTTTAGAATAAGGCTGTAATGTAACAAAATGTGGAAAAAGTCAAGGGGTCTGAACACTTTCCGAATGCCCTATTTCTTCTATAGGCTAATAGCGGTAAGGCCAAATTCATCAAATATTGTTTTTATATATTTTGGGGTTGCTAAAGGGGTCCTACATTTCCAAATCAAATAGCCAAATGATCCTTTGTCTGACCATCTTAAAACAATTCCATATGTTAATATTAATTATTAATTAATTAATATTAATAATTAATTAATTTGATTAATATGCCATTTAGCAGACGCTTTTATCCAAAGCGACTTACAGTCATGCGTGCATACATTTTTGTGTATGGGTGGTCCCGGGGATCGAACCCACTACCTTGGCGTTACAAGCGCCATGCTCTACCAGCTGAGCTACAGAGGACCACATTCATATGTTAGCATAGGCTTAGACTTGTGAAAATATGGTAGCAGCAGGCATACAGTTCCCCTACATGGAATGTTTCGGAAAGTAATATATTTCGCAGAGGTCTGTCAGTCAGTTTCACTTGTCTCTAATAAACTACTTTGGGAGGCTTATCCCCTGACCCATTCCCTTCCTTCCTCTGTTGCAGGCATACTTTGGGGGAGAGGCGCGCTGTGACGCGGAGGCAGGACAGGGAGACGACTATGACCCCAGCGAGCTGATCTGTGGCGCATGCTCAGATGTGTCCAGGGCACAGGTGGGTGGAGGAAAAGCTCCAGAGAAGGCCTTAGGACATTGACTCCATTGGGCTGTGTAACAGCATCCACACTAGCATACTGCTTAGTATGCATGGCCAATACGTTGCTGAATACTTGATAGTATCCGGGTTTGGATAGTGGGACACATCTTGACACTCTTGAACTCCTGACACTATCACTTAAAATGAAGACATTGTTTTTCCAATAATTCGATTTATTGTCAATTTCAATAGAAATTCATTTTGTGACCTCAGCAATACATTTAAATACACAAAACACCCCAAAAATTATACAATACAATTGACACACTATACATCCCTGAAAAGTGATATATATATATATATATACAGTGAGGAAAAAAAGTATTTAGTCAGCCACCAATTGTGCAAGTTCTCCCACTTAAAAAGATGAGAGAGGCCTGTAATTTTCATCATAGGTACACGTCAACTATGACAGACAAATTGAGAAAAGAAAATCCAGAAAATCACATTATAGGATTTTTTATGAATTTATTTGCAAATTATGGTGGAAAATAAGTATTTGGTCAATAACAAAAGTTTCTCAATACTTTGTTATATACCCTTTGTTGGCAATGACACAGGTCAAACGTTTTCTGTAAGTCTTCACAAGGTTTTCACACACTGTTGCTGGTATTTTGGCCCATTCCTCCATGCAGATCTCCTCTAGATCAGTGATGTTTTGGGGCTGTCGCTGGGCAACACAGACTTTCAACTCCCTCCAAAGATTTTCTATGGGGTTGAGATCTGGAGACTGGCTAGGCCACTCCAGGACCTTGAAATGCTTCTTACGAAGCCACTCCTTCGTTGCCCGGGCGGTGTGTTTGGGATCATTGTCATGCTGAAAGACCCAGCCACGTTTCATCTTCAATGACCTTGCTGATGGAAGGAGGTTTTCACTCAAAATCTCACGATACATGGCCCCATTCATTCTTTCCTTTACACGGATCAGTCGTCCTGGTCCCTTTGCAGAAAAACAGCCCCAAAGCATGATGTTTCCACCCCCATGCTTCACAGTAGGTATGGTGTTCTTTGGATGCAACTCAGCATTCTTTGTCCTCCAAACACGACGAGTTTAGTTTTTACCAAAAAGTTCTATTTTGGTTTCATCTGACATTCTCCCAATCCTCTTCTGGATCATCCAAATGCACTCTAGCAAACTTCAGACGGGCCTGGACATGTACTGGCTTAAGCAGGGGGACACGTCTTGCACTGCAGGATTTGAGTCCCTGGCGGCGTAGTGTGTTACTGATGGTAGGCTTTGTTACTTTGGTTCCAGCTCTCTGCAGGTCATTCACTAGGTCCCCCCGTGTGGTTCTGGGATTTTTGCTCACCGTTCTTGTGATCATTTTGACCCCACGGTTGAGATCTTGCGTGGAGCCCCAGATCGAGGGAGATTATCAGTGGTCTTGTATGTCTTCCATTTCCTAATAATTGCTCCCACAGTTGATTTCTTCAAACCAAGCTGCTTACCTATTGCAGATTCAGTCTTCCCAGCCTGGTGCAGGTCTACAATTTTGTTTCTGGTGACCTTTGACAGCTCTTTGGTCTTGGCCATAGTGGAGTTTGGAGTGTGACTGTTTGAGGTTGTGGACAGGTGTCTTTTATACTGATAACAAGTTCAAACAGGTGCCATTAATACAGGTAACGAGTGGAGGACAGAGGAGCCTCTTAAAGAAGAAGTTACAGGTCTGTGAGAGCCTGAAATCTTGCTTGTTTGTAGGTGACCAAATACTTATTTTCCACCATAATTTGCAAATAAATTCATTAAAAATCCTACAATGTGATTTTCTGGAATTTTTTTTGTCAATTTGTCTGTCATAGTTGACGTGTACCTATGATGAAAATTACAGGCCTCTCTCATCTTTTTAAGTGGGAGAACTTGCACAATTGGTGGCTGACTAAATACTTTTTTTCCCCACTTTATACACATCCATGTTCCGTCTGCAGATGTGTTCCAAGCACGGGACAGACTTTCTGGAGTACAAATGCCGTTACTGCTGCTCGGTGGCCGTGTTCTTCTGCTTCGGCACCACTCACTTCTGTAACGCATGCCATGATGACTTCCAGAAGATGACCAGCGTGCCCAAGGAGGAGCTGCCTCACTGTCCTGCAGGTACTGACTTATTGTGCAAAATGCTTCATCATAACAGTTTTTGCTCTATACGGAAAGGGCTCCATCTTGAAAACTTGACTGCTGATATGCATACTTTTTGGGGATTGTATTTAAGTGAACAAAATGAACTAAATACTGAACAAAACACTAAAAGATTGCTTGTGAGTGTAGTATTGCTTTAAGCCACATATCAGGCCATTGTCAAATGTCCTCCATTTCACTCGGTACGGGGCAAGTTTTTTGTTGTCGCAGCAGTTGAAGTACCAGGTGTGCAACCAGACAACCGGACCAATACCCTATTTATCTATTCCATTATTTACTTACCTGTTATTTATAACCAGGAACGTTGATTTTAGAGCAGTGGTTCCTAACCTGGGGTTAAGCTGACCTGGGGGTACCTGACCTATCCACAGGGGGTACATGGGAGACTCATAAGAACATTGACCTAATGATCAGGGAAGAGCAAAATGTGATTGGAGGTTCCCAAAGATGGTTGCGAACCACTGGTTTACAACAGCGTCCCGGGGAAGAGTTACAGTGGAAATGAGATGGGATGGGCTGAATAAGCCAGTTGGTGGCAGGGGACGGTTAGGTGGCTCCCTGTGGAAAAGGAAGATTCTTCCTTTGAATCATTCAGACCAAAGGGTCTGTGCGTTTCGAAGGTTTGTTAATAGTGATGTCATGGTAATTCCAAGTTGATCTGGTTCGATGCTCTTTGACCTACTGTAGTTGAGGTGCTGCTTAGTGCTTAGCTCAAGTCGTTGAGGGCCGCCACAGCATCTGCTAGTTTTACCCTGTTGGCACTTGATTGATCAGTCGATGTCATTGATTGGCCAGAATCAGACCACTGACGACCTCCACATCTAAATAAGAGACTGTTTTTAAAAAACAGGCTGAGAACCAACAGAGGTTCTTGAAATACAATGACAAACAATTTTATGAAATCACAAATCATGACAAACGGTAGCCCATTCATAGACACTAACTACCTTTAGCAGTATCTTCTGGTCAGGGAGGTTTGTTAAGAGCCCCAACGCTTGCTCTAAACGTTAACATGCATCACTTGCGGTACGGTTTTGGAAACATAAGGAACGTATCTTTCGTATCAGCGAGAAATAATACAAAATAAAAAAAAAGTTACATTACTACACACCTTTTATAGGGTTAGGGTTCCCGTACGGCTATATTTCCATGTTACATCATTTGTTTACGGAAAACAGTCGGCTACCTGTGCTAATTGGCTATCTGCGTCCGAACACCTGTGTCTAGACGGAAGACGGAACCCACACCACAAACGTGTTGTCACTGAAAAATACTGTTAGCTGCAACTGTGTTAAAACCAATTATTTTGATGTGATATGATTCTAATTGAGAATCGTTTCACGTTTAGATGGAGTATTTGGCTGTTTTGGCTGCCAGAGCCAGTTTGCCTCTAAACAGAACATGTAAAGTCCTTGGACTATAAGGAGTAACGTTAGACTCCTTTAGTCCATTATTGGGCTAGACAAACGGTAAACTAAATAGGGAGTCTCAAAGGGGCGAATGTTCACTTTGACATCAATGCATGACTAAGGTGGAATCAAATGTTCGCCCTCAAATAAAGTATTTCAAGCCAAATTCCTCATTATTCCCCTTCCGTCCCCAGGTCCCAAAGGCAAGCAGTTGGAGGGGACGGAGTGCCCCTTACACGTGGTTCACCCACCCACCGGCGAGGAGTTTGCCCTGGGCTGTGGAGTGTGCAGGAACGCCCATACCTTCTAAAAAACACCCAGTTCTGAAAAACCAGAGACCTGTACCGAACACTCGTTCTTCTACTGTGACTGCAGGCTGTTGGCTGCAGCCGGAGCCCAGTCTGTCAAGTATTTCCTTGTGTTGGCTCTCGTTGTCAGATGGCCATGGACACCGTTTCAGGTATTTCTAACGTACCCAAGAGTCCCAAGTTGTGCTCTTCTACATACCAACCAAAGTCTTCAAGGCTCTACTACAAAAACAGCTCTCTTTGGATTCCAGAGGAAACCCCCTTTTTTTTTTGTACTTGTGATGTGTTTGCATGCGGCCGTTGTAACCCCTCGGCTTCCATAGACGTTGCACACCTTCCGATCACTGAAGTGTAAAAAAGTATTGAAGATAAAAAAAAATCATTTGAAATACATTTTGCTTAGGCAACTGTGGATGAACTTGGATATATAAAAGGAAAAAAAAGTGACAGGCCTTATTTCCAGCTTCCTAACTATGAATTCTAAATATTGTTGTATGTAAACAGACTTTTTTCCCGTAATCCTGTACAGTATTCTCTCCACTGTCGAGTGCATCATGGGTTGACAGAGAAAAAAAATAGAATAATTCTGATGAGGGGGTGAAAAATAGTACGATTTATCTAATCTTGTATATAATGATAGTATCCTAAATAGCTGTATTCCGAAGTTGCTACTCTACACTTCAGTTTCGTTTGATATTCTGGGTTATATTTTGAGCCAGAACTTTTAATGAAGTGCAATACTGGGTGTGCCTCCTATCTTGCAGCAGTTTAACCTATGGAATGTATGTCAATAAAAGCCACTGTACATTTTTATACAGTGATAAATACAGTCGCGTATTACCCCAATTCAAAATGTCAGATCACTTCTGTTCTCTGAAAATGCAGAGGATCCCAGCGTCTGCAGTGTATGAAGGTTGATTGATGTGAACCCTTTTTTCAGTTCCTCAATTAGAAAAAGAACGTGGTGGTACAAACCCCTTTTTTTTCTGTAATTCTTTTTAAACAACTGAGAAGGTGAATATACTATAGGCTACCATTGTATTGTAAAGGAGTGATAACTGAACGTGTTGGGGGGCCAGTCTTCACCAAATATAATAAATAATTGTGAATCTGTAATGCTTCTCCATCATTAGGAGGCAGGCGGGACAT